GGCGAGAATCCTCCTGATTTCATGAATGACACCATGGCATCCGACCAGAGATCCCCCTGTTGGACACAGTGCAATCGTCCAATGGCGAGGGCATCGTCGGTGGCGTATGTCTCTTTATCAAAATAGGACATTTGATTGGCGGAACTTCGCAAGGGAACACTCTTGAGGACGGCCACTCCGGCTTGTGCCAAGAATTTGGGCAAGGCGGCCATGGGACCAACACCATCGACAAATCCTTGCGCGTCAATCAGAATGAGTCCCTGACAGGCGCCGCCGCTACTAGATGATGCCGCCAATTCAATGGCCGCGGCACCACCCAAACTGGCTCCGGCCACGCAATACGGCGCTTGCTCGCCAATGACCGTGTTGACAAACGACTGCAAGGCTTCCACCTTGGCGGCGGCGGAAAAGTCGGCCACATCCTCGAGTTGGGTATATCCCCATCCGAGAATATCCACGGCGTAAACGTCGACGCCTTGTGCCGCCAAGCGAGATCCCAATCGACGGTATTCCAGACAGGACGAGTCGAATCCGTGTACCAACACGACGGGAGGCAGATTCTTTTTCTTGGCAACGGCAGGCCAATGCACGTAGGAAATTCCCACCTGGCCGTCCTTGGGACTAATGGCCGTTGAAACGGGGACTTTCACCCGCTTCATGCGAGCGGCAGTATCGCGACAAGCATCTTCCAAAATCTCGGTGGTATCGGGTGGCACAAACGAGACGTCGTCGACCAATTTAGTATTGGTAGCAGCGGCATTGTTGTTGAGCGAAGGGAAAAACCCTTCAACTGTCCCTGCCAGAGTCAGTGCAAGGAGGAATGCTGAAGTAGATAATCTCATGGTTGATGCTGGTTGTGAAGAGGTGTTTATGAGTCAATGAAGCTATCGACGGCAATCAACAGCAGCGCTGCGACCTCATCCTGTTTTGGTTTTCCATGTTGGCGCGAGAGTGACGTCATCATGTGAGCGGCTCGCCCTCCTCGCTGACTGACGCCACTTCCAAGTTGAACTTTTGGGAGACCTTGATGGATCTTTCTTTGGCAGGCTCCACTTCCACACAACTTGTTCTTGTCGGATACCAAACCATCACCATGAAGTACACTACCGCTCTTGTCACCGCCTTGATGGCAGCTCCTGCTTTGGCGTTTGCTCCCATTGCTCCCAACACCCGCACCACTGCTTTGAATGCCGAAATTCGTCCCAAGACGGAAAAGTCGGAAGAACTCCGATTCGGATGGGATGGTACCACCGCTTTGGGAGGTGCCGTCGAGAATGCCGCCCCCGCACGCATGTTGGAAGATATCCGTGCTGCCGGAGAAACCATTCCCGATGAGTGCGAAATCTTTAATGCCAATCTCGAAATGGATGCATCCGACTTGACATTTGAAGATGTCATGGAACTCATTGATACCCACTATGAGTCGCAATTGCTCGAATTCAAAAATGGTGACATGCTCAACAAGCAGGGAGAAAACGAAGGAAGTGCCAAGATCTTGTCCTATGCGGCTCTGTCGAATTTGGACAAGGATCTTACTCTCAAGGTAAGGAATAGCACTGACAGAAGAGAATACGACAAAAACAAAAGCACTCGAGTAGTAGTATTAGTGTAGTTTGGGATGATTTCTATGAATTTTCGTCTCACTTTTGCTGTACTCTCTATCTTTCTCTTTTTGCTTGTTTGTTAAATTTATTACCAGCTCTGGGGACAATACTACAGAGACGTTGTGGCCAGCCCCGATGGTGATGATCACCAAAACATCCGCAACTTTATGAAAACTGGATGGGAGGGTGTTCCCTTTGAAAATGGAATTGCTCTCACCAGAAAGCAAGTCGGTGAAAACGAATGGGATGCCTTTGCCGAGAGTTGGATTCCATAAGTTAGTTAGTTAGCGTGCATAACGTTACTACTAGCCACCAACAAATGTAGCAAAAGAAAAGTGGCTCGAAAGTCGATTTGACACACACTAGCTAGTGGATGGCCCAAACATTTTTCGTATCGATTGGACTGGCTACTATTGTCTTTTCTTATTAGTCACTTCCACCCTCTCCCCTCAGTTGTGTATCACGACACGATACTAGTTTGCACGTCAGCTCTGTTCCTGTTTCATGGACTCATTCGGGTCTTGATGTTTGGCAATTCTAGAGGCAAGTTCAGTTTTGTTGCTCTCCTCTGACGCCTGTTTGTCAAACAGAGCTCCAGCGTTCCAGGCCCTCCACCTCCAAGCTTCTTACATCCACAGATTGGGTACAATTGGTTGCTCCATCCTGCGCCTTCTCTGCCACCTGAGGGTGGTTCTGAAGCTACGCACCTGTAAACCAACTCCGCTGAATTAGAGGATTGCTGACTTGAGGAGATCCGCCAGCATTTTGAGCACCATCAAAATTGTCCCGACAAACGAGGAAGTGATGTGGCAGGCAATGCCCACTTCTTGCTTCCACCACAGCCTTTGACTGTCCGAATTTCCTTTTGGAATGCCTTGCTAAGACCCCTGAAAGTTAATGTTTTGGCATGGTCCATGCTACCTGTGCTGCCTGCTGGGTACTTATGGGTGGGTTGAGGGGGCTGTGTTTGATCTTGGCTGTTCAGACTTGGGCAAAGACAGTCTCCAAGTTTGCCCGGTAATGAGTACCGGTACTGAAAGCAAAGTCTGGCGAGTTTCATGGAACACACGCAATGGTTGATTCTGCCGACATGAGAGCAATGAGACACCGCTCGGAGCGATAATAAGCTTCCGCTAGCTGGCAAGCTGCAATGTGATACCGGCAGCTAGCGACCTAGAATTTATCTCTTTGTACAGTTTTGCAAGCCCTTGGAGGCGGGGAATCGTTCTCAAGCCAAACAACTGTGCGTTGGATTCTATCTAGATTGGCAGCAACCCGTTTTCTATCACAGCTTAGACTGTTGTTTGGCTTGCTTGGGAGCCCCCTCCTCACGTGCTTCAGAGGCGAACTGTTGATCACGTCGCTGACGGCACCCAAGCATCCTCGCGCAAGAGCCACACAAGCAGGTTTTCCTTTAAAATACGAAGATGCCTTTGGCTGGAGACAAACAGAGGTTGCTGTGAATTGTCCTGTCGCATATCTAGTCAAAGTCATGGTTTCGCCCTCTTCCTCTCCTTAGTTCTCGATCGGTGAAGAGGCAACGACATCTTCGACGCTTTCATCCTTGCTCAGCGCTTCTGTGGGCATGTCCACAGAAATTGGAACTCCGTTGGACGTGGACCGAACTGCAAACGCCAATACCACAAACAGCAGGAACGCATAGTTTGTCGGCCGTTTCTGTGTATCATGTCTTTTCCCTTTTGGAGTTCCTGCCTGCATGGTGCCTTGTATGCTGTGTGCTTTGCCATTACAACCATAAAACCAATTCCTCTAACTTGCAGCCGCCCTCTGCAGTGATGTTCCGGTGTACCGGTACCAGCCGGTGGGAGTGAAATCCGGAAAAATGTTTTCACACCTGCTAACAAGCCGGCAAGGCTATTTGAAGACGGAGCCCATTTCATCTCCAAGATCTTTCCCAAAGAAGGACTGCACCGCATCGTCACAGGCAGTTGGATCATCGTTGCTGGCAAGTGCAGGTAAAGGGGAGTTGCAAGACCACGAAATCCATACTCTCATGCTACGGGGTGCCGCATACCAGCATTCGCTCGGATGGTCCTCACAACTCACAACACTGTTGCCCCAGACCTCGAGTGATTGTCCGTTCCCCACATAGTCCCACTAACTCCATCGTAAGATCTCCCCTTGTAAAACAAATGAGCGTTTCTGTACGAGGACAAAATTAACACAAAGTGGCTTTGACTGTTGGTTTATTTTTGTGCTGACTTCTCATGATGCAAGTACCGGTAACACATTCTCCTACTAGTACCGGTAGCCTACTAGCTAGCTCCCTCATTTGACGCCCCATGTCCTCAGTGTGTTGGCTGATCTTCCGTTGCGCTACCCCAGTCTCGCCCTCTTGCTCTCTGGCTCTCCATGTTCAGTTGAATGCTCCTTAGGTCCAGACCCGGCCTTGAACATACCATGTTTGGCACTCAAAGACTGGGTGCCACAATCTGCCCCTTCCTTTGACTTTTTGACTGCTTGAGGGTGGTTCTGAAGCCAGGTGTAAAGCACCTGCGCAGAACACGAGGACTCCTGACTGGATGAAATCTGGCAGCGTTTTCTTGTCTTCCCAACATAGTTCAACAGATGGAGAAGCCCCGTTCCTGGAAGAGATCCACTCTTGCCTGCCTTTGCAGCCGAATTTCGGAGCAATACTGCCCGAATACCCTGTTGGATTGCAGTACTCGAATTGCCACGAACAAAACGAAAGTCTTGCAGCTTCAGGTTGCTTTGAATCCCCTTAACGAGCAATGCCTGTGTCCGCTCATCGTCAGACCATAAGCCGTCCACTGCGACATTTTCCAAGCAGCAATCTGGATTCCCGACCAGATCAGCAAGGGAGGATGTAGTCTGATCAGTGAACCGTCCATCCAGCTTGATGCGGAATGTTTCCAGCGCACAAGGGCAAGAAGAGTCGGCTACAACCCTTGAAAAGAGAGAGAAATCGATGGCTCTCTCGACGTGTTGGACCCAAACTTGAATAAACAGGCTCTTTATGGAGGTGTTGGTGACAAGACCATCTGCGAGTGCGTTCACCAACAAGTCAAGCTCTGCATTTTGAGGGTACGCCATCTCAACCTGTAGTGACGCAATTGACTGGTTTTTCCTAAGAAGGGTCTTCAAAGAGAGCGCAGCATTTCCACGAAGATGGACGAGTTTGAGATGGGTCAGCGACAACTTGTTTTGCAACGCCATCAAAACTGTGTCATCCGCAATGTCCATTGTCAGACTTTGGAGGAGCTTTGATGAATTACTTTGGAGATAGGTCGCCAGATTCTGTGAATGCGGTGCAGCATTGCCAAAAAAGGACATTTCCAGCCACGAAATAGATGAAATTCCCATGAGAGCCCCAAATATTGCCGTGGAGTCTTCCTCATTGAAATGTTCAAGATCAAGGTGCAAACTCTCCAGCATGGATGCGTTTGGAGATCCTAGAAAGGAGGCAACAGCTTCTGCTGCTGCTGGTACCCGTCCATCAACTTCATGTTGCCAACAAAACAGTTCCTTGAGGCGAATGAAGCAATTTCGCTGGCCAGAGATTTGATTCAGAATAAGTGACTCGAAGGGAGGCAGCACATGTAGTTTCAATGTCTCTAACTGTGACATGGAGGAAATGGCGCAGGCAATTTTTCTCTCCTCCATATCGCTACATGGGAGGGCATCATGGTCTACCTCTTCGGGGGTGCAGAGATCAAGACTTGTAATGGAGGGCAAGGTAACCAGTAGTGCCGCAACTTTGGGAAGGTGCTCCTGGGACCAAATTCGAACGCTAAGGCTCAGCTTCACTACTGAGGGATTGCTCCCTGCAGCCTCGGCCGTTTTGGATGCAATTAAACAAGCTAGAGAAAAGTTAATATCCTCATAAGCAATCACCTCAATTTCCTTCACAGCTAGCTTCCGTGTAATGAAGTCAAGCACAGGAGAATAGGTCTCCAAGTTTTTCCAGCCAAAAGCTTGGATGCGCAGAGCAAATGAAACATTTGACCAAGTATCCTCCAAGTTATGTATAGCATCTGGAATGTTAGCAGGAGTGATGTTGACTGTGATCATCATTCATCTACGGAGTACTAGTATGTTATTAGTTTCTTCGACCAGATCGTTACTACTGCTGAGCCATACAAATTTAATGAAGCTACAGTTGACTGTTGGATGATGCTTCAAACCAATTTGTCTGTCTGATGACTTCTTTCTTGGAGATGGAGGTCAGGATCCTGCACAACATGTCTCGGTCTCGTTGTCTCGTTTAAACCCTGGGTACCGGTTATCCGTTAGCCTTGCTCTTCCGGGAACGCACAGGGCCGGAAGCTTAATTAAATTAGGGTAGCCAACCAATGACAATTTTGTCTACCTGTTGTATACTATGGGAGGTCAGAAAAGCACACGTGTGGGGAGTTATCTATGGAAGCCGGCGGGTGTTGATCACAGTAGATTTTTACCGCACCTTTTCCAATACATATGGTGCAGTTTCCCTTCAAAGATTTCTAGCCTGGGACAGAATCAAATCAAATAATTCGAATGATTCCTTCGGATCAGTCGAATAAAACGATTTTTTTAGCAAAACGTGACTGAACACGCCAAACTGCGAATGCATGGTCGTCAATGCCATTCCAGGGACAATCACAAATGGCGACACCCTCTCTACTCGACCATCGACCAGCGGACACCGCCCACCGCCCACCACCCTTCAGTGGACTCTGCATAGCAACTCGATTCATGAGTATGAGTCCCAATGAGTCCCAGTTCACTGGTCAAATTAATGAATAACAGAATACCACTGACTAAACAGATCAATACCTGAATAGGCACCACAGGAGCACAGTATAAGCATAGAACAAACATTGAAGACCAAAATCCACTGGTCGTCTGATCTGTAGCTCTTGATACAGGGTAAACCACCCTCAGGAGCTTACTACTGGTACCACAAACAACACGTGCAGCAACGAGAGCATAAGCACCACCAGAACCACCACAGCAGCAGCTGCTCTATACTAGTATAACTGCGCTATGAATGCTGACAATGAAGGTACCACTGCGGAGTCGAGTCTCTTCTTCTGTCAGCTGACGATTTGATTTGGATCGGCGAGATTCTATCTTTTGTTGGTAGTGGACAGTATGCTTTTGTAGGACTTTGTCAACAAAAAGATGAATCGACTCTACGAAGAGTACTGCAAAGTTGAACTCAAGAAAAACCCAAGAAAGGTAAAAGACAACCCTGATGCCCATGAATGGGATTGTCGCTCCGCAAAAATCACCAACATTCTTCAGAGCGAAACCTTCTGTAACCTGCCCAGTGCAGACTACTGGCTCGGGGATAATTTCAGGAATAAGAAACCTAGTCGTCTTCATGTATGCAATGCAATTGCCGCAGTTGGGAATATCATGGTCATGCAGTGGGCACGTCAACAAGGATTCCCATGGAATGAGCGGACATGTGCCTATGCTGCTAAAAATGGACATTTGGAAATGCTCCAATGGTTACGAGAGCATGGTTGTCCGTGGGATGATCAAACATTTGCTGGAGCTGCTGAGAATGGACAGCTGGAAATGCTCCAATGGTTGAAAGAATGGATGTCCATGGAGTGAAAGCACATGTGCCAGTGCTGCTGCAAAGGGCCATTTGGACATTCTCAAGTGGGCTCGTGAAAAGGATTGTCCATGGAATCATATGACATGCCGGCATGCTGCTAAGAATGGACATTTGGAAATTTTAAAGTGGGCTCATGCAAATGGTTGTCCATGGAGTGTAGATACATGCTCCTATGCTGCTAAAGCGGGTCATTTGGAAATTCTGCAGTGGGCTCGCAACAATGGTTGTCGATGGGATGACATGACAAGTTCCAGACCTGCTGAAAATGGACATTTGGAAGTTATCAAGTGGTCTTGTGAAAACGAAATCTGAGATTGTTTTAGTCTAGGTGGTTAGAGGCGACACCATCATCTACGTAGGGGGTGGGGGATCCGGAAATCAGAAGGATGATTGAATCCTTGCAACCTTGGCCTTTACAAACAATTCAGATGACGGTGCAGTGCAAGGTCAGAACCCTTGCCTTCAGCAAATGCAGGCCGAGGGAACCGGCCAACTGTAACGGTACCTGGTACCGTACGGCTGTCTGTTCAAGGATTCAGTGACAGCATATTAGCATCGATCGTTTGTAGCCTTTCCTCCGGTGCCGTAGAGAGCTACAGTACCGATGCTAGCTAGACAGCACAAAAAGATACACTGTGCACGAACGATACTGTAGGATCTCGCCGTCTAGCTTACAACCAAGATAGAGACAAAAATGTCGCAAGCAAATTTGGACAATCCATGCTGGATTTCTTTTGCAAGCATATCTATGTACCGGTATCCATCTACTGCATTGGTTCAGTTGGACCTTTCTTCCCTCACAGCGTCATTCGATGGGCTGCCGCAATCATTCCCAATGCGGCAAACACAGTGGCCCAGAGTGCCAATTCGGCCAGGATTTGAATCTCATTACTATCTTCCATAGTCTTCCACTTTTCCCACAAGGCGGGGATGACACCCTGTCGTTTGTTAATGGTCCATCGTTGCAGGCTTGTTGTTCCAGAAGCAGTATTGTCCATGACGTTCATGGATTGCATGACAATCCCCTCATCCACCAGTGCATCTCCAAAGGCTTCTTCGGGATTGATGCCCCGCAAAAACTGAAATTCCATAATTTGCGCCGGCGATTGTTGTTGCTGTACCTTGATGGCTTCATTTTCGAGTCGCAGCCATCCCCACATGGTTCGTCGAATGATTTCGGCCGACGCAATGGCCGGTGCCAACGCCCGGGACCAATCGGAATGTTGAAAGGTATCGCTCAAGACACCGGCTTGATTCAAATACCGCGGTGGTAGAAAACTCAGCGTCCAACAAAACCGCAACAAGACATTGACCACGAGAATGGTCCAATAAAATGCTTTGGAGGGATACAATCGTTGAGGACGCAATTTTAGTGGTAGCATTCCTCCCTCCTGTGGTAACAATAATAACTCCCAATCCATAAAGACATCCCACCACACTTGATACAGTGTCGCAATGACGAACCATCCCAACCAATGCCATGTTTGTTGTTTGGAAGGATCAAAGACCCCAAACATGGCCACTTCGGCCGCGAGTAGATATTTGAACGCATTTCCCAGATAGGGCCATCGCCGTTTATTGTCATGCGTCTGTCGTAAGTTTTGCAAGAATCGCCACCAGAGCGGACTGACCATGCACATGGGTAATAGCACCGTGTGCAACCACCAGGATGTTTCCAGGGGTGGTAATACTGTTAGGAGTTGTGACGCCAGATTGTTGTTGTCTGTGGTTGCTGCTGTGGAAGTAGGAGTATTGTTGCTGTTGTCCTGTAGAAGAAGAACCGTATCATCATCGTCATTGAGATGATGGGGATTGTGCTGGACGGAATCCCAGAATCCTTCGTACCCATCGGACCAATAGCCTTGCAATCCCGACAGTATGTAACAAATGGTAAATGCCATATCTTGCAGGGGTCGTACGGTGGATGTGAATATATCGCCAATGAATCCATCTCGAAACGTGACGGGATAGAGGGGTGCCGAAATGGTCCAACTCAGGACGGTGAGAAAGTGTTGGGTGGGTGCCCACGGCTGGAGCACAATTTGAGTGACGACCAAGTAGACCACGAGCAAGAGTGGAATCAAGGGGGCCACCCAGGCGAGTTGTGGAAATTGGTAGGTGACCTTTTTGGTACTAAATAGTGTAAAGAAAAAGAGTGCCAAGAGAATGGGGAGTAACATGTCAAGCGCGGCCGATGTGACGGCATGGACATTGGGAGCGCGCGGTGATTTGGACTGTGGTGTGGCGGAGAAAAAGGGATCGCTGTCGTCGTCGTCGTCTGGAGTGGATTGTCGTCGTTTTTGAGTATTGGAGACAATAGGATCTCCCAATTCTTTTGGTGTTTGTGATGATGATTTTTGTGATTGTTGTGTGGGTATTCCAACAATATAGTTCAAATCTTCGTCGTTTTCAATCGTCCCCGTGAGCACTTCACTGAAACTGGCGTCGTAATCGACAAACATAATTTCCGATTGAAAAGAATTTTCGGATTCCACATCGGCAAATCGGACTCCGGAATACGTACTACTGCGTGCCTTGGCATCGTGGGCATGACCCGGCAAGTCGCCATAGTCCATATGACTAGCATCACTGGTTGTGCCACTAAAGAGGAGTTCTGCCACGGTGGATTCTCCCACGTACTGGTACCACAATTTCAACGAGACGACAGTCCCCCACAAGAGTAAATTCCATTCCAGCAACGACCGAAAAATACGCAACGATGGAGGGTGTTTCCGTAACGCCATGAACACGGCCGAGTACTTTTGAAGCGTATTGCTGTCGTCATTGGAGGAGGATTCTTCGCGTAGCACCAACAACGATCCAAACAGCAAAATGACACAAATCACCTTGCTGCCAATTCGATACTGTCGTTGTATCTGTGGCTGCTGTGGTTGTTGTTGTGGTTGTGGTTGGGTTGACATTGGAAAAGGAAGTAGTAGTACATGTACATCAAACAGAAAGCTATTGGATTGCTTGTGGTGAAGAGTTTGAAGAGGAGCGAAAAGCATTTGCACGAAAGAAGATCCTTCTCAAAGAAGAGGTAATGTTAGGGAAAGGAGTAAATACGGTAGGGAGTTGGCGAAAAGCATACACTTACTGACGTGTTGATGCCGATGCCAATCTTCCGACAAGCCTGTCTCTCGTCAATGAAGCTGGAGTGAAAGCTTCTCACAAGATACCACCATAGATACGAAGATGATGATGAAGTCAAGAAGAGGTTTTGCCAACCAGCTGTTGCTGGTGTTGACTGTGTTGATTAGTTCGTCATGGACACCGCTCGTATCCGCATTTGTGGTTCCTTCCACCGCTGCGATCAACCACCAGAGCAATCCGGTCCTTTACGGGGTTGTGACGACGACGACACAATTGTCCCAATCCAAAAACAACAACGACAACAACCGAAAGGAGCCATATTCCAAGGTTGATGATGGCGCCGGCCGTGGAGTCCCCATTCTCGTCATTGCCTTGCTAGCATGTGTTTGGTGTTTTACCGTGCCGCCGGAATTTCGACGGGCTTATATTTGTTCCGATCGATGTGCGCTGGAGGAAAATCGAGCGGCGCCACAGTGCAACAGCTGTGTCACGGCGGATGAATGGAGGTCGGGTATCGCGGAATACTACGCCAATGGAGGAGGCATTCAATGGGATTTCTCCATCGATCCCAATTCCAAAATGAAAATGTTTTGAAGCATACAGAGATGTGTGTGTGTGTAACAAGCGAGTCTCACTACGAAGCAGAACCAACAACCATGCAGAATGGATATACCGGTACAGAATAAAATAATAGTTAGTTTGGTTACCACGGTTCTGGGCAGCCATTTTCTCGAGCCCACTTTGCAATATCTGAATTATGAGCATGACTGATTGTTCTTCCATCCCATGGGCATCCATTTTCACGAGCCCACTTCAAAACATCTATATGCCCCCTTTTTGAAGCATATAGACAAGTTCGCTCATCCCAAGGACAGCCATTTTCGTGAGCCCACTTCAAAATTTCCAAATGGCCACTCAAAGCAGCAAATAAGCATGTATCTGCATTCCACGGGCATCCATTCTCATGCGCCCATTTCAAGATATCAAAATGTCCATTCAAGGCAGCACTAGAACATGTGTTCTCATTCCAGGCGTATCCACTCTCCCGACACCACTTGAGGACTTCCAAGCGACCCCCTCGAGCAGCTGCTGTACATGTCCATTCGATCCCAGGGGCTTCAGTGGCACGAGCCCATTTCAAAATTTTCAAATGTCCCCCTTCAGCGGCAACTTCACATATGAATCTATTCCAGGTACATCCATTCTCACGGGCCCATTTCAGTATCTCCAAATGGCCACTCCTGGATGCTTCAGTACACGTTCTTGCATCCCATGGGCATCCATACTCACGGGCCCATTTCAAAATTTCCACATGGGCATCCATTCTCACGGGCCCATTTCAAAATTTCCAAATGGCCACCCTTGGCTGCTGCTGCACATGTTCTTGCATCCCATGGGCATCCATTCTCACGGGCCCATTTCAAAATTTCCAAATGGCCACCCTTGGCTGCTTCTGCACATGTTCTTGCATCCCATGTGAAACCCTTGCTTCTGGCCCACTGGAGAATGGAGAGATTCCCAACTAAGGCAATGGCTCTGCAGTAGTCAGAGGTCACGTACTGGCTATGAGTTCGGTACCACAGTTCGGCACAAGCCACGTTGGAAAAGGTGTTTCTGTTAAATGTATCGGTACCGGTTGCAGGGCGCTTGTTCCCCTTTCTGTCTTTGACGATGGTGATGGGAGTCTCCACAGAATCGCAGTACTCCTTGTACAGATCTTTCATTTTGTGGCAGACTGGAGCGACAAAGGCAAAATGTCCCATGCCAAGAAAGGGAAGAATGCCATCGACCCAGACATCTTTGTGATGGAAGAGTAAGGCTTCGACACAAGACGATGGTTTCTCTTCGTCACGAGACGAGAGCTTCTGCCGTTTGTTGGGGGCAAGTTCATTACTGGACGCAGAAGAAGAAGAAGACAAAGACATGGTGATCGCGGCCGTGTTAGTGTGGACGCTGCAACAATGCGACAATCGCTTCGCCACTCCAAAGGCGAAGCTCACGTCGCTCTGGAAGGTGGAAGACAGCTTTGGAAGGATGTCAGAAAGCTGGGGTAAAGCATTTGTTTTGTTTAAATCTTCCGAAAAAACTATACCTGTAACCTTATATATACCGCAACTACCTGAATTAATCTGTGGCATAAAAAGGGTTCGCGGAGCAGTGTCAAAAGGCTTAACAGATCATTTCTCAGTGAACTAGATTTGTCTCTAAGCAGATTTGTTCAACGACCACTATGGAAGCAAATTCTCAGAATGACCACAGCAGATTCGATTCAAAGCCACAACACACAAACTCTTGTGCGGGAAACGAAAAAGGAAACTGTAACCGGGAGCTACAGACAACAAGCACAACTAAATAACTGAACAAGAAACACAGCTCGGGTCACTCTGTTCCTTCTATTCAACCTCTTCACCAGAAGCAGCAGGGACTTGGGTTTGTGAAGGAGTGACTGACTGCTACAGAGACGGATAGTCTCTCCAGGTCATTGTATTTGTTCAACTGTTGCTTTGGGTATAACTTGAGCTGGAGCTGGGAAGGAGAGAATTCTCACTTACTTGGTGACGCTGATACTCATTCGGAAGAAGAGTCTTGCTTGGGTATCTGACTTATCTGGTCTGATCTGAACTGCACCAGGCTGGACTGAAGAGGAACAAGGCCAACCAGTGCCAAGTCAGAGGATCTCTGCAGCAGAAGAAGAAAGGCCACCCTCAAGCAAAAAGAGGGAGATACTCTTAGCTAGCTAGACGACAATTATCTTGGAAGATCCTTACAAGTCAAGACAAGTCAAGTTTCTACCATGATGAACTCGGACCCCCAGTTGCAATATAACCACCAGGATAGTGGTGGCTCGGCAGGGATGAGTGACGAAGAATTGGCGGCCAACAACAATACTACTACTACTACACCTAATGTGTATACCATTGACGACCAAGAAGACGCGGCCAACTATACCGTTGAAGACAACGATTGGGGCAACGACACTGGTCCACCCGACGAGGGCGCGGTCTACATGGATGACGGCAGTCATAATCCTGGAAATCCATTCAATGTCGCCACCAATAACGACAATACCAGTAACAACATGATGATGGATCCCATTGATCCGTACCAACAGCAGCAGCAGCAACCTGCCATTGTCCCGGACGGAGGTATCGCCATTATCAATGTCGACGAAGATCCCGCCGAACTCTACCACGGCGATGAACCACAAGAATTCGACGATCCGTATGCCGATTCTCCCTATCCCACCAACGACGATCCGTACGAGCATACCCCTTATGCGGCCGACAAGAATTACGTGCACGATCCTTACGGAGAATTGGATTACAGTGAAAACAACGGCGCCGCCGCCGATTTGGACGATTTGGATGACATTAATTTGTCGCGCAAAGAAAATGTCGAAAACATTCAAGGCGGCGAGTACGAACTCGAATCCAAAGACCCCAAGTTTAGTGGCGTGGCGTCCTTTTTGCAACGCTACGGCAAGTCTCTCTTGGCGTGTTCCTTCATGCTCTGCATGAGTCTTGTCATTATGGGAATTGTCCTCGTGGCCACGATTGATTCGGGATCCTATAATTCTCCCGAGACATCGCCCTGGGGATTGCGGCACGATGCCGTCCACACGGGAGGCTTTGTCCCGCCTCCGTTGGCGTTGGAAACGACCTGTACGCAAGAAAATATCGCCACGCAACAAGGATTTGACGCGTGTGCCAAATTGTGTGATCCCGCGCAGGTACGTGCGTTTATTTGTTTGTTGGAATTGGAGGATAGCAGGGAGTGATCCGGCAATCGACTGTTTTGTTTGTGTCGCATTATTTCGTTCGTCGTCCACTTGCTAACCTCTGCAAATTTATTTGCCATCACGTGCTGCTACGTTCGTATTCACAGTGCTGTCGATTCGATCCTGTCTCGGCACCACACATGTCTTGTGAAAGAGGTCATGTACAAGACTGTCACACATATCATCACTACTGCGAACACCCTCCCAGGGCGGCCATTATACCCTTTACGGCGCCACCCGAAAATATCAAGGATGTCTGTACGGCCGAAAAAATGCATACACCCCAAGGTGTCACGGCATGTGCTCGAGCGTGTGAAGGAGGAACGTGTTGTCGATATCCTTCGACGCTCTCGGGATTGAGCTGTTTGCGTGGCAATGAAGCCCAGTGTCAAATCTATCATCAATACTGCGAACAACCACCCTCGAGTGAAGGTCATGGAACACATGCGACAGTTCCTTCGACTGGTGCCGGCAGTCACCCCCCACCCAGTGGTCAAGTGTCATTTCCCTTTGTCAAACCACCCGATGATATTCAAGACCGATGTTCCGGAAAACGAGTGGCCACGGCACAAGGGTTCGAAGAGTGCTTGGAGATTTGTCGTTCCGGAACCTGCTGTCGATTCGATCCAGAGCGAGAACCGATGCTCAGTTGTCGCAACGAACAACCACAGGATTGTCCCATTTATGATCAGTATTGTGGGGGTAACACCAACGTCATTTCGCAACAATCGACACCACCGCATCCGTCGGGCGGGACTGGTGTGAGTGGCAACAACCATACCAGTCCCACCTATGTGGAAGACGTGTGCAGTGATCATTCGCTTGCCACTGTGGAAGGATTTGCCGATTGTCAAGAGGCTTGTTCCGAAGCCGAGTGGTAAGTCGACGCGGGCACTGTTATGATTGGGGTATTGGCGGTTTGAATCATCTCTGAACGTTTGTCTTGTTGTACTCGTTTTGCAGTTGTTGGAAGAAGGAATTTGGAACAACTTGTCCCGTTTGGGCGCATTGTGAACCCTACTCGCATTGTTTGGCCATGCAAGCTTCCGATCATATTGATGTTGCCATTCAAGTTTCGATCAATCTCAAATGCACTGACACGCAACTCGCCACCGAAGATGGTCGAAAGGACTGTTTGCTGGCATGTTCGCAGGCCACGTGTTGTTTTGGTAGCTCCGCCGGAGATTGTCCCCACGAGACTTCCACTTTCTGTCAACAATACGAAGCCTGCGAAAAGGCGGTTCGTGACACCATCCCACCACCACCTCCTGCCTTGAATGAAAAGTGTTCCAGAGAAAATGTGAGGTTACTTGGTGGGTTGGCGGAATGCGACAGAGCCTGTGGCCACGCCGATTGCTGCTGGAAGACGACCGGTCCAACTGTATCGTCGTGCAGTACCACCAATCCACTTTGCAAAGATTATGCCCCCTGTAGCATTCTGGAACAGGGCAGTTCTTCTTCTGTGACTTTTCCACCCGTCCCAACGGCTCCATCCACGCTGGATAATGTTTGCACCAAAGATATTCTCAACGCGCAGGGCAGAGGCGCCATGGCAGTGTGTGAAGATGTGTGCAAGAACGCTTTATGTATGTCTTGTTGATCTGATAACTGTCGCACCGGGCCTGTTTTTTGTCTGGCGCAATTCCTGAACTCTTTTTTCTTCTATAATCTCTTCAGGTTGCTGGGAGTCAGGCGCATGTCTCTATGAGCAAGCCACTCAATGCTTGGGATACACTTCTTGCGCTGTGCTGCTGTCGGAAGTACCGGAAGCACCCTCCGTTCTCCCAGAGGTTTGTACAATGGACAAGATCTCCAGTGGTGCCGCCGGTATTGCTGAATGTAAAACGCTGTGTGAAGGTGCCAGTTGGTAAGTGGTCACCAGGTTTTTCCCCGTTTGTGGATTTCGTGTCTTACTTTGGTTTCCTTTTTCTGAGTTAGCTGTTGGAAGACGGGCGCATGCCTAGATATGCAAGCCGACAGGTGTCAAGCATACCAACCGTGTTCCGTGTTGCAGTCAATCGACGATGTTGGTGGTCCCATCATCCCTACGGCCCCAGAGGGGCTGCCAGATTATTGTACCGCCACTGCAATTCAAGGCCAAATTGCCGCAACTGGCGTGTCTCTGTGTGAAGACTTTTGTAAGCCGGCAACATGGTAAGTGAAGTGTCTCGAAAAGGGACGTGGCTAGCTTTTGCTGAAAGCCTCTCTGATTGTGGTTTCCTTGTTCAATTGAATCCAGCTGTTGGAAAACTGGAAGCTGTCTGGAAGCACAACCGGAAAAGTGCGAGGGTTACACCTCTTGTGGAATTTTGGTTCAGAGTGGAACTCCCGCCTCGGCTCCTTTACCTGAGGCTGAATCCTTCCTGAAAGACGTATGTACCAAAGACAAGGTCGTCAACGTGGAGGGCGCGATCCTGTGTCAAGATGGCTGTAAGGCAGCCGAATGGTAAGCCATGCGGCTGAATTCGCAGTTTGTCTCGGGCTTGTTGTGTTTCCTATCTGATCGCTTTCGCCTCTTTCTGAGTCCAGCTGTTGGAAGACCAAGACGTGCTTACAGCTTCATTCGGATCAGTGTCCCGGTTACGCTCCATGTTCAGTTTTAGTGCAGTCTTCTGGCACCGATGACGAAGGCATCCCGCTCGATACAGCCAGCCCGGGGGCACCAACTCCTGCACCCACGGTTTACGTACCTGATGCACCAACTTACTTGAACACGGTTTGTGACAGCGAAATTGGAGGAGATCAGGTGCATGGCCACCTTTGTGTGAATGCCTGCAAACGAGCAAGCTGCTGTTGGGAAGGACTACCTCTTTGCACGAGCAATCCCAAATGCGCAGCATACTCGATCTGCAGCGTGGTCAACTTTGATACCATTGTTGCTCCCACAAATGCTCCGGTTGCTGCTCCCGCAACTCCGGCGCCTGTCCCGGCGGTAACACAAACTCCGGGAACGCAAACTCCAGAGTCTACGACAGCACCGGGACCCGTCACACCCGAAACGTCGGCCCCAGGGAACACCGCGCCTGGGCCAACACCTGGAGAGTACAGCGAAGAAATGATCACTGACGCTTGTATGAATCACGACAACAGCATTGTGAATTTGTGCGCACGAGTTTGTTGGGGCAGTGACTGTTGTTTCCACGCTGACAATGCGAATGGAACAAACTGCGGCGACTTCCCATGCTACAAGTACAGTGCCTGTTCCGTGCTAAACCCTACTGCCGATGATGCCGTGAACCAGGCTTGTAACAATGGGGAGTTATCTGATTGTATCAACGCCTGCGGGAGCTCATGGTGTTGTTTCACCAAGGACATTGATAAGGTTTGCGCGGAGACCAATCCAGGAATTGTCTGCAGTCGATATACGGCCTGCGAACGCATCTACGACGTTGACTTCGGTGGCTAGCTAGTAGTGGTGCAGGCTGTTATGGGCGAGGCGGGCAAGGGGGGGAAAGAGTCTGTAAACAGTAGGGAATTTGATGATGATTTTCGTAGTACAATTAAATTTTAAGATAAATACCAAGCCGTGCATGGAAGTTTCAAGGCCATCGAGTCAGCCAATAGTGGTTCTCTGCAAGGCACTAGCTAGGCTTCCCTGTTCGCTGGGAAAAGCTGCAAAGACAAGTACTGAAAATGGAGGCGGATCTAATCTTGTTCATGATTTACACATGGCTTCAAAGCCACTCTCAGCCAGCAGGAATTGGAAGAAGACAAAGCGGGAGCAACCAGTTGTACTAGTACCCAACCAAGCTGTGGCTGCCGAGCCCAATGGTCAAGAGGCTGGGCTAGCACCTCTGGAGCTACCTTCCAGTGAACAGGCGGCTCTGGACAACAAGAAGGCGCCATGCCTTGAATTGTCGAAGATCAATACCCTGAGGAGTGGCTTCTGTGGACGGAGAAAGATTAGCTTTCTTGATCAGTTCGCAAGAACCTTGTGAAATTGTGAATATTTATTTACATGTACTGCTTTATAGATGAGGTGCATCTATCTAAATTCTGTCCAATCATCATCGCTGCTACTGTACAGCAAGCAAGCAGCCAATGACGTTCATCTCGCTTTCTTAGCTCATTCATTTCATGTTGAATCATGCCATCGCCGCAGCTTTCTCGTTCTGTTCTTGCTCAGACGCGTTGGCCTGCTCGACACAATCTCGAATGGCCAAGAGATTATTGCACAGGTCCTTCACGATGCGGCCTTCGACCAATTGCACGGGTAGATAGGCACGAGGACTGATTTCGACAGCATAAGTCAATCTCATGGCGCCTTCTGTGCCTCCCCCACAACCCGGCAAGGGCTGCATCCGCCACACCCCTTGGTACAGCCGGAATTCACCATCGTCATTGACAATACTCTGCATGGAGATATCCTTGGTGGGCAAACTCGAAACTGCAAAGGGTCGCGGGAACTGATACCGTTCCAGCTTAGTTTGCATATATTCCTTGGCCCGAGCATCTCGAGACTTGCCCTGCCACATTTCATCCTGATAATGAGCAAAATCCGGCAAACCCTGTGGCCATTCTCGAACCTCGAGTGTTGTGCGAGCTGAAAAGTTGATTCCCGCAACCTTGGCCCCACCCACCTGCTTGAGAAGCGCACCCTTCAACTGGTCGGCCATTTCCCGGCATTGTTCCTGATCGGATTGGCTGGCATCAATGGATATTTGATGATAATCTGTCACGCCATCGTACGTATCCATGACTTTATTCACCACCAGATTGGGTACAACATTTTGCAGATTGTCGTATTGAGTGAGGATCTGAATAATAATAAAAAATTGTGTTCAAATAATGTGATTCGGTGGTGCGCGCAGGAACGAGGATGATGATTCCAAAGCAAGAAAAAATTCAACAGTGCAGGTAAAGAATGTTGAGAAAGCCATGCACGAACCACTGAACGTGGTCAATCCAGTATGATAGCACTGTCTTTGTTTTTCTTGACAACTTACATTCCACACATCATCGACACTGGCCATGATATCAATTCCGGCAAAGATGCGTCTGGAATTTTCCGGTGCCTTTTCGACTCGCACCACGGGTTCTCCTGGGATCAGACACTGCGCTTCGTCCAAAAAGGGCGGTGCCATTTCCGATGCCGTAAAGTCAATGTCTTCCAACCGCAGTGCTTCGACGTCATCGACATCTTGTGCGGCGGCATAAATTTCGTTAATGACCTTGCGCTCCGCTTCTTCTTCGGCCACTTGCACGACATTGGCCGCCCCTTCCGCCGATGCCAAGGCGGCCGCTTGAATGGCTTCAATGGCCGACGATGCCTCGGATTTGGCCGATGTCAACGCCGCTCTGGCGTGTTCGAGCGATACCTCCATTTCTATCAAGGACCGTTCCATGGGTGCAAAGGCGTCATTGACCAAATCGAGGGTAATTTGCGACAGGATGGCCTCTCGTTCCTGTTGAGACAGCACGCCCTTTCCACTACTGGTGGTAATGACGCCGGATTTGCGGTTGATGACTTCTTCCACGGCCAAGTCGACGGCATCCATAGTAGCATCTCTCAAGACATGAGCAATGGCTTTGGGCATGGGACTGATCATTTGTTTGGCCAACGATTTGACGCGTCGACGCAATAGTTGCCGACGATTGCCAATGGCTTCTTCTTCTTCGTCTTCTTCCCCACTCGCTTCTATCGAATCATCCTTGGATTCCCCCAGATGAGTATGGGGATGATGATTGGGATCCTCCTTGCCATTGTCATTATTATTCCTGTTGAGCTTGATAAAGGCAAACAAATGGAGCCTGGATAGTTCTCTGGACCTTATTAGAGGGGATTGTGGTTGCTGTTGCTGTGTTGTTCTCAACTGTTCCAAGCTGGCCAAATTTCGACTGGTAGGAGCAAACGCCAACGAATATCCCACCATCAAGAGCAGCGCAATGGCCGTGGTGGTACCAGCGGATGAGGATGATGGGTGTCTCATGGTTTGTTCTCTTCAATTCAACTCTTTTATAGTACAACTGAGGAAAGGTGGGGTATCCAACGAAACAGCCGTTTTTTATCGCTGTACCGAGAAAGAAAGATCAATGAAGGGTTTGTTGCGTAAAGAAATTTATAACTGGGCACTTCCGCAACGCAATGACGAGACCGTGTCTTTCAAGACAAAAAGCTTAAGAAGTGTGGATTGTGAGACGTTGGTTGCGCAAGATTTCGGTTACCGTCGCTGTGGCTTGAGAATGGATATCAGAAAGATATCTGGGTTTGCCACATCTACAATTACTTCAATCTGGTTTGCGTCAATAAAGAGAAGAACACAGTGCAACGTCAGGTACCGCTCTGCTCAAAAAGAAATACACTACTAGCTCCTGCTAGCTAGAGTATTGGTAGCTTGCTTGACAGTTGCTGGAGTGATGAGAGATCGATGTGTTGCGCTTTTGGGTGTCAAGGAAAATGAAGGAGTCTTGAGACCGCCTTCAGACCAGCTCAAGACAAACTTGGGATTGAGACAAAGAAAGAAAAAAGCAATCAACTCACCTCTTGGATGAGGCAGTTCTCTCCAGTTGGCAAAAGTGTGCGTGACGATGATGGATCCGTGAGAAAGAAGGTCAACAGCATGAGGGCCTTTGTGCGTCTGGAAAAATCTGACGTGGTCAAAGCCTGACCCAATCACATCTCGAGAATGTGACACCTGGGATCCGGCCAGACACAAACATGCTTCGACGGCCAGCTGTACGGAACAAGCAAGTCACTGATTTGGACACAGAACACAAGGCAGGAACATGCTTCAGCTCACCGTGGATAGATCATCACAGGTGGTCAATCAAAGCTCCACAAGTTTCCAATTTTGGGGCCTTCTTGGTTGTCCAAATAATGGCTGGAGTTCCGAAAACTGTGATTCGATTCCAAGTACGAAGCTCCATGAATCACTTACTTGAGCTGACTATCAGGTACGGTGGTAGAAGTTGAGGGCGGGATCTGTGCTTGCTCGGAGGTGACGAGACCAACTTTGCTTCTGCGATTGGTAACCAAGGTACGCTGTATCTAGTAGGGCAAAGCAACGAAAGATGGGATTACGGTAGCTAGGACAGAGATACCTAAGCAAATGCAATGGCTCAAAGGGATGACGGCCAAGAGAGCAGAGTTACTTTTGGTGCTTGCGTACGGTTCGGAATGACCAGCTAGTTTCTACCTGAACGGATGGGATGCAGCTGCGGAACGGAGAGTTACGGTTGTGATGGAAGATTTCCTTTATCCAGTTATCCAAGCTTCGAGTTCTTCTAACTTAGAAACGAAAGGAAACATCCCCTTCTATTTTATCTTTGGGATTATAGTTTTAAAAACTCTTCTCTGCTTGATGGTACGTAGTTGTCCAAAAGGTGATCTGTTTACTAGCTAGTACTTTTGTTTTGGACGTGCATCGGCTCAAACACGTACGCACACAAGGCGAGATGGTTTCTCCCGGCGCTCGATTCTCGCACATGGGCTCATTTTTCGGCACGTATGGTACCGTACCGGTACGGTCGTCGGTCGTACACACATCGCACTTCGTACCGTATGACATTCGTACGGTGCCTTTCGTACTAGTACCTGCTGTCGACATCTGCTCTCCTCTCTTGACAGAATGTGATGGCGAGAGAAGAGGCAAGCATCGATATACCATAGCAGCAAATGCCTGTGCAACAATAAGTCAGTCAACCTTCGTGCTTCGTACAGTATCGTTCTTGTAGTGTTTGAATGGGCGCGATCTTAATGCGTTTGCGTGGTTCATCTATCATTGCATCAATCTTTGCGAGCGAGAAAAGCGAAGTGAGAAATCATGTCTCCAAAGAAAAACAGCAAGACCAGAAAGAATTCCAAGAAATTGGCAGCAGAACCTGTGCATACTGGTAGTCATGTTAGTGCTACCAGTAGCAACAAGTCAAAAGAAACTGATAATGCTGCCGTGACCTGACACGAGGCAGCATTAGCAGCAGCCATTAAAGGTCAAGATGACATGGGAAACTTTTACAATTCGCACGCAGAACTGCTAGTCTCGCAAGCCGCCCAACGGGAGTACTTTTATGCAAAAAACAATCAATGGTGGCAAGAGGGTGGCTATGGTGGTTCCACTGACGATGAAGAAATGGTAGGTGATGAAACTAGTTCCAGTGATTGCCTGGAAGGCCTTGCCTTTTTAGATGGACTGATCCAAAAGAACAACAAGGACAACAAGGACAAGAATATCAATGCATCATTGATGCAACACAAATTAGCCGTCGATGTGGGAGCTGGGCTAGGACGGGTCACCAAAGGCATTCTGTTGAAGCACTATGATGAGATTCATCTGGTGGAAGGAAGTTCAGCTTATAGCAAGCGGAGTAAAATCAAGCTCGGAAAGAAGAAAGCTAAGCGATGCGTCTTTACCCAGTGCTATCTACAAGATATTAATTCTCAGACACTTGGTACTGATAGGCCAATAGATCTCATATGGGTCCAATGGACGTTGCAATATTTGACCGATTGTGATGTTATTGAGTGCTTGAAAATATTGGCAGAGAGCCTGCGACCCGTTGTTGGAGTGCTGGTTGTGAAGGAGAATCGACCCTTTGGACTACAAAGAGAAGACCGGTTTCAAATGGACACTCCGGCGGGAGAGTACAGCCGATATGACATTACAAGACATGATGCCCATCATCGACTGCTGTTTCGAATGGCCGGGTTAACGGTGGGGTCCACGGAACGGGGTGAAGAGACGAATACGTATGAGTTGAGAGTTGAGAAATAAAATATTGTGAAGTGCATGTATGCAAGATGGATGAGCTTTATTGGATGTGCATTGGTGCTGGAAGCAGGGCTTGTTGCTGTAAGAGGAAGAAATGGTACGGAGTGCTTTCGCTGCATTGATGGCTTACAGGTAATTTACACCAGGTTTCATCGTTTCATTCCAATCGTTTTCGTCAGCTCGGCTGCGAGTCAACGAAGCAAAATCTCTTCTGCCGATCTTGAACTGACCAAATCAAAGCCTGTCATTGAGATTGGGTACCTTACGATTCCTTCGCTCGATCAGATGATTTTGCAAATCAGTGCGAGGCAAAATGGTAGCTTCTTCCATGCTCATCGTACCTGTCTTTGAGCCGGATAGATCAGACCCCCAACTGCCCAGGAACGAAGTGGAGCAGCGGATCCAATCTCTGATCAGCCAGTGAGTTCTCGTCTGCTTGGGCTTAGCCGAACTAGCACCCCAAAGTTGCCATGCCGAATGCCGACCGCAGTCTGGTTCTTCTTGTATGCGGTGGCTCACCCCACTGCACATCATCAGACGCTCCCGCATCCCGTCTCGGCAGCCACATCAAGAACCTCATCGGAAAGTACTAGTACAGTAATAAGGAGCTATCGACGATTTAGGTAGCAAAGAGCTGCTCCTTTAGCCTTTAGTACTAGCTAGCTAGAGTAGTCCATGGTATGTAGATCTAGTCAATGGAATCTCTTGCTATGCATAGACTGCATGTACTCCGTGTAGATCAGCTGTAGTCTGAGCACCGGTACACTCTATGCACACCTCTTCGCTTGGGCAATTGTACGAGACAATACTGCCCTTCTCCCAATAAGTCCAATTCAACAGCTGGCTAGCTATCTTTATTTAGTGTTTGCTAGTTCAAGGCATTATAATGCACTTACTTTGATTTAAGAAATACATGTATCGTTTGGGATAGAATTTTTGCTTTCACAATACTCTACTCTAGTAGTAAAGCTCCAGTAATAAGCTCCTTTTGATATAGGTTATTGAAGTATCTTCATACTGCTACCATGATCAAAAGTTACACTACTCCTACCCACCTAGCAAGGGCTGTTCGTGGAGAGGCAAATAGTTAGTTGTATCTCATTCAACTGGCAAAATTTTCCAGCGATGCCAACTCTTGCTGTTTGCATGACACTTGGTTACCAACGAAATCGTTTTGGTCGAGTAAGATCAAAACGACAACTGTAGTCATCGCTTCAAGTAGGGAGCAATGCAGATACTGGCTCGATTGGTTCTAGACATAGACCGGTGGCTCAGCAGATTGGGCGGGGGTTCTGCGGCCGGCACTGGATGAGGTTCATCGGTTCATCTCACTTCGCTCTAGCCAGAAGACAATAAGAAAGGAAATATCCACGGTGCTTTTCGTGAAACTTATTTTCCCCACCCTGATGGCTCGGTTGGGTGGACGTTGGATCGCACGATGATCAAACAGTAACATTGTGACATTGGCTGAAAACACTTCGAAGGTCCTCTGAACTCTGAAGTGGATCTTAAAATCAAAGGGTCAATGTACTGTATTTGTGGGGGGAAAGTGTATAAAGATTACCAGGTCGCGAGCCCAAGGTGTCAGTGTGGCAGTTGTCGCCGGTACCATTAATCCTCTCGAGAAAAGGTGAGTTCTCATTGGATCTTCTTTGTTCACATAAGAACGATGTGGCGACCAGGCGACCAGGTTCTTTATTTTTTTTAAAATAGTCGCGATGTACTCTAGCTAGCTACAGTAGAGGCTATACAAATTAATTTCCAAAGGTTGCGATGCCCTTTTCGGTGAACTAACTATCACAGGGAACTCTTTTATATTTATTGGAAACCAGATCTGACCAGTTAGTTGAGAGCTCCTTGAGCTTTAGTTTTGCACCATCAGTGTTCTCTGAAGATCTCTGCTCGTTTCAGTACCTAACATCTGTTCCCCAAGAATGAACCTCAATTTGTGGAATAATTAGTACCGGTACTCAGTTCTCCAGGTAGAGCTCTGGTACTGGTACTACTAGTCTAAGCTTACTGGATACCTGGTAAATAGTCGCAGCGCAGAGTACAGAGCTCTGTGTGAACGTGTGAACCTCGCGCTCATCGCATCGACCGCATCGACCACAAACAAAAAGAAAACCTCTTCTGTTACGAACTATTGCATCGAATCGATCATTGGTAGTAGCTAGTATAGTACTGTAGCAAGTATCAAGAGCTACCCATAGAGTACAATCTCATTTGGCACAAGCACCACAACTTTTAAAAGCGACAATGGATCCAATCATAGGCAAGTCCTCATCAGAAGAAGCAGGTCGGACCTCCACAGGTGATAACACCGATGGCTGTGGCGACCATGCAGAAGACAACCATCCAGTAAACGCCGTCGGCGATATAACCGAACCATCGGGAAGTCAGGAAGATGAGAACTCTTGCACGATCAATGAAACCATGGGCAAGAGCTGGAGCGTGGATGACATAACCAAGTCTCCGCTAGAACAGCCAGAAGTTGAGACCTTTCATCAACAAGATCCAGCTTCTTCCAAGGTGGCCATGGGCAAATGCGCGGAGTGTCGCGAGGCTGCCACCGCGAAGGCTACCAAGGCAGTACATGTAGACGGCATGAGTGTGGCCTCGAGTTCCAAGGCTCAGAAGCACAAGACCACGTTCGAGGGTAGTGCCGATCCAAACACGAGGGAGAATTCAAGAGAATCACCAGCGGGTTCAGCTCTCGCGGAAATCCAAAGAAGATCGGAGTTGGACGATTGGATCGACGATATCACTCCCCTACCTCAAGGACCGTCCAGCCGACCCGAGCCGTCGTGCCCTGGAGCATTTTCCATTGCACCCGGACTGATCCATCCTCACCCAAGCGTTACAGATGATGCCGTCGACGAAGAGCAAGAGCCGCAAGAGCAAGGAGATCAACCAAGAACTATAACTATAAGCGCCATCTTATCACCCGAAGAAGGTGCAACCCTTTGCGATGCGAGTCGCTCTGCCGGAACGCTTGTCTCGTATGAGTTTTCAGAGCGGGACCTGGAAGCAGAGCACACCGAGGTGGCTATGGTTCTGGATGGCAAGATTGTGGAAGAAGACGACGAAAGGCCACGGTGGGTGATAGCTACCATTGCTGTTGCAATTCTGGGTCTAATTGCCGTCATCATTTTGATGGCTCTAGGATTGGCAGGGGTCTTTGTCGACACTGAACATTCAGAAGATCTCCAAGGTCAAGCCCTTGAAACTTCCCCAAGCAATGGTGCTGCCACGCCATCGGCTTCGACGGAGGCTCCATTTTCTCGTTTGGATATGATCCGAGAACGGGGATATCTTACATGCGTGTACTTCCCCGTCCCTGGATTCTTGTACAAGGATAGTGAGACTGGAGAAGTCACAGGCTTCAACTCGGTCTGGGTAAGTTGCAGTTGAATGTTTTCGTCAGTCATTCTTGCTTGAGGTCACAACTTATGCAACGCCGTTCTGCACTTTAGTGCAAAGCTATCGCTGCAGCTCTTTTTGGGCCACAAGACATGCAATCAAAGCTGAGGTACCTGGACTTTAATCTTGCCGTCCTGAAACAGATTGACGTATCAACTCTAGGGACCACTCCCACGATGAGTCGATACTTCCCCAAATCGGTACGCTTGAAATACCATCAAACAGTGCAGCAGAGTATGCGTGCTTTACGACAAGGCTGACTTGTTTGCCTTTGTGTTCACAGGATATATCAGCAGACGGCTTCTACTTTAGTTCACCCTTCTTCTATAATGGGCTCAGAGTCGCTGGTGATCCATATTTTGTGGATTGCTTTGAAGATGGCTTCCATCACGTGGATGAATGTGCTGATCTTATGCTTTGTGTGCAGGGTCATACCACACATGAAACCTTTGCCCTTGCCGCCCTTCCCAACAGACGCATTGATTTGATAGAGAAAATGCATGATGTGCCACTGCATTTTGTGGAAGGGCGCTGCAACATCATGCTCATCAAGCAAGAAACAGCATCTGAACCAACGCTAAGGGAAATGGGTTACACAGGAAATTACACTGTTGGTCAGAAGCTTTTCAATAGTGAACCATGGTCCGTGATGACATATCAAGATGACCCTGTCTTCTCTGACTTTGTGAACTCTGTGGTACAGTCACTCATGGCAGCTGAGAGCCGAGGTATCACTCAAAGCACTGCCCATCTCATGCCAGAAACTCACGTCTTTGGCAAAGACCTCAGGAACGCATTTCGCAATGCTGTTGAGGCAGTCGGTTCCTATTCAGAAGTCTACGAACAGTTCCTGCAAGCATCTATGCCAAGAAAAGCCATCAACATGGTGAACAATGGAACAACAGGTCAGATGCAGTCACGTCCTTTTGGGAAAAATATTCTCAAAGAAGAGGAATATATCCTGGGTTCAACCATGGAGAGGGTACTCCAGCGTGGAAAGCTGGTTTGCGGTGTACAGCTTGGAAGGCCAGGGTTTGCCATGGAAGTGGAAGGTGGTTTGATCAAGGGAATCGATGTTGATTTTTGCAAGGCTGCTGCAGCTGGCTTGTTTGGCGGTGTTGATTCCTTGGACATTGTTCCACTAGATACACCGTCAGATGGGTACCAGAAGCTGGTGAATGGCGAAGTGGATGCCATTGCAGGCGCCCTGTGGAATCTGGAGAATGATGTCATGGAGCCTACAACAGGCGCTGGATTTGCCTTCAGTCAACCCTACTATTATGGCTCTGTTGATGACAACCACTGTTTAGCGGCACTGCAAGATGATCCCAATTGGTCGTCCTACATTTTCTGGTTGGTTTCAGCCATCGTCTATGCAGAGGAGAAGGGTATCACACCTGAAACATGCAATGACATGCCCTACATATATGTCTTTGGTTCCAGCTTGAAGAGGATCTTCCGGGATGCCATCTTGGGGGTAGGCAACTATGGCCAAATCTACGACAGGAATTTGGCGGCCATCTTGCCAAGGATTGGGAGAAATCTTCTCAATGCCAACCCACTTGGACCCCAACTGTATCATGTCCCTGGCTTAACTTAATTGTTTCCGTGGCTGAGCACTTCCACTGGAGGTCTTCACGGGTCCAAAGGCCGTACAAGAATTTTTTATTCTCCGGTGAATACGGGTGTGAGGTGTGAGCAGGTTTGACGACCCCCAATGTCAGCGTGGGTCCATCTCACTGCAGCAAGGCTCGAAACGATTGAGATTCGATTCTCGTTCCGTCGGCTTACCACCTCCTTATCATACTGGTAACCACGTGCAGCAGAGAGAATGGTGGTACCGGTGGTACTGCAATGGCAGGACCCTCACGTCATTGCGGCTCTTAAGCCGATGAAGTCCGTGATACGTGATTCAATGTAGTAGCACGTGCATCGGACTTAAGGCAGCTGAGATTGCAAGAAGCTCCAAGATTAGATGCAGTTTACCTAACAGAACGTTTGTTAATTCTCTGATTTCTCTTCAGTTCCCACTTGCTCTTATATTTAATCGCGCTTGGAACAGCTGGATTTCGGCAACCGACAACAGTAGTTGCCGAAACGGTAGCCAAAACTAAAACAGTGGAGCCGTGCAGTTTTTGCCGTTTTTATGTTGGCTCTTCTTTCAGCCACCAAGAAGTCCACTACATGTACAACCACAGCTTTCTCGTCACCGCCATAATTTGCCATTATCCTACATCGATCTGTTCAGTTCCAACGATTGCTCGCACAACAACAGTCCAGCACCGTTTGTTTCCAATAGGCAACATGTCCTCCCCTCGAGATAACCGGAAAAAGCCACCTCCTTCGTCGTCGTCTGACAATCGCAAGAAACCGCCTCCACCGGCTCGTACAGCCGCCCCTTCTTTGATGGGTGACGCCTCTCTGCCTGGGGCATTTCCTCAGGGAGGAGGATTAGGAGCCGATATCGAAATGTCACCCATGTCCCGTCGACTCAGCGCCGAGAATTTCAAGAACAACTCCCGACCAACAGGCGAAAGCCGACCAGGTGCCGTGGCCATGTCGGGTATGGCAAGTGGCGGCGGTAGCAGCAAAGATCTCAAGAGCGAAAGCAGCAAGACGGATTCCACGCGAGATACGGAACCGTCTGTGAATGATGACAATGGTGCGTTGGTAGTAATGATGCCACCACCGGATGAAGGCCTGGAAGATGATTACATGAGGCGGAAAAAGATGACCATGGCGACTGCTGTTGGCTTCCTGGTGATTATAGCCATTATCATTGTCGTGGTGGTCGTCGTCGTTGCAACTGGTAGCTCGGAAGACGACAACGCCATGGCCCAGGTAGAACCAGATAAAGGCAACACTCTCGATCCTCGGTTGCTCATGCCCAGTTTGCCCGATGCAACCGTGGATGCTATTGTGAATGATCCTCATTCCGCACAACACCAGGCATATGATTGGTTGCTGCGAGATCCAACGCTAGCAGACTATGAAGAGTGGAGGCTGCTGCAAAGATTCGTCTTGGTTGTTCTGTATTATGCCTTTGATGGTCCTGATTGGAGCCGGGTGGCCATGAAGGTCACGAGATATCGGGACTACCGGTTTCCTGAATGCACGTGGGGAGAACCTTTCTACGGGGACTATTGCAATGAAAATGGACAAGTGGTTAGGTTGGCTTTTCAAAATATTCGTCAACTAGACCCCATTCCCCCCGAATTGTCGTTGCTGTCCAACTTGCAAATGTTGGAGTTTGATGATCAAAATAACATCAAAGGAACAATTGAGAAATTTTTGAGCCTGTTGCCAGCCAACCTAACCGAGGCGTTTCCCAGTCTACACACTTTCACGCTGCCGCATTCGGAACTGGTAGGCACCATTCCAGGAGCGTTGCTGAGCACATTGGCACCCACTCTGCGCAAGTTGGATCTCAGGGAAAACTATTTCACTGGTGCTGTTCCCAGCGAACTGGGGCTCTTGCACAAGCTTGAATCACTGAGTTTGACAATGAACAAATTGGAAGGAGACTTGCCAGAGGAACTCGGGACATTGACTGCGCTGAAAGAGTTCACTTCGGACCAAAATCCAGACATTGAGGCTATTCTGCCGTCCGGATTCTGCAGTGAAGAAAGCAACCTGACAACCCTCATTACTGATTGGTGTCCGACTGTGGAGCAATGTTGCTCCACAGTCGGACACAACTAGCTACTATTTGGGCTCAGGCTCCACAACATCCATGCAGCCCCCACCAACCACACCACAAAACCTTAGAATAAAGCAATGAAACTGCACTGGAACTGATTGCCCCCACAGAGCAGCACGCCCCTATTCATAATCAAGCATTGTGATTTGCATACATGTATTTCAATGCTGTGAAGTATACATTTAATTCTCTGTCTGTGTACTATAGCTTGATAGCAAACCAAAGAAACTGTTGCTGAAGGGCGAACTTGTTGTAGAGTAAGTAAGAGTACGCAGGATAGAGGTGTCCACAGATGTGAGAAACTTTGGCCCCGAGGTGTGTGCCCCTACTCTAGCTAGAGGTGCAGAACTTTTGCCCCCGAGTAGAGGTGCAGATTTTCTGCCCCCGAGGTGCCGCCCCAGAGGCGGAGATTTGATGGCCCCCAAGGTGTGTCCCAAGAGGTGCAGAATTTAGCCCTCCGCAAAAGAGGGATCAACAGTGTCAGTGGAACCATCACGAAGTTTTGCTATGAAACCTTAATTTAAAAATTTTGGATGAACGGAGGAGATTGTATCATGTTCATCTAACGATTATGTACAACTGTAGCTACCTTAAAAGAGGAAGAAGTTACAAAATGGCAGCTGGGGAGAAACCCACTAAACATCAATCTCATCAATGATCTCTTCGTTGAGAATGTCTGCTGGGTCGAAAGCGGGGCTCTTTGTGGCTTCCACGGCCACAGATGCCGGCAAAGTTTCAACTGCAGCAGTGCTCGCTGCTGTGCTACCTTCAGGCTGCTTGTTACCTCCACAGGATTGGAACAGTCGGTCAGCCATGTACGTTGGTTGTGAGGGACCAATTGTATCTGTCAACGTCAAGAAGAAGACAAAGCTTCCAATGGTTGCTTGAACAATAGCGAAGAACAAGACGAAGGCGAACTTTGTGAAGAATGTAATCACGCAGAAGAGCATGATCATTGCTCCTGCCATGGTGGTGATGGCAGCAGCAAGAATGGATGGGCCCATGTCAATAATGGCATGTCTGGTTCGGATTTCTTTGGCTACTTCACCCGGCATTGACACATACGCATGGCTGAAAGTTGGAGGAAATATCGTGAGGATTGTGAAACGGCAGCAGGTGAACCGGGTCAAGCGCACTATGCACATACCAGAAGTGAATAACGAAATCTACTGAGACACCAATAAGAATTGCGAAGCAAATGCTTTCAAGGAAGCCGAGTGTCCAGCCAGCCGCAACCATCATCGCTGTCACGCTTGCCAACACATAGCCAATGCTGAGGACAGAAAACAAGGTCATGACCAGGGATCGTGATGACAAGAGGATCACGAGAGCAGATGCCGCAATGGCGATACCTGCTGAGCCGTATGCGGTGCTGCAATCCAAGGAAACAAACGTGAGAGCCCACTCAAAGGCGCCATCGTCATCACACTAGGAAACACGGTCATAACTAACCTGAACATTTGAAGGTTGGTATCATACCACCAGAAATCCTGGGAAGAAAAGAAGGCCTTGTTGGCACCTGGAGGAGCACTCTTTTGGTCGTTTACCATCCAATTTTCAATCTTATGCCACTCGGCGTCAAGCTCCTGGTTGGGGCTGTCGTATCGAACTAGGCTGACAAAGGGGAAGGTAATTGTCTGCACAATTCCGTTCCTTGCCAGCACCGCCCATTCGCCAACTGCCTGGGACCATGCAACGATGCAGGGATTGAAAGCGGCGGGGTCCATGGGAAGGCCGCCCGCCCCATCGCAGTGATCTAGGTAAATGTCAGTTGCGGTCCCTCCTGCCATTGCCTGGGTCTTGAGCCAGCTATCGAACTTGTTCATGGAGCATTCGAAGCCATCTTCAGGCAACAGTGCGAACTCTTCACCAAAGAACCGTGGGCAGTAATCGCGCAGGTACTCTTGGGATTCGGTGGTGGATGCGTCAAAAGTTTCGTCCAACACAAGTGTAGACCAAGAGGCAGGGTTGCTATGGTCTCCCGTATCGGCGGGGACTGCACCAAACAGAACATACGCAGTGGAACCTCCCTGCTTGCGAAGAACCTCGTACAAAAGATTCTGGCGCCAGACGTAGCTCTTCTCGTACTCAATGGAAGTGGAAACAATTCTGACCTCTCCTGAGACTGGCAAATCCAACCTGAGAGCGTTAATGCCGCTGACCACCAAAGCAGCAGCACACGCAACCAACAAGGGCCAGCGGATCATGTGTAGAAAGTTGTAATAGCCAAGCAAGACGCGACGGATAAAGCTAATTCTCATGGGTTTCTGTTCGGGTTCTTGTTCTCCGTTGGTTTCGCTTGCACTGAGGTTTGTTCCTTGGGTTTCTTCATTCTTCGACTTTGTGGAGACAGTAATGCTTGCGGGCACACCATCAGCGGCTTCATCTTCGTCGTCGGACTTTCCTCTACAGCACGCCAGACTGATGCAGCAATTAGAGTTGTGTCGGTAGCCATCGTAGATGCAAAGGCAAGGGAAGACTACATGAACAGAACGTGAAAGAGCAGCAATCAATGATCAGATATTATGAACTCGTGCAGGACCGTATAAAGACAAAGCATGGCGTGGTCGCTGCACTTACTCAATACAATATCCATAATGTAGTCGAACTGATGATTGAAAGCAAAGCAAGGTCAAAGACAGCTTCTTTAGCTTGGGGCATTGTTTCGCGCTGCCTTCCACAAAGACAATTGGCAGCTGGTTTCTTACCGTGATGAGCAAACCGCAAAAGATGGCAAAGAGTCTCACGGGAGCTACAGGACAAATGGCGGTTCCAAAGAAGGCAACTGCACAGCAAGGGCACGTGAGAATGGTGGCAGCTCGCGATCCAAAAAGCCCCTCCAACCAAAACTACGGTACTTACCAGCCGTGGTGGTGGTTGTCAACAGCATGGCGGCGGCCGCATCGGGAAGCGCAATGGCAGCCACATCCTCGGTGGATGCATTTGGGTGATCCAAGCGAGCATTCTTCCACTTGTCCACACTAACAAAGACGTGATCAGCTCCCAGAGCAAATACCACAAAGACACCAATAAAGTTGAGGAACGGAAAGAATGCGAAACCACCAATGAAGCGATAGGCAAAGAACGCCAGTGGGAAACTGAGGATGATCTGCACCAGCCCCACCAGGGTCAGGAAGGGCGACCGCGTGTGCACCAAAATGGCCACGGCCGTGATAAAGGCGGATCCAGTGGCCAACAACATGTCGCTTTCCACGGCGCCATCGGCGAAGATTTGTACAAAATCGTTCCATTGGGTATCGTAGGCTCCTTCGATTTGATCTCCTCCCTTTCCGAATTGATCATTGATGTTGTACAGCTCATCAATCATTTCTTCGGAGGTGGCAAAGACACTACTGGTGTATTGGACTAGACCGGACGTATCAAACAATTCATCCAGGAGAGCGGGGTGGAAGTAATCGGGACAGACGGCACGATAATCTCCACTGACGGCACTATCGGGGTTGGCCTCGATAAATTCGACGCACGTTTTCCATTCGGCTTCAGTTTCGGCTTGGAACGGACCCCACGCAGCCGCGAGGGCATTGCACTCCATGTCCATACCACCCGGGACCAGTAGACGAGCGTACATGACAATCCCATAGGGTGGCAAGCAACGATCGGTATCGCCACAGGTGATGCACAGGCTGTTTTCTTCCAAGACGCGTTGTGTCTGCTGTTCATTGGTACATAGTTCTTTGACAATGGCTGGATTCAAGGCCGTGGCAGAAGCATCATAGGGTTTCCAAACGGGCCAAAGACGGGCTTCACTGGTGACATTCTCGTGAGTGTACCAGCGGCGGTCGCATCCTTGTAGGGTGGTGGAGTTGTCTTCTGCCAGTTTGCGCGCTAAAAAGTCGTGGAGGACTTTGTTGTCGCGAGGCATTGGAAGCTTTTGACGGATAGTTGAAGGAATGCTGGAGGGCGTCTCGCCAAAGGCAGCCTGCATGGTAGTGGGGATGACTTGTTCGACCCGAGACAGTCTGACCGGAGGCAGTTCTTCTTCTTCTTGATCGTCGATTTCCATCAAACGTCGATTTTCCAACAGATCATCATCTTCCCAGCCAGGTTGGACGTTATTGGTGAGATCTTGCCACCAGACTTCATTGGTTTCCGAGGGAAAGAGGTACTTGGTGTGTCGCGTTACCATGAGGACTTGGGTGGTACGATCGGCAATGAGAGTGCCACGGCTCTGCCAGCCTCCTTCTTCGTTGCTGATGGAGAACTCTCCTAGCACCATACCCACTGCCGAAAGGCCAAAGCTAATGATGAATCCAATCCAAAAGTACGTCTTGGGCCAACGGGCCATTCGCATGGCTTGGCGTTGGAGAAAGCTGTAGTCCTCTTGGAGAGGAACATACTCCTGCTGTTGCTGCTGTTCGTTGTCGGTGCCCATGGTGTCGACCTTGCTTCTTCTTGATGACTGTCTGTTTTTATGGCACTCTCTCTCGATGCTATTGACGGCGTGGGAACGATCCGTTTCAGGCAACTTGGATACCTTGGTCTTGGGTTGAGTTGTTGCTCTTGCTCAGCCACCCTTCTTTGAAAAAGAGCCGAGGTTAGAATTGTGAATAATTTTGTGGCCTGGGTTTTGCAGGGAAGTGGCTTCACCGTTAGTCCCACAAGTCCCACAACATCAGTGGTCACCGGATTGCGTGCTTGGGTCATTGGTGGAAGTTCTGTTTGCTTCCTTTTCGCTGTTCAGCAAAAATTGCTGGAATAGATTCTACTGAACTTTGACAGTAAAACGTTCCTGTGACATTAAGGATTCTTAGAATTATTAAGTGTCTATTGCCAGAAGTCACAGTTCCCAACGTACCTCGGAACTGCCTCCACTGACTTCCAGAAGATCCACCTCTCCGTGCCGGCGTCTGCGTCATCAAACGATCCTTCGGCGTATCTTTGGTTTGCACCTCGCCGGCTCTCCACGACTTGATCTGAAAGCGCTTTCATTGGCTTGGTCAAGGCAATGGGATTCTCGGATTCTCAGCCCGGGAGTCGCTCTGGGGATTTGAACCATGCATGAAGCTGACAGCGCAAGCAATGGCGCCATAGCGTCCACCGCAGTGGGCTACTTTAGCTTCCGGAGCTTACTATTACAACCAGCACCAGCACAACCACAGCAGCCAGTGTAACTGCACTATGAATACTAGTACTGCTACCAGTACCGGTACGACCGAGTCTCCTCTTCTGTCGGCTGACGATTTGATTTGGACCGGCCAGATTCTCTCGTTTGTTGGTATTGGACAGTATGCTTTTGTAGGACCTGTCAACAAAAAGATGAATCGACTCTACAAAGAGTACTGTGAAATTGAACTCAAGAAAAATCCAAGACAGGTAAAAGAAGACCCTGATGCCCGTCCATGGCGTTGCCGCTCCGCAGAAATCACCGACACTCTTCACAGCGAAACCTTCTGTAACTCTTCACAGCGAAACCTTCTGTAACCTACCCCGTGCAGACTACTGGCTCAAAGCCAATTCCAGAAATAAGAAACCGGATCGTCCTCATGTGTGTAAAGCAATTGCCACAGTTGGAAATGTTGTAGTCATGCAATGGGCACAACAAAAAGGATTCCCTTGGAATGAGCGGACATGCGCCTATGCTGCTAAAAATGGACATTTGGGACTGCTCCAATGGTTACGAGAGAATGGTTGTCCATGGAATGAAGACACATGTGCTGGTGCTGCTGAAAATGGACAGCTGGAAATGCTCCAATGGTTGAGGGAGAATGGATGTCCGTGGAGTGAAAGCACATGTGCCCGTGCTGCAAAAAATGGACATTTGGAAATTCTAAAGTGGGCTTGTGCAAATGATTGTCGATGGAATTATTTGACATGCCGCTTTGCTGCTGAAAATGGCCATTTGGAAGTCTTAAAGTGGGCCCGTGCAAATGGTTGTCCATGGAGTGTGAATACATGTGCATATGCTGCTAAGGAGGGCCATTTGGAAACTCTGAAATGGTTGCAGGAGAACGGATGCCCCTGGGATCAAAGAACATGTTCTGCTGCTGCTTCAAATGGCCATTTGGAGATTTTGAAGTGGGCTCGTGAAAACGAGTGTCGGTGGGACCAAGGACATGCAGCATGGCTGCTCGAAATGGCAATCTGGGGATTTTAAAGTGGGCTCATGAAAATGGTTGCCCATGGGATGTGCGGACATGTGCTGAAGCTGCTAAAAATGGTCAATTGGAAGTTTTAAAGTGGGCTCATGAAAATGGCTGTCCATGGCATGAAGGGACGTGCTCAGGTGCTGCTCTAAATGGCCATTTGTTCATTCTCAAGTGGGCTCATGAAAATGGTTGCCCATGGAGTGAACTCACATGCTCAAGTGCTGCTCTAAATGGCCATTTGGAAACTTTGAAGTGGGCTCGTGAAAATGGTTGCCCATGGACTGCAATGACATGTGCCTTGTGCTGCTGAACATGGACATCTGGAAACTTTGAAGTGGGCTCATAAAAATGGGTGTGCATGGAATGCACAAACCTTTACAGCTGCCAGAAGAAGCAACAAAAGTGAAGTGTCCAGTGCTACGTGACAAGGCTGCCTGAGCTCACAATGAAGGACACTGATATGATACATCAACATCACTAAATTTTTGTGAAAGTCCTTCTCTATATATTACATTATAGATAGACTAGTCCGTACCGGTAGTTGTATCCAGCTAAAACGAAGCTAAATAGAAGGAACGACATACACCACTAACATTTTAGCTTTTGCTCAGTACGCTGAGCGCAGGTGTAATGGAACTACCACTGACATCCTCCGGCACCAGACTTGATACCGCATTGCTCCAACCTCTCATGTATGACCTTGCTTTGGAAGCTGTCGGAGAAGGGGAAAGCACAGCCAGTGCCAAGTACAGACAGATTCCGATGAAGTCAGGGACAAGTTATAGCCACCTTTGATAAAATGCACGTGAAGCTGATGGAGGGGCAGGAAGGAGGAAGGCCCTTACCAAATGGCAACTCACAATCAACCAAGAACTCTCATCGGCAAAGGGTACGGGTGGCTTGGTAGGTCAGTCCAGTCCCGCGAAGGATCGTTCTACCAGTAGCTACTGGTGCCGAGCTGGGGAGAAAGAGGTACGGTTCTTACTAATGAGTACTGAAATTTGACACAAGATTTAAATTGGCTAAATGACTCGATTATAAGACTGACAGGCGCTCCTCGCCAAGGAGTACAAAAAATGCACAGTGACCAAAGGGACTCAACCGCTACCAAATCGTCATCATGTCACAACAGAGTCACAACAGGGGTGCACCGTACCTCAATCGAACGTCCTCACAATTTGATATCCGTGTCAAGTCGAACATCGTCAAGTCATTGGATCCACTCCCACACAGTCAACTATAGCACAGCTGCTACATCACCATGTTGCTGACTGCTTCAGCCACTTTCAAGCACTGGTTAGACCAGAATGGAAACTACCCATTCAATGAGATTCGGAAGACCAGGCAGAGCTTTGAACTCAAGTATGTTTTGTTGGTAGATGAAACTGACAGGGTAAACAGGTACAGTCAGTACTTTGTGCTAAAGGTAAAGTACCTTCCCAGTGTCATGGTTGAGCAACTCATAATGGAAGAAAAAGCTGTGCCCATGACACCTGATATGACCTGGATTCTGGAGACCATGACTGGATGGGGGGTGAGGCAGAGCTCTGAGTGGTACAGTGATGTCCTTGCTCTGCTTGCTTTGGTAGTGGAGGAAGGAGATTCTATGACAAAGAAAGAGTTGTGTGCAATGATAGTTAGACCACTTATGAGGGATGCTCTCTATAATCAGTTTGGTGTGTGGGAGTGGGAAGCCAAAGAGTTCTTACTTACAGAGTGGACTCATTGGTTCAACACTGTATGCTGGAGCAAGCACAAACACAACTTCAGTGGGATGGTTATCAGTAGCCAGCAGTACATTATCCACAGGGGGTCTCTCACTGCTCACAATGGAGTGTATGCTTACTCAATGCCTTGAATATGTCTCATTTCTGTAAAGAAAAGGAAGCAACAACTGTCAGATTGTTGTTGTTTGTTATCCAATTAGTGTCACAGTAACCAAATAGCTCACCTTTAATTCAAACCATCCTTCCTTTTCTTTGACAAGCCAAGCATGTACTGGCTTTGTGCAGGTTGTTCCCCATCCCTCATCAATGCCATGACAGTCTTTCCTTTGTCTGCAATTGCCACAGTGGTCTCTTGTACAGTTCTTTCCTGGCCTCTCTTGTAGATGATGATCTGACCGGCGGTAGGCGCAGGTAACACAATAGCGACGACTCCTGAAGATTTTGCGAATCGGTAGTGGTGTTGGGTGTTGAAGTGTTACCTCGGCTGTGGCAACTGTAAAAGGCGCATTTGTTGCAAGAGATGTACCGGTCACAGTGCCAAAGGCAATGTCAGGATTTAACACAGCAGGAACACCAAACGGTGTAAAACCACCATTGTTGACATACGTCGCTGGAGATACAGTGAAAGCCGCTCGTGTTGGAGGAAGCCCTTGTCTGCTGGCATGTAGTGTGGTGTCAAGATTGCGTTGATCCCCATCATTTTCGTTGCGTGCAACCAGTGTCTGAATGGCCTCATTCTCTTTGATGGCGTCATGGAAATCCTGCAAGAACAGCGCTGATTTCAACCGGATCTGAACAATGGACTCGTCTCCTTGGCTCCAAAGTGTCAACCTTCTTGCCGCTTCATTGTTCCAATCCCTTTCAAAAGCATGGTAGTTGTTGCTTCGATTTCCACCATGTCGCCGGTATCTATCTTTCATCTCTTCGAATAAGGACGACTCTGCTTGATCCAGTGTTGTTATTGGCGAATCACTCGAGGGCAATCGGAAGGGTATCCACGGGGCATTGTCAGTCAATCGCTTGAAAGCCTCCAGTGTACTCTCCAAACCATCGTTGTCTGGTAGTAGCTTCTTTAACTCGTCATTGATGAAGGCTCTATTTTCGCGATCAGACTTGGCTTGCTCGGCTTCGTCACTTAGTAAAGCGAGCTGTCGCACTTGCTCTGTTGTGTCACCTAAATCGCCAACATCCACCACTTCTACTTCAACATCCAACTCATCGCCCATTATTTCCAAAAGTTCCTCAGACATCTGTTGCTCTTCTTCTTCTACATCGCCCTCTAACTCTTCCTCCTCTTGGTCGTCGGTGATGGTGACAACTCCAGGTGCTGATGCCGGATTAGATACATCATCCAGATCGGGCAATAAGTAGTCAAAGCCCATGTATTCCGCCGGAGCATCTTCATCGATCCTGGGAGCTGTGAGCTTCTTATATGGTAGGCTGTCGCTGTCAAAACCTACTGTCTTGGCATAGGTGTTCAACATGAGAAGACGCTCTGTCTGGAAGGTTCCATAGTCTTCTTCTCCAAGTCTGAGAATGGATTTTCGATGATTCTTTTCTTCGAAGAAGGTCCAGCATAGTCGCTCACCCCTGTGAATGCCTGGGTATCATAAGGTCGCGCAGGAATGAGTAAAAGATATGTAAAATAGACAAATTGTGAGGTTCACGTCATTTTGGCCACTGAAACATCAAACAAGTACATACCAATGACAGCAGCTGCCAGCAGATTGGCCAAGTCCAGGTTATCTCTCTCATTTGTGTTAGTTCCCCTGGCGACATAAGTAGTGTCGGTGACTTCATTGTACCGGAAGATATTCACAGAACAAGGATCAGAAAGACACCCCTTGTCCACATGCTTGAGTTGTTCTTGAACCGTCTTTTGAACCAAGGTTGCATTTGATTTGAAGAACCGCTTTGGTGTTGGTTCGCCTTCTGCAGGAGGATTGGTGGATAACTGGTAAACAACTTGTGCATCTTTGGCCTGACAGTAGGCAATGACTGCCTCGACGTTGGACCTGAGGGTAGCAGGGCATGGAATAACAGAGTTAGCATAGCGCAAGATTTCCTTGGGTGTTGGCTCTGCCTTCTTCTTGTCGCGAAGATGCTCTCTGGCACGCTCATATTCCCCAGGTTCAACGTTGAAGACTGCCCTTGACATCATCGCTCTGAAGACACCTGATAACTTGGAGCTTGGTTCGGACATGATGGCATTCCATCTCTTCATCCAGTGGAAGACATCCAACAGCAATTCCTTCACTCCTGGAAAAAGTCGCAACAAAATGTTTTTCACATTGCAGCAATTGTCCACATACGCCACCTTGACCGACTCTCCCACCTCTGGAATGGATGCCGGAACTGGTTCTCCTTTCTTCTTTGCATTGGCTTGTGCTTCTGACAGCTTCTTCTGGTACCAGTTTCGATTCAACCGATCGTTCAATCTCTTCAGATCACCCTGAATTTCACTGAACGATTCAGAGTGCTTCAGCGCCTTCCAGAAAATAGTGAGGCCATCTTCATTTTGAATGGTGACAATACACTTGTATGGAGCGAAGCTTTTACCCTGTTTGGTCCAGACTCTGATCTTGGCAGCTAACTTGTAGTTGAAATCAATTTTGATCATCTCTGCTGTCAATCCCTTCATCTTGGCCTCCAAGAATTTCTTGCGATGCTTGAACACGGTCATGACAATGCTGTCAATTCGATGTTTGCTGAGATAACGCCCGTTGTATCCTTTCTTGTCGGAAAAGGCACTAAACAGAGGTGGACGCAAGTCATGGTTCTCTTCTTCAGGACAATTCCTTCTTGATCTCCTTCTGAGGTAGGGATTTCGTGAGGCCCTTGCTTCAAGTTCAGCTTCTTCTTCAAGACGCCTTGAGGTGTACTCTGCCAATTCATCGGTGGCTGTTTCTAAGTCATCTTCCGCGATACCCAACAATTCAACCAATCGGTCAACTTCACCTTGAAAATTGCCCACAAAATCAAGAACCAATCCGGCCCACCGCGGCAACAAGTGCCTGTGTCGATAGGCTGGATAATCATCAGGGTCGACACTCAGCAACTCGAACATGGAATTGATCCCAGCATCGATAAGGCTTCGAATTTTCGTGGAACCCAATCCAGGGAGAACGTTTCTGGCCCCATGCACATTGTGATTGCTTTTGTCTCCAAGCATTGTCTTGAACTCAATGTCGGTGTCCCGGTTTCGCTTCGCATCAGCAATGTCCAACTGGAGCTTCGCCACTCGACTGGCCTTGTCAACCTTCTTGCGCTGGAGACGTTCATGCTCCTGATCAGTCACCTTGGAAAAATGTTGGTCCATTGTTTTCTGCTTCTTCCTGGGACGAATCTTGTTCATCCCAACAGCTGACAGGTAGAGCTGATAATCATTGTAGTAAGCATTATAAGCATGACGCTTTAGACGTTTGGCAATGCTTGCGGTGGAGCAGGTGGTGGCCTCTTCCACAATCTGAGAGTACAGCTGGTCATCTACAGCGTAGCCATGGCCCACAAAGTAATTGAAATATCCATAGTAGACCGAAGCATCCAGCTGCAATGACTTCTTGTTGTACCCCGCGAAATGCTTCTTGCATCGTTGGCAAGGGTAGAGATATGTATCAAGATAACTGTGTCGGTCTGCACGGTAGAGGATTTTTGGTGCATTAATCCACCTTCCTCTCTGCGGATTCACCTGATCTCTCTTCTTACAGTGGGGGCAGCATGGTGTATGATTGTTGATTAGCAGGTGCGGCACCCAGCATATCAATGTCTTGATGGTAAACTGGTCCGCGTGGAGTGTGGTTTTGTTGTTGTGGTCCAGCAAACAGCTGTCGAATCTTCCACCTTGCGGGCATATAGACTTCCAGTTAAAGTCGTTGAAGAAACCCTTCCCCTCAGCATCAATACCGCGACGGACATCCTTTATGAACTTCCATTGAGCAGCTCCGAACTGCTTTGGTGTGCCGTTCGTTCCTGTCATTGTCACTGACTGACTGATTATTTTTGAATTGATCAGCGTGGAGCAATGACAGGAAGTCGGAACAGATCCGGCGCGGAGAGGCTTAGCGTTGGAGGTAAAGAATTGGATCTTGTCGAAACTTTTCGATGCAAGACTGATCAATTTTTGGACATCCCAAGTACAGTAGGCAGAGAGTACGAGTTAAACCTAAGAAATGCAACTAAAAAAGGACCCTGAATAAATCCATAGAATCGGGGATTTAGAAGCGATTTTCTAGGACGGGGTGGAAGATATAGAGCATATCGGGAATGAACCAATCATGAGTAATCTTTCTCTTTTCTCTTTCTTTTCTCCTCCTGCGCAATACCGCGCTGCGCGCGGACCGCCGAGCTAGCTTGGTGTGGGCAACAACAGTACCAGCAAGTACGACCCGGTGTCTCCTCGGTGCCCCGCCGAACCGTAGGCATCATGATCTAGTGTCTGGATCGTGGGGTGGCTGCACAAGCAATCTTTTAAGTAAGATTTTGTCGCAAGGTCGTGCGATCGTCGCTTGCGCAGAGACAGCGTGCCCAACCATGCTGCATTCGATGGGTTGTGGAGCCGCGTGGCATTGGGATGGGGGCCAGGGCTGGATTCACCCTTTGAAGTTCCAAAGGAACGGTACGGGTGATCGTCTCTCCCGCAGAGACAGCAGGATGGCCTCGAGCGGGAACCAACCAACCATCATGATAGCTTGAATGAGATGGTGGTGCAACCATATTCGTTTGCCATTCGTTGAAACTGTGGAGAGCCGAAAGCGCGAGAAGGAAGAAGCTGTCATTGAAGAAGCCCGACATCAAATTGCCTGAGCCAATCCTCGATGCACAGCATGGTTGGTGAAAACATGTCCAGTAGCATTCGAACCATAATAATGCTCATGCCTCGATCGTGTAAGAACCGTACCGTACCATCATGGGGCCTGTCTGCACTAAGAAATCACGACGGCTTTCGTGTTACGGTCAGGCCCAACGATACGCGTCCTTTCGCTTCGCCTCATCAGCGGTGCCCTGGTCGCTGTGCCGAAAGCTGAGAGCAAGTTCGTAACTAGCTAGCGGTGCTTTCGACTAGTTAGCTAACTACGCATGAGTATAAGACCGACCCTGCACTCATAAAATTTCATAACCGTTTCCCTTACACACATTAACCTCTTACTTTGTCGTATTGCATTTGCTTTGCTTTGAATTGTATATTGCTGTGCACTCTTGCTCTTTTTGATGAATCGCTGCCACTGGAACGCCATTGACGAGCTAGGCTAGCTAGCTGGCCGAACATACACACCCCTGTTGCTGACAAAAAAAAATCTCGTCCAATCATGACGGCCTTGTTAGGACTCTGTTGTTGCTGCCGTGTTGTTGACCGCGTCTGCATTCTTTTTCTTCTTGTTGTAATTGTTGTTTCGATTCTTCTTCTTCCCCGCCTGTTTGGAATCGGTGGTGGCACCATTGTGTTGTTCCTTGTCTCCAGCCCCTTTGGGAGGAGTTTTTTGCATGTTGTTGTTGTTGTTGTTGTTGTTGTTTTCATTCTCCTCCTTGGTTGTAGCCTTGGCAGGAGACTTTTTGTTGTCCCCCTTGGCATTTTTGTTGTTGTGGTTGGCATTGCCTTGCTCCTTGTTGTTGCTGTTGGCAGCATCGTTGTTGGCAGGTTCCTTAGAATTGCTGTTCTTGTTGTTGTTGGCATTCGTCTTGTTGCCGTTTTTATTGCCCTGTTCGTTGTTGTTGGCAGCCTTTAGAGGAGGCTTTTTGTTTTTGTCATTGTCATTATTATTGTTTCCATTGATTTCATTCTTCTTGTCCTCTGATGCAGCACTGTCTTGGTTGTTCTTGGCATTTTTGTTCCTGTTCCTTCGTCGATTGTTGCGACCCTTGCCGGCCCCGCCATTATTTGCCTCGGGTTGTTCATCAGCATCGCCTTGTTCATCATCCGTGGCATCTGCCTTCTTGGCGGCGGATTGGTCGGAGGCAACGTTAGTTGTTTCGTTGGCGGCTGTTTCTTCTTCATTCTCGTTGCTGCTTTCCTGTTTTGTCTTTTTGTTGGCATTGCGATTTTTCCGGCCGGCCTTTTTCGCATTTGTGTTGCCACCAACTTGCTCTTCTTGATTAGGAGCCTCTTCTTTTTTGTCAGCAGTGGGAGTCGATGGTTGTTGCTGTGTAATTTGCTGTTCCAAATTGCGAATGGTATCTCTCAAAGCTTGTGTTTCTTGTGCGACTGCCATGTGCACCATTTCCTTCAAGGCGTCTTGCGTCGTAGTACTGGTACCGGTAGCTGTCGTAGTGGGGGTTTCTTTCGCCTGTTTGGAGGGTGTGGCTTGTTTCTTTTCCGTAGTATTTTTGCCAACAGCATGTTCCTTCCACGAGGCATGAAAGCAAACGTCGATAATCTTTTGATATTCGTCCAGCATACCGGTCAAAAACTTGGTGTGATGTGGATTGTAGGGAGAACTCTTTTGATTGCGATTCTGTTGTCGGGAATGCGTGGGAACAGGACGTCCATTTTGCACGTAGTATTGCGACAAGAAGTTATCTCCTGTCGCAGAAAAGCATCCAAATTCGAGTAACTCTGTGCCATGTGGCTGTTCCAACAAGAGTTCGACCAATCGATCGGCCAATCGGACCGATTGCATCGACTTGTGAATCGTCACACTCGTGTCAGTTGGATGATCCCGATAATGATTGATCAATGCGACGGCAATTTTGCTCATGCCTTGACAGAATGCTTCGTTGATTTCTTTTTCTCGGACCTGTACTTCCAACGTTTGCAATTCCACAATACTTGTCATTAACGATTGTTGACACGTCGTCAATGTCTCTTCCACTTTTGTCTTTAACGACAGATAAGCGGGTTGATCCTTCAAGGCCCGACTGGCACCCAATTCAAAGGAAAACACACACGATGCCGGAACGATGCCCGCCTCTAATCGAGACTGTGTCTGCCGATGATGGTCGCGATGAAGCCGCAATTGATGCAATCGCGTCGCGTACGTGCGGGCAATCGTCGACACGGATTCGTCGGGGAGTTCCGCAAACAGAGATTCCCATTGTGGTGGAGTTGTCATCTCATGGTTCCTTTGGTTGTTCTGGTTGTTGGCCTTGTTGTTATTATTGTTGTTGTTGTCCGTCATGGTTTCTCGTCGCTATTGATTATCCGATTCCTTCCATACAATCAATCCCCTTGGCAAGTAAATGGCTAAGAAGGAAGAGAGCAAAATCTTCTTTGCAGATCTTTCGATGGGGTGGTCTTCTTGTTGAAGTAACTCAGCCACCAAAAGATGACCCAAAATATTAGTAAAATGAATCTGTAGCAAAACTTCTTCCCAGCAGCCAGCACAAACAACTCCAACAGGAGCGACATCCGTCATAGTATAGTGGCTAGTATCCCCGCCTGTCACGCGGGAGACCAGGGTTCGATTCCCTGTGACGGAGCATATAATCTTTTGGTTCTGTCATCTATTTTGCAGCAGCATCGAGCCTACAGTATTGCATTGTCCAAACGAGCTGTCAACCTTTTGCAATCTATCTCTGCAGTATGATTGCTGTTCCAGAAGGCTCCCTCATCCTCACGTCCCTTATCCTCACGTAAGTGCCTTATCTGCATCCTCCTCAGGCGTCCTTCATGGATTTGTCAACGATACACTTTCTACACAAATCTCTGCACATACATTTTCATCAATAAAGCGGCTACGTGTATATTCTAACTTCCTTGGCACCGTCACACCAGGGAACCCATTTCGTGTCATCATCATCACCATAGGTGCTGCTCCTACTACTGGTACCACCACACCATGGAGTCCACACTTTGCCAAATTTACTATGATTCCGCAACCCCGGAAATGGACAGGAAGGATCCGTGTTGGGAGGAGGACCCACATAGTGTTTCTGATACTCTTGCAATCGACCCATTAGAAGTGCCACTACGTGGGGATGCTCCCGTGCCACGTCCCGGGTCTCATTGGGATCGTTGCTCAAGTCAAATAGCAAGTACGTGGCATTGACATCTCCACCCGGAGCGGGAGTGCTGGTTCCCTTGGGGGGTGGTGTGTGAGCGTGTTCCGGGCCACCACTGTGTCCCTGAATGAGTTTCCAGTGATGATATCGAATGGCGGGACCGTACCATTGTCCACCGGAATGGTCGTAAAACGAGTATCCGACAAAGACTTCTTGGCGGGGTGGTGCCGATGCTATCTTTTTGTTCTTCAAGGCACGCATCGGAGCCGGTGGGCCATACAACTCTTCCATACCATTTTGGAAAGCGTACAAGTGACTCACTCCATCCAGAGGTTGGCCATTGGGTGTAACCCCGACGGCCGCCGCCAATGTCGGAAGCCAATCCACTGCATGAAACAAGTTGGCGTAGGTCCGATCGGAACCAGTTGGTACGGCCCAGTGGGATGTCAATGCCGGGCCACTGATGAATCCATCACCGGTGGTACCTCCATCATAGAGTGTGCATTTGCCACCGCGCTTTGGGAAATTGGAAGAACCTTGAATGGCACAAACGTCGGTAGGTCCACCATTGTCTGCAAAATGCAACATGCAAACATGAGAAGCGAGCGGAAAACACGGAAGGGGAGACATGATCAGAACACTATTCATTCACACCAGTCTCGGTACAGCACTAAAAGAGTGCTTTTCAGTTTTTTTCTTTCGTTCGTACCTGTCGTGAAAACCACCACTGTATCGTCCCACATACCCGTCTCTTGGAGTGCCTCAATCACTTGCGCAATCCCCTGATCAGCGGCCGTCAACATTCCGGCATAGGTAATTCGTCTGGCATCCCACCCCGTCACATTCTCGTAGGGCGCTCGGTATTCCTCGGGTACTTGATCCGGGTCGTGCACGGCCTGATAGGCCAAATACAGAAACAGTGGATCTTCTTCGTCTATTTGTTGTTGTTTCTTCTTATTGTTGTTGCTACTATGCCGGTGAATGACACGAATGGCTTCCCTCGTAAAGACTTGGGTGGAATAATTACCACGTTCATCGGGGAGTTGACTGCATCCGTCCCCACAGTATTCCTCCTTGTCCCATCGCAAATCATAGCCGGCCCCATTGCGATGGGTAAAGTAGTCTTCGCCTCCAATGTAGAATCCAAAAAAGGTTTCAAATCCACGAAAGGTGGGTGTCATTTTCCAATTGGCATGTCCAATGTGCCATTTTCCGACGGCATGAGCCTTATAGCCCCCGTCCCGCATAATTTGTGCTAGTGTCTGTTCCTCCAAGGGCAAACTGAGAACGGAATCGACGGGCACGACAATGTGGACACCGGTATGAAGAGGATACCGGCCCGACAACAAGGCGGCCCGGGTGGGACTACAGTATGGCAGCACGTAGTAATTGTCCAGGTAGACTCCATCGGTGGCGAGTTGGTCGATATGGTGTGTATGAATTCCAGAGCCATGACGACCCAAATCGTGAGATCCGAGATCGTCCATGACGACAAAGAGAATGTTGGGTTTCTTCTTCTTTATATTGGTCTTGGCAGTGCTGTTCGGAACATGCCAAACGAGGAGTACTGTTGACCAAACTAGAAAGAACCAAAGGAGGCCCATCATTGATGGTTGTACTGTACTATAGTCTTGACTTTCGTTCCTTGTGGTTGCTACCGGTATCGAAGAGACTCCTCACTCCTCAACGACAATGTGGAAAGTGGCTTCATCCATCATCATGCAGCCATGCATGCATCCGAAATCCAAAGATCCATTGCATCTTTTGGCGGTGATAAATCTTTTTCGTTTTTCGATCGTTAAACCTTTCGACCCATCCGCGTTTCAATTGGCGGCAAACCATGCATCTTTGCCGTTTCGTCTTTCAACCATAAAAGCGAGGATCCGAATAAGAGAGGAGAGAGAGACGGTGAGACAGTGGAGCCTTCCCAAAGCCAACAATTGCCTTCTCCTTCTATTGACGTCTTCCTACCTACCGTATCAGGGATCATTTACTGCTGGTGTCTAACATCAGTGTAGCTGTGTGTTGCTTGTGGTCGTTTCAGAGCAACCCCAACGGCTAACTGAACCTCGTTGGCTGTCCTCTTTGCCTCGCTGTCTAAAGACGTGTCGTTCCATCAAGCTCTTCCACACATACATACAATCTGCACTATATATCATGACGGACGTTATTACAATGGCTGAAACTACTGCTACACAAGATTCGTCGTCCGATACTAGCCAACTACGAGAGAAATTGGCGCGCCTCCAACAACGTCGTCGTCTGGTCCAAGAGACGCGTCGTCAACAATGGACGCTGCTGGAACGAGCCGAACATCACCGTCATGGTTTGGAGCATCAACTGGAATTGGCTCAAGCGGAAGAAGAGGCGTGGAAGACTCGACGGGGACAAGCGCAAGAACTCTTGGAGGAATCCCACAAATGGAATGTCCTCAATGATGCCTTTTTCATTTGGCATCAAGGACCCTTTGCCACTATTAATGGAGTCCGTTTGGGAGCCGAAGCGCATGTCTCGTCTTCCTCCGTCGCTGCCATGAGAGCCGCCCAACAGCATGCGGCGCAAGAGGAACCTACTTCCTCCGGTAGCAGTGTATTGGGAGTCATGGCAGCCACCGTCAGTTTGCCAGGACGTGTTTTGGGATTCACAACATCTTCCGCCGAAACAATAGCAACTGCCAATGGCAACAACCACGAACACCACAACAACAACCATACTGTATCCATTCCACCGGCCGTCACGTCCATTACGACCATTCGAGTACCGTGGACCGAAATCAATTCGGCATTGGGACAAATTGTGCTACTCCTCAAAATATTGGAACAAACACAGCACGCAGGGATTCAATTTACCGGCATGGCATTGGTCCCACAGGGCAGCACGTCCAAAATTGGAATTCGACAACCTCATACGGCGCTGACGGGAAATTTGATTTCGCGACGCAGTGGAGAAGTCCCCATTATTGCGCTCTACCATCTCTATAGTGATGACAGTTTTCAATTGTTTGGAAAACGCAATTTCAATTTGGCACTCCGAGCACTCACCGAGTGTTTGGCCATGGCGGGGACGGCCATTCAAGCACGAGATCGGACCATTGTCATGCCATTTGCCATGGATGTCACACACGATAATCCCAGTGCGCCCTGTACTATTGGAGGATTGCCCGTACAGTACGGGACCAGTGGAGCTACCGATGGAGTCACGTGGACCCGGGTCATGAAGTATCTATTGACCAATGTCAAATGGTGTGTCGCCTATGCTGCCAAGCATGTAGATCAGTAACTATGCATAACATAACATAACATAACATAACATAATAAAGAATAATCAGGGACAAATTCAATTCAACCCGACACTACATGACAACACTGCAAGTAATACGAGGAAAACAGAGCATGAATCCTTTCTTCGAATTTTCCTTTCCATGCCGCGGCCATGATTTTAGAAGTAGACCGTACGATCCTGAACACTACTGGACGATAATGAATACTGTTGAGTGATTTAGTTTGGAATCTGCTTTGCTTTGTTGGGCATGACGTTCTTGTGTTCCAACTGGCAAGCAACATCAGGTGTAAGATTTCCAGTTACATCAGCAGCATGAGCCAAAGCCCCAAAAGCTACCTCCGGATTGAGTGTTGTTGGCTGGGTTGCCAAAAAAGAGTCTCGCCGGTGTTAGCTATTGTATTGAGGCAGGGACCTCAGCATCGCGAGTTCTTGGTTCTGGAATCCTCGCTCATGGTTGGCTCGGAGCTGACCATCATGCGGCCTGGGCAAATGTGGACACCTGAGGTTCGCTAACATACGTGTAGGTTCAAGCAAAGGCAATAATTTGAGGCGGTTTGAGCTGTGCAGGATAACTTTTCTATTCTACATTCACGGAAGGGAAGGGAAGGGAAGAGAAGAGACTGTATCTTTCCTGCCGTACTGCACAGCGAGCAAAGAATGCATTATTGACCATCATGACAAAACTACTATTGACCCCTGTGTGGATCCCCCACCCAAGCAAAGACTATGCCCTGGAACCAACACAAGCAATCAGCCAAAGCACCAACATGAGTGGTGGGTTGAACCGGGGCTGTACCGCATACCTCAGCTTGCTGGCCAGTCGCCGTCCTCGCCTTCTTCGGGGGCAAAGGCAGATGTTCCCAGGCGATACCCCGTCATCTGTCATCTATCGGTACTAGTACGGGTATGTTACATGACATACATTGTAGACAAAAGAGGACTTTTACAACTCTATCTACCGCATTCCGAAGCTAGCTAGTTTATTTGTTTGTTTATTTACGGTGGTACAGTTTGACTGCCCTCTGCCCTTGGACCGGTACAGGATTAAATTGGGTTATGAGCGAGCCATTACTATAGGAAACACAGTACGTTCCAGTATAAGCCCGTGACCCAGTCATTTACAGCGATAATGACAGAACATTCATTCGCTCGTATTAATGCCTGATTTTAGAAAGCATTAAAACAAAAAAGAAACTTTTATACAGGACTTAACAGCATAAGTCAACATTGTCAATAGGACATAACGTAGTAATTTTAAGGCGAATTTATGCAAATAAAACGGTCACATCACATAACAAAAGAGGTCATTTGGGTCAGTCATTTACTTCGAATGAGGTTTTTTAGCCCGTAGAATCCTGGTACTGCCCTGCTGCCCGCTCAAAACTCTATTTAATTAATCTCGTACTAGAGTACCGGTAACGGTAGCATGGCTATGATACGCAGAAACCTGGTACCTGGTACCGGTACGGTATTAATAGCATGCTCCGCTCCTTGATGTTGCGGCGTTCCGAAGTTGCGAAGCAAGCAAGAGCGAAGAAAGTTATGACTTATTGCACTTCGAGCTATTTAAAAGCGTGTCGGCATCATCCAAATAGCCATGACTTTCTCTTTTACAACTTTGAGTACCGGTGATACCTTTGTAAAAATGAACAGTCAAGACTGCCTTAAAACCTCTGCAATCGTATTGCAGATCCCATTCGCCAGTGAAATACCGCCAGAACTCTTCTGGCACTCAACAATAACAATTATAAATGACTCAACTGCCTTGTACTTGTTCTTTGTTATGTTCTTCCAGTTCGCAATTGGAATTCTTTTAGATGAGGGGCACTGTAAAAGCCTGCGAATACAAGCCCTTAAAAGCTTATTACCGGAACGCTTGAACCAAACCAGGCACCCCATAGTGCGGCAGTGCTGCGGGCGTGCAGGTTGCGGGATACAGTACCGAAACTGCGTTTTATGCTTTAAGTGTTTCCTTGAACCTTCAAGCGGGAGGCTGATCTTATTTCATCGTGATAATACTCGTGATTGCTGCTCGTACTTTTGCGCTTGCTCTTTGACTCACTCGAGAGCTCGATCAATCGATCATCTAGACTATCTATCTATCTATTTTCTAGCCTTCATGCTCATTCTGAAAGACCGCAAACAAAACTTAAAGCGAAGCAACCCACTGGCATTTCACCACCAAGCTAACAACCACCATGACCCCTTCTGGAGCCTTCGTTCCTCTGCATAATAACACCATGACCCAGCCACCCACTGTGACTGCCACTGGAGCTGCTCTTGTTTTGAATTCTCACAATTCGATGAAGACGACGACAATGAACTTTACATCAGAGTCCAGCAAGATGCCATCATCCGCTTGTACATCTACTTCTGCTACTTCTAGTAGTAGTCGACAACGACGCCGCGTTCGATTCTGTGAACAAGCGAATCAGCAAAGGTCGATTGACTGTAGTTTTTCACAAGACGAACACAAAGTGCTGTGGTATTCGCAACAAGAATTCCAAGCCATGAAGTCGAACCGCGTCAAGGCCGTGGCAGTGAAACAACGCAATACTAACTCGTGTTGTTGTGCCGACGATCTGCGAGGATTGGAAAAGTTATTGCCCAATGGCCGACATTTGCTGAAACACCGACGCAAGACGCTTCGTGCCATTGTGGAAATGTATCATCAAATAGACAGCATTCCCTGTCCATCCGATCAAGAAAAAGACGAACGGGATGAAGTCCTTCGCTCCTTTGCCGTCTCCAAGACACGCTACGCCCAACACACGGCCAAGTATGTGGCGGCGCAAGATGCCGCGGCGGCACTCTGTGACGACTGCTGTGGCAAGCAGCTCTCTTCATCATCATCATCATCCTGTTACAGCAGAACTGCTACCGCCAGGAGACAGCAACCGTTCGGTGCCAGCAAGCCCTTGACAGTCTCAACAGTGAACAGCAACAGAAGATCACTGGTACAACGTCGTGTGCCAATGCGAGCCAAAACTGCATAAATACACAATATAGAGTGCTAAATAGTTTTCTAGAATATACAACAGCTCAGCCCTCAGATTGCTTGTTTTGACCAAGACACCGTACATGACAACGTTTGCAATACTAGCTAGATTGAGTACTTTGCTATGCTTGAGAGGCTATCAAGGCCGGAGGAGCTTTGGAGGGGTTTTGATCGCGTTCGAGGCTACAGCTGGTATGGTTCACTTACTTGTGGACACAAGTTCGGTTTGACACCAATCCACTGCCTGCACAGCTTCACCGGCAATGCGAGAAGTGAAGAATCATGGGCACCCTTCAATCTCTTTGAGGAAGATACAATTCTAGTATCAAATAAATGCAGCAAAAAGTGAGAGTACTCAAGTACAGTACTGTGTTTGACAGAGGCAAGCCTCCATGCCAGTTCCGGTTGCCCAGTCGCCTGAAGGCAACCAGAAGCGTGGCAGGGTGGGTTGGCTCTGTCAAACACAGTTCTAGGTATTGTGGCGGTCAATTGCATTCATCCCACCGCATCATTGGTGTTACACATCAGCAATGCTGGGCGCTTTTTCGTCCATTGAGACTCATCAGTGCTGCTCACTTGGGATTGCTCGGGGAACCAATGGAACCGGGGTTTGTGTCCACATGTACCGAGGAGTTCTTCACATTATCTGTTGAGCAGTGTTGCTGGTTTGGCTCGCATGCGCTTCAAGAGGTGAAATCTTTCTTGGTTGCACAAAATGCAAATGTTTTGAGGAAGAGACACCATCAGATACAGACCTTTATGGGAATGAATACTTTCTTGGATACGGAACGTTGGTTTCAGGTTGGCTACTCTAAGGCGTACATGTAGTTGCTTCTACAGTACCGGTGCAGTCATTGTTCGCTCTGCATACATGCTCTCTGCATATATTAGTATCTTTGTCTATCTCTATCTGTAGTTATGGATGTGGAACATCATATTGGTGATTTCTCCAGCGCAATTGTTGGTGTCCCCGCCCACGGATTCACCGTTGTATTGAAAGTTGCCGCTATAAAACCCAATTCGTGGACAAGAGCCACCAGGATTGTTGTCACATTCGCCCGTTCGACATCGATAGGCCATGATAGACCGAAAGTTACCATTAGGGGAGCGATACCCATAGTTGCTAGTGTCGCAAGTGGAGCATGCATTGGCGGTGCCACGGTCGTGCAGACAGTTCTTTGGGGTGATGATGATGCAATGGAGTCAAGCAATGCATAGATACAGCGTACAAGAAAAGGCCATGAGTCGTTGGCTCGGCCATGTTGTCACTGTCCGAAACTGCAGCATCACATGTCATGAAGCAAACCACTTACCAAGTTGTGACCTAGAAAAAGAGACAGCAGTAAACGGTACACAGCATTAGAATCAAAGGTGAGTCGGAAGCACACCTTTTTCCTGGTTGAAGGAGGCAAAACTTACCGAATTCATGAGCAGATATGTAGTTCATCATGCACTATATAGTAGTGTGCACGATGGAAATGTCGCAGCGAGGAAAGATCTTGGTCAGTGAAAGTGAGAAACAATCTTGGGCACCTGTTACTGGATGGTTCACAGTACCTGAGCACAAATACACGAGAATCCTAGAGCAGAGTTCCAACAACCCAATCCATTACACTGTGGCAGCCAGGCAACCCCTCCAAGGCCGTCGGCATCCACTCGGTTGTCGACGATGAACTGCACCAGATCTGCTCTATATTGATTTCTTCGATCATCATGTGAAAATGAGAGGCAAAGAGTGATTTGGTGAGTGAGTGTTCACTTACGGAAACGATGTCAATCTCTATCCAGCACGTTGTTGCGGACAAACGACAAACCTCAAACTATGGATATAGTCCATGACGCCATCGACGTCGGAAACCTGACGTAACGTAGTTGTCATTCTTGATTCTCTATATCCAGAACTGTCGACTTGTCGATGCACGAGACGAATTTGTGCCCCTGTATCACTGTTGGTGAGGGCAGTGTTCGTTTCTTGAATCATCAAATCAACGGCTGCTTCCATGTTGGTTTGGGTAGTACTTGACCGACTACACCCTGTGCTCAGACCGGATTTGTAGCATTCAGTGGACTCGGTCCAAATTATCATGACATCAATGATGGTGGGACCAGGATCCTGTCGCTGGATTCCTAGAAAATTGTTGATTCGGTAATTCCAAGTGGATGCAATCGAAGTGGAATCGCCAAAGGTTGTAATTCGTTCGAGAAAAGAGGGTTGGATGGGATCTCCCAAGGGAGGCATATCGTCTTCCAAGGTCATCAATACCGTCTCTCTTCCCTTGTGGTCGGGTCGGATCTCATAGAACAGACTTTCCTTTCGGTCATGGACAACTCCTGTCACCACTGACTGTCCAGTGTTTTCCGAAGTGTATCGCATCAAACTAATGGATATCATGTGATCTTTGGTTTCTCCGTCAAAGTACGCCCCCGTCTTGAAAGTGTTGCGAAGAGTCCAAACAGGACCCTCATCTAACAACTGGTGACGGGAGATGAAAGAAAACCCGATATTTGAGCGGCATCCTACCTGCCATCACACCCACAGACTAAAGTTTCGTACCTGAATGTTCAGCGTTTCATACTCGTAGAAATCGGTGCCCAGCGGCGAGGTATCCACATACACGACATCGTCACGAGTTTCAGTATCATCAATGACGACATCTGTGCGGGGAATGATGTCTTGGGCCCGAACAATGACAACGTGTCTTGACAAGAGTGCCACGAGAACTGCAACAACGGAACAGCCGCGATGATTCGTCATGACTTTAGTATCCCACATAAACTTCGATTCCGGCACGATGCATATGATACATGAACGATCACAACAAGCACCACCAAGATCTTGTCTAGCTAGCTACCGGTAGCTAGCTATTTGCAAAAGACGAACGAACGAATGGTTGAATCCGGGATGAGAAGGTTCCGAGCTGACCGCGTCGTACTGACCATAATTCTTCGAGAGGTGCACCGGGTTCGGCGAAGGTGCCGCTCTCTAACGGCATAAACTTCCCGTAACGAACCGCGCACCTCGGAACGATCTTCGAGCAACACCATCGGGCCTAACTCGAGGATGACGATGAGGGCAATCTTTGCTATTATCATGGCGCAATACTACTGTTTGACCATACTAGAGCTCGCTTGCAGCAAGAGCCATTGCATTCCGAGATTTTCGTGGGAAGGCAATCTTACCAAGAGCAACAAGCAAGTCCATTGCTACCGCGGTCTGTTGCAACCTCGACGATAACAATGGTGGAGTCTGAAAATATGGAAGAGGAAGCCACTCGCAGCAACCAGGAGCACGACGAAGCTACCCCTGAAACCGCATCTAGGTCTTCGAATGCTTCGACCTTGAGCAATGATCAGTTGCAACAGCAACAACAACGCAAAGTGCCCAGTAACATCAAGACTACCATGTCGTCGGTGAAGGATGAAGAGAACGTTGCTGAAGACTACTTTGTCGATGAACTCGACGAACGTGGGAACATGGACGACAACAGTTTGGACTCGGAGTTTGAAGCATACGTAGCAGCGTATCGGGCCCGCAAAAGGGGGCACCGTTTGAAGAAGCTTCGTCCAACCAGCAACTGTTCCGGTGTGCTTCAATTGGTCCTCGTGGGCTTGCTGGTGCAGCTTTTGACGATCGCCTGCTTGGTCATTGTTTACATGGCCTTGGAAAAGAACGAACACGCACCTGGCCAGTCAAAAGAAACGAGTGCCAATGCCCACAATGATGATGCCTCCAACAGCTTGACAGAAGTGTCTATCGTTTTCTTACAGCCCCCGCCACAGAACATCCATCGATTCTGCAGGGAAAACGCAACCCTGGAAGCCTTGCAGACTTGTAGCGAAATTTGTGATCGGGCGCATTGTAAGCATGTGTTGTTTGGTGTCTAAAGGGTTCCAATGGTGGACGAAAATGTTGAAGTTTACTCACAGAACTTGATCTTCTTGTGCTGCGATACCTAACCCTCAGGCTGCCACATCAGTCGAAACGAGCTTGGATCCTGCTGGGATGACAATCTTCACACCTGCAAGCATTTCATCCATTCATGTTCAATTCTTGAAACCTTAAAATCGAAGCCTGACGATTCTACTGGAGGCCAGCACGACGATGTTCCAAGCGTGGCTAAAACTACAGTCTTTCCAAATGCGCAGGTCCTCTGGGATCGTCCAGATTACCTACCATCTGCACCGGACCATCTTCTCGTAACTTGTCAAGCTGCTTTCGCGTTTGGATTTGGTGGCCTTCTCGCAGAAGAATCTTCAGGGGCCAAGCTTACTTGTCATGAAGTGTGCCATTCAGCCGCCTGCTGCTGGGATTCTGCCTTGACCGAACCAGCAGATCGCTGTTGGACCCATCCAAACTGTGGGCCTTATGTTGAAGCATGCGAGTCCCTGATGATGGCCAGAGATCAACAGTTGCCAGAAATCGCCGCACAACAAAAGCAAGTCATTCCAGAGTCCCCTGATGATCTATCTCAAATTTGTGATGCCGTTGCCATCAAGACGAAGCTGAGTGCACTGCTGGCTTGTCAACAGGCATGTCTGCCAGCGGAAGTGTGTTGGAACGAGGCAATGGTAGATCGTCGCGATGATTCTCAAGCCACAACATGCAGCGGCTACGAGGCACCCTGTTCCATTCTCAGCATTGCCATTCCTGAATCCACCACAAATCTACTCCAGCAGCTGCAAAAGCTGCAAGCCACAGCTGCAGCCACGCCGACTTTGCCAGAGGCAGCTGATAGTGAACCCGTCGAAACTGTGCCACCTGCGAGCGAGATCACTCTTCCTTTCAATCAGTCGATTCCTTCATCCTATTCACCGGAGACGATACGTGATGCTTGTTTCAACCATGACAATAGTGTCAACATACACGAGGGGCAGAAGACTCTCTGTCAACAGGCGTGCCAGGCCGGATCTTGTTGCTTCTACGAAGACTACGCTGTGAGTCACGACTCTCCAATGTGCCCTTCGTACCTACCAGACAACTTTTGTGCCAAGTACACTCCGTGCGAGTCTATCTTTGCACATGCTCGCCACAGTGGTACCAAACAAAAAGTTCGGGAAGTCTGCACAAATCTACACGACTTGTCGCAATGTGTGTCTGTTTGTGCCGAGGCAACATGCTGTTTCACCAATGATCCATGGGAAGTCTGCGCCGTCACCAATCCAGATGTTGTGTGCTCGGATTATCACACTTGTGAAGTCCTTTACAGTGGGGCCGACGATGTAGCTCAGCAATCTACTTTTCGCAAGCACGACGGAATGCGACGTCATCGTCGTAGTCTTCTTCGATTGGTGTCCAAATAGAAGCCCTGGCGTGGTGGCATGTTTGTATCGAATCAGATTTGTATTTTCTTTGTATGTTTCTGTGGCGTACTATATGCTCCAGAGCCATCTGTGGCGGCCCTGGGATCAAGTTGTTGGGTGGGTAGTTGCATACGTGGGGAAGGAGAAGGTGCCGGAGCTATACCAGGTACAACCGGTGCGCTACAAAATGGGAATAGATCAATGTTGAAGTTGCGGGCGCCGTACAAAGGCTATGTCAAAACAAGGGATGAATGTGTGTTTGGTTGGCAAAAGCTTGGACCGTAGTTTTGCATAGGACTGAATAATTGTAAACAGAAACAAAAACGTGTTCCATTGGGAGACTGTTCCAGCTGAGCGCCCATAGCTTGACAAGTCGAAGGCAAGTGACGATGAAAGACGATACCTGGTACCCGTGGTGGACCCAGCCGACCTTGCTCCCAGTGCGTGCTTCGTGCAAGTAAATCGGAGCGATTAGAGCTGAGTGCGGGCAAGGTCCGATCAGGCAGCCTGTCTACCCAATCGAACACCGTTGCTGCGGGGCTCAGTGGTTGAGAACGAGGGCGATCATCGTAAGACGCATTAAGTGAGGCAGGAATCGAATCTGCGTAGGGAGTGAGAGAGATGTCTGCACGGGACAATCGTTGTACAGCCTTTTCGAGCAACGCAAAACCAAGACCACTATCCCAACATCTTCTTTGCTGGGTGCCAAGAAAGATATGTTAGTTCGCCCTAAACCTCCAAGCATAGCCCTGCCGGTGCACTCTCCCTTTGCTGAGGAGCTGCTGGACAACTGTAGTGACCAGAGAGGCACGATTTCCGACTGGAGCCCCTTGCCCCTAATCGCTTCTCCGAGTATTGGAACTACATCGTATTGGTGTCTACGTGCACTCAGTCCGCTAGCTAGCTTGCACTACCAGAGAGCAAGCGTGCTCCTCCGCTTCAAGTTCTGAAAAGGTACGTATGGTGAAAAGGATATTTTCATCTAGCTAGCTAGATGCTAGATAGCAGCGTGCCGCTGGGCTGGATCGGGAGCCTGTTCGCATTGGGTACTGTTCCATTACGGTAGATTCTAGCTAGGTAGCAGACGGCGGAAGCCTACATTGTTTTGCGACCCATCTGCCATCTAATAACTATTTTAATACCACGACGGAGAATCATTCATGGTCCCTTCCTTCCATCTTTACCACCATCTAGTTGTCACCACCACCACCATTCGCTCTAGATGGCATTCGTTAGCCTTCTCGCTAATCCCATGATACCCGGTGCAACGCGCGATGTTGGGAAGACGCGGATCATTGGACGAGGGAACAGATTAGCGAGAGACCTGACTCTCCACGAGAAGCTCTCCGTTTTTGAAGCAACGCAAACCAAGCTCACTATCCCGACATCGTCTTGCATGAGGAGGCACTTCGTTCTTCCTGAACCTGTCCTCAAAGCTCTCTCATATGGGTTGTCATAGGGCCTGAACCATGCTCGAATGCCTACCTGGAGCGACTCGATTCAACTCCACTCAATGCTCCACATATCACTCGCTCGTGCCCTCGAACTGCTTCAGCGACAACCATAGGTGCAGTTTGCGCCATCTTGCTTAGTGCATTCGGAGAATCCTCTGCTGGGACATGGGCTCGAAGGCAACGGCACGAGGCCTCCCCGCCGTGGGCACCATACTGTTGGTTATGGTAGGTGCCGGAAGCCTCCACAGTTTTGCTCTCCCAACTCCCAAGTCCCAAGGCAAGGTGGTAGCTAAGACGCCTTCTAACACAGAGAGGGCATCATCGAGGCAATAACTATCATCCAGTTGTCACCCCAATTTGCTCTGTGCTGGGGGTTGGAGAAATCCAGTGACATCCAATCCAACCAGGTAAACCATGTCAAAGACAGCGGTAGACAGCGGTAAAGCATAGGCTGACAACCACTGGACTGTGAGTTTTAAATGGGGTAATGACAGTGGTAAAGACAGCCGCGGTGGAAAGTGGTGAAAGAAAACACTGTGTGGTTCAATGGCCGCACTGGCTATCGGAACCATGGGCATGGGAAGCATTGATTATTTTCTGATTTTCTCCATCCCCCAAACCAAGCTCTTAATTCCAGTCACAAAGAGGGCCCGTGCGTAAGAGGGCAAGACCGGCCAAGCGAGATCTATGATATAAGAGAATTAAGTGATTCGAGACTCAACCAGTGGAGAGTTGTTCCTGGAAAGAACAGTGTGGAGTGTGGAGACCAAGGTTGCATGAAGTGGTGCAAATGCGAATTTTGGGATTAAGGCACTAAAGACGCAGCTGCTTGCGATCCGAATATGCGAGATGCCTATTGCCCTTCAAGCCTTTGCACGGTAACAAACAAGGCCTCTAGCCATCTTTATGTCCATTACCAAAGTACATTTTGCTATGCTGGTGTGCCACAGCTTGCAAGAGGCACAAGAAGACAACGAGCTTGTGAGTCGATGATTTGAGTCTGGACTTGTACGGGGGGCTCTGTCGTCGTACGTTCTAGTGCAACGCCTCTTAATTAATCAACCAATAGACAATATCTGACAAATCTTGACAGCTGGGTTGTTCTTTTGAGGTTATAAACCCGAACATATCTAGGCCAAATTGAAATACCGTATAAGTGATTAGCAAAGAGGCGAGCAAAAAGTTTCTTCTTGTAGCAACTGGAATCAATGATCCTAAGCATTAGTGGCTACATATTTCCCAAATATATAGAATTAAGCAGTTTCAGCGTTTCAGCAACCGAATGCAACTGTGAGTACAAAGAACCACTTTTAGACGGTAGAGTAGGTTCCCTGAAAAGAACAGACGAGTCACTGTCTGGTGCTGCCACGTTGTAAAGTTGTAACACGCAAACCAAAATGGACAGTTTTGTACTGTTTTGTATTGTACGAGAGTTTTCAGTAGTTGCCGTACTGAAGGCAACAAGCTGTCAGTTGCGATGTTGCGATGAGGCCTTCAGAGTTCAGAGGAAGCGATCACCGTACCGTACTCCCGCGTTAAGACCCACAGCTACCACTACCACTTCCGCTCACGAGCTGATGAGTGATGATGGGCCTGCAACTAACTGAACCTTGCACAAACAAAAACTCTCATTTGAAGGGTTCCACAACTATTGGACCACCAGCAACAAAGAGAGAGAAGCAACAATAATGTCACGCACGAAAGAAATGGATAGAAAGGTAAGGAGATCATCACACTCTGGTAGCCCGGACAGGAAAGCTGCAGCTGTTTCCCGCAGAGGTGCGGCGGCATGGACGGCATCGAAGGCGAAGCATGGGGTAGTCACCAAGATGGCCAAGATGAAGTTTCTATCTCATGGAGTGGGAGGCAAGAGGTCTCCAGCCACCGCTACCAGCAGCAGTGTTTCGGGGGATAATGCTGCTGACCCGGGATCATTGAGTGATGCCGAGCCCGAGAATGAAACTCAGATCGAGCGCAAGCGAAGACTGAATCGCAACAACGAGCGCAAGAAGAGGGCCAAGAGAATCTCCAAGATTGAAGATCTGACGGCGAGATTTCATACGTTAACAAGCGAAAATGAAGCATTGAAGGCAGAGTCCAAAGAACTAAGAGAGAAGATTGAACTTGTGAAGGAGTACATGAAGGAAAACGGCAAGAAGGGACCCTCTGCAGCCGTCCCGTCTCCTTCACCTTGCCCGCAAGTGCCAAAATCCACTAGTTGGCTCGGTTCGTCCTCAACCAACCTCACGGCCCATTCGATGTTGTCCGCTGGGATGCAAACGACTGGTGGGAGCTCGGTATCCCAGTCGCAGCCGCAAGGACAAGTCACCCTGCCCAACCTGACGGCTGCGGCAATCCCAGCTTCCGCAGCAACGAATCACCGAGCAACAACGACCGGCATTTCTGATGTTAGTTTGAGCCTCATCTCAAGAGAGCAACGGATTCTCCTGTTGCAACGAGAGTTCGAGAAGCAGAACATGATCTTGAAGTTGCTGCGACTCCAGATGGGTACTCACCCAGGGGGTGAGGACAGTAACGCACCCGTTTCGACCTGTGCAGCGGCGCCATCCTCCAGCCTGACCCTCCTGCACCAGCAGCAGCACTCGTCAATGTCCCAGGATCCCGCTCCGTCTTTATTTGACTCAGCTACCCCCGCCCCGGTTCCCGCAACATCATCTCAAACAAGCCATCATGCCCTCTTGCAGCAACATCAGGCTGGGCCCGCTCCTGCTCCATCCCACTTTGCGGCGGCTGCAGGTGCCGCAACAGTGAATTCGACCAACGAATCACTAGAAAACCTGTTTTCGCAGCACCCACTCCTGCGGACACTGCAAGAACTGCAACGCCAACAAAGAGGAGGACCGTAAGGGTAGGGCACCTCACAGCGGAGCTTTTTGATTGCTGTGGCGGTGGACCGACCCGGGGGCTACCCCTGCTGCGCCCTCTGTTGGCACAGAACTGATCTTCGCACACCAAGGTACATCACTGGCCATTGACAGCCACTCTGCGTCTCTTCTTTTTCTTCTACGGTACACGTATTTTCGCTAGCTAGACTACAAACGAAAATGTAATCTGCATTTTTTGGCTACTGCTTTTACTTAGTCGTAGTACAAGTTTTTGCCTAGCTAGACACATGGTGTTCGTGCCGGATAGATAGTACTCGTACCTCTGGTACTCACCGATCGTCTCAGTTCAGCCGGCCATATCATTACAAGATTGTTGTATCAAGGCGCAAACAGTTCAGCAGTCGAGCCTTATTTGTTATGGCACGCTTCTTCAGAGGCCAGTGCAAAACTACTAGTAGGGACAAGCACAATTTGATCAGAGACACGGGAGCCTCGTGTCCCCTACTGCCCTGTTGGATTTGGAATGTGGATGGTGACAACAAACAGCCCCTTGGGGCGGTACTAGCTTGTCTTTGGCAGGTAATTCATTGGAGTCATCGAAGAAGGCCCAATTTGCGCATGCAAATGGCTATCTGCTGAAGAAGCTTTCCCTTAGAGACACCACCGAAGTACCGGTGCTAGTAGCTGTGCTATTGGTAATAGTACAGTGTGGCAACAAGGCTAGCAAGGCTAATTTTGGTCTGGCCTGCCTATCTGGTGGGTATCCAATAATACAACCAGAGAGGGTCGTTCGTTGACTCACTCCTTCCTGTACTGAAACCACCGGTACACCGGTACATCTGCTCTGCTCGCAGTCAGATCTTTAAACCCTACCCAATGATGATAGAGGACGTGAAGAGAAACCAAGGAGGCAGAATCTGCGTCCGTGTCGCTGATGCCTCTAGCCCAGCTAGCTAGCTGGCTTGCTGAGTGACAACTCCTCCTAGCAAAAATTCTCTAATAGCTACTGCAACTCTACTGTATAATTGAGCAAGAGGAGTACTCTCACTTCTCCTCACTAATTTGAGCAGAAAGTGCAGCAACCAGAACATGAGGGGCTCATGCAGCTCCGCCCTGCAAGGGGCACCAAGTCTTGACCGCTCCCTCTGATTGGTTCTGAATTGCCAGCTCGAAAGGCTTTTAACAGGTTCCAATGGCAGTTACCACCATCGGCATCAGCGTTTGTAGCATTCCAACCCATCACACGCCACTAGAGTTTGATGTCCCGGGCAAAAATCTTTTTGAGTTGCATCCAGCAACCGGAACATTGATCACCAGCGTCCGTGAACGCTGCATGGAGCAAGCATTCAGTTATATGGAGAGCCCCTTGCAATCGATCTCTAGTGGTACGATACCGGTAGCAAAGATCCACTGGTACCGGTACCATTTTGGGGGCTACAATGTATCTCTGGAGTGGTACCGGTACGGTATGAGTACCATGGTAACGGTACCGAAACAACCAAGTACCCGTGTCATTATGGACACCAGTGAAAGTAGCAATATTAGGCCGCGAGATATGAGCAAGAGGATGAACTATACACAGCTAGATATGAAAAGAAGAAAGAGAGAGATCGTAAGGGCTCGGAAGAGAGATCGTAAGGGCTCTAGCTAGCTAGAGAAAAGAGAGGTGTTTGTCTTTAAGAACTGCACTATAGTTTTATGTTTTCGTAAGAAAATGCCTAGATCTTTGTCAACCCTGTCAACCCTGTCTTCGGAGATGGATTCGGAGCGGGCGAGGAGGCTTGTACACATAATAATGGGACCAAGCTACTTCAGATAGTGGTCACCAAGAAGGAGGGAGTCCATTTGTTTAGACATCAACCTCTTCAGTTTCTTCGACAGCCTTGTTGCCGCGTCCGCCTTCGGAGTCAGAGTCAAGGTGGAGATCAGTGTTGTCAACCTTTCCATCCTTCATGTCAGCGAGGGCAGAGTTCAAGTATTGGCGGACAGATTCATCAGTCTTCAACAAGTGCTTAAGGCGAGCAGGAGCATCGTCTTGGAATCCAGGAAGCTTGACAATGTGTCCAGTACCAAGATGAAGGTTGGTGTAGTTATCGCGCTTTGCCTTCTCGGCACGTTCCTCGGCGGTACCAATGTAGACCTCATCACGTTGGAATCCAGCGAAGTGCTTGTGGATCATGGCAATGACATAGGCTCCGTTACAGATACCAGTGGCTTCCAAGAACAAACAGATGCGGAGGAAGATGTAGGTGAAGGGGTTGGAGAGGAAGGCAATGGGGAAAGCAGAAGCAACCAATTGCCAGGCGATGGAAGCGACAATGGTAGTGATGAGAGCTCCAAGGAAACCCATGTTCAAGAACTTCTGGGTACCGGGCTTGACTCCCCAAAGAGTGTCTCCGCCTTCGGGATCGATGTCAAGAGAAGTGACACGGGCAATGAAGAACATACAGGAGACAACACAGAGCTGACGTCCAATCATGAAACCAGAAAGATTGAATCCGTTACCGCGGAAAAGAAGAGCACAGGTGCGCTTGGCCCATGGGGATTCTCCACGATCTTCGGGGCGGAGCTTGGCGACAGCAAAGAATGCAATTTGCATACCCTCGAGAAGTCCGACAACACACATGAGCAGGAAGAAAAGGATGACGGCAACTCCGGGTGGCACAGACTCCCACATGGTGGTGCGTCCATCGAAGAGAGCAACCAAGGTAACAGTGAAGGCAAAGGCCAAGACACCGATAGACATGATGCATCGAGAGAAGAAGAACAAGTTCTGTAGAGGAGACTTGTTTGCTTCGTTCGACTCGATTTCTTCTCCAGCGGCAGCGGCGACAAGCATCTGGATGACATAGGAAGCATGCACCAATCCGGAGAATTCAATTCCCATGGCAACACACAAGGTGAAGTAGTTGGGGTAGGTGTTGAGGTAGTCAAGCATGCAATGGGAAGCATTGACCTGAGAGTTTAACTGTCCAATCATTGTGGTGAAGAGAATCATGGCGAGACCGGTTCCCAAAAAGATGGTGATGAGGATATCGGGAAGTCCCCAAAGCTCGGCATCGGCAACTGGTCCTCCGGAAATATTGATGGTAAAGACAATGAAGACAACCATGAATTGACGTCCGAGAAGGTAGCGGTCAAGGGAGTCTCCAGTGTGGGCAATTTTGCAACACTTGGCGGCGATGGTGTGGCTTTCTTCGTAAAGAGTGCGGTCAACAGGGGCCAAACCAACCAAAGAAGCTTGTCCTCCTTCGACAAAGGAGAGCCAGATCACAGCAGTCCAAAGACAGACGAGAGCAAGGATGGGGTGGACGTCTTGGGCCAAACCGGTTTGCTCCGAGAAAATCAAACCCATAATCATCACGACGGAGAAGATCAAGGCGCATGTCGAGATGACATTCTTGATGTTCTCGATGGTGGGGTTCTTGTCGATAGGCATGGTTGCGGTGAGAAGAAGAAGAGTCGAACGAAAGAGCTGAGCTTGCTTTGGTTGTTTTCCTTGAGGCTTTCTTGAAGGCTCGAGGCGAAGATTGTGAGCTCTGTTGGTTGCTTTCTTCTCAAGGCTCCGCTTTGGTGATCTGATGATTTTCGTCTGCGAAAGATTTCGATTCTGCTTTCAGCGAAGGAAGACAAACGGTCGGTTTACTTCGTGTTACCTCGCATCCAAACTCGTCTAAGTGAAGTTGGGTCTGATAGGCAGTGGTGGGATCCATGCCGGCGTTTATGGGATTCACATTCCAATCCTCTCGGACCCCTCGAATGCTAAAAAGAAGTCATGACGCCAGCGGTTACCAAAATCGGTTAATGGGTACCGATCTGTCTTTTTGTATCGAAAATTTAGTACGTGGTCGGATGCCCGCGCTATAGACACGATCCCATTTAGAGAAAATGGAGGATGACAATCTTCCCTTCTCGAGCCGGAAAGGAGCGACCCATCCCACGGGATAGATTGGGACTAGGGACCCAGTCAAAGCAAGTCTGAGCGTCCCACGGGAGCGAGCAGTTGAACTGACAACCGGCTGTCAACTCAAGCTTTTCACAAGCCACTGGAAGAAAGATCCACACGTACTTGCACTTATGTTACCTGTGAAGCAGCTTGGAGCTGCTATCATGACAAGATTCCGCTAACATAGAAGGAAGAATTGCCTGAGAAAGCTCAGGAATAGGTTCAGGAATCATGGAAAATTGGGAACCGGTGGCGTGGTTGTTGGCATTGGCATGTGCATCAAAGCCAACGGAGGCCGGGATTGCCAAAAATTCCAATGTCGCCCCTACCAATTCTCTTTGCGCACTCACTGGACGGTTCCTTGGGACTCAACCACATATGGTTAAATAGATAAGGCAGCTTCTCATTAGTCCTCGTTCGACGATTAGATACACCAAAATTTTATTACTATGGGCTATTTGTAGGGATGGTTCGGGACGTGTAGTCTAGTCTGGATAGTCAGATACCGGTTGCACTGCATTGATAAAAACTAGAGCGGATTGGGGTTCGATAGGAGCCTCATTTCATCGTTGCGGTAGCACTAAGGATCCGGCGACTGCTCCCCTTTCCTCATCAAATCATTGGCACCTGGATACATGTAGAGCACGGCATGCGGCCAAGAAAATAGGCAATGACAACTATCTGAATATCTGAACAGCAAAATTATTTCCACTTGGGTGCCAGCCATGAAGTGTTTCTCTGCGTATGGCTCGGTCTCGAGACTGACTTGACTCGAGACAAGCTTTCCCAGCCCGATTCTGACTTGCTCCCATGCAGCAAACCATATCATACGTAGCTTCAGCACCCGTATAATATCTCACACTAGTACCGGCCGAACGGTAGCTACCACCTGTAGCTAGCTAGTGTACGACCAGGAGCAATAGTCTAGACTAGTAGTACTTTCTCTCGTTCTTTCCAGTTTCCGCTGGACTTCCAAAGCTGCAACATGTAGCAGGGCTGTACCGATACGGTACAGTAGCTGGCAGCTACAAGTACTAGCTAGTATCGTACCTTCGTACCTTCCCGTTTCCCGTACCGGTACGCCAGCTGCCGACTGGTAGCCTAATACAGTAGTGGTACGGGAACCATCTCACTGTGAGTCATGAGTAAGGGAGTCACAGTCGTCGCGTCACGGAAGAAGGGTGCGCGAGTGTCAGTTCCGGAATAAACCTGTGCAATGTTGTGGATCCATCCATGCAAAAGATCTTTGGCAGCAACAACAGCTTGTTTCTCGACTATTTCGTCTGCTCTCTTCTAACCAAACTTTCAACAAGATCCGCTCCCTTCTGCCACCGGTACGCCTTTCTTATCGTCTTTCACCGCATCCAGTACATTGCGCCTACCGTACCGGTACCATGGAGGAGGAGAACCCAGCCCCTATGCTGATCCCCGTGAATGTGAAGGATTCGGTGGGACCTCCCACGACGACACTTGATGTGGATGAAGTTGCTCAGCTTTCCTTTGATGGTGGTGTCAACGAGACCACTGGAAGAACTGGGGATGTAAGTGGCGCACATCCAGTTGTGAGCCCTTCCAGTACTTATTCTCAAGATCCGGCAAACTCCGTGGTGAATGAAGAGTCTAGATCTGTTCCGGCTATCGACGTCAAAGACGATTTCGTGGATGTGGAAGGTGTCACAGAAGAAGGCCATCGGGCTACGGCATCAAAAGAGACCCTGTCAATGAACAACACGCCCGCTTCGGATGGAGGTGTGGTTGTAACGACTACTGCCGACGCGACGACAGAATCATCTGACGCTCGTGGCAAAGAAACTGGAACTGAGGTCAACAACAACGACGAAGAAGACGGATTGGGTTCCTCTGAAAAGAGAGGGCTGCTGAAGGAGGGAGGTGACGGGATTGAGATGCAAAAAGTTCTCACAGAGGATGCTTACTCGCTGCTCTACACTGGTGAGTACAGTACAACCCACACTTGCCATGGCTCTCTCGAGAGATGTATCGACACTGCTACACTCAGCTAACCCGGTCCTGTTTTCTTGATCTGCAATCTGTACGTATCTACAATCATTCAAAATCAGCTGATTTATTTAGTGTGACAACGCTTTATGCCCTCGTAACAATCTTGCTACAAGCAGGAATGCTTGGTCTCACTTTCTGGGACCTCATCAAGCCTGGGAGTGAGTGCGGATTGTGCTGGTTTGATCCTTTCTTTGTCTTGTTCGGTCGGATTGTCTAACATCGAATAATGCTACATGTACACTGTTCACATCATTTTTTCATGGTGAATTCATTACTGTAATGGCTACGTTCAGACGAAACAAACGGTGGACGAAACAGGATTGCAGTTCCCCCTGGAGCGACACCACAAGTCATGATCTCTCAGTTTCTTGGAATGGTCCTTACTGTGATGGTCATGGCAGCGGATGGAGACTTTGTTATTGGTATCGCTCAGCTCATCGAAGGATACGATGATAGTTACATGGAGAAGTTCCCAAATGCTACCTGGTATCGTTTTTTGGTTACAGCTGTCATGCAGACAGTATCGGGATCCTTCTTGTTGATTGATTCCTTCATTTTGGCAATGCAAAGCTCTACCGTCATTGATTTGAGTCTCAATCTTACAGGTACATTCCCCTCTGTTTCTTTCCTTGCTGTGCCTTTTTGAACCTCACACGTCTATCCATATCACTCGTGTCTTCCATCGATTTTGCTGGGCTGATTTCTGTTCTTACTCGATGCTTCTCGCAAAGCCTTGTACTTTATTCAGGAGATTGATGAGCAAGGTGTGTACCTGGGTGTTGGGCCGTGGTGGTTTGTTCTTTTGCTGTTGTCTGGCTAATTTACAATCTTTTTTGTTCCTGGCCAATGTAGCCTTTCAGCTCGGACTGACTGGCATGATTGCCACACGGATCAAGGAAGATTGCGAAAGTGTCCAAGAATGGCAACACGAAACAACCAAAGAATATCGACGCACAGTGCTCATCCGCAAACGACGTCTTATTTTCTTCATGCTGGTGGCACTTCTTATTCCTTATTTTGCGGTGGTGGGCAGGCAAGCTGGTGGTAGATACGTCTGTAACAACGTGTACATCCAGTTTGGAGATGCGTTTGATCCAAAATGGGCCCACTACAGTGGTCGATTTAAGAGTCAAGGAAATTCCTTTCTTGGTGGTGATCGAAAGGATTCAAGGAACTACTACCTGGATGAAGCCACAGGGCAAATTCAATTGGCCTACTGCGGTTCAGAAGAGGCCTGGACGATATCCCTTGTGGAACGTGAGGACCCTTGTGAGTATGTCTTCAAATCAGCAGATACAGACACTTTTGATGTCATCGAAGTAGCTGGTGGGGATTGGTATTACAACACAGGAGAAGTAGGAGGCCTCGAAGCGGAAACGGGAGATGTCAAGGTAGACTGGATGGCCATTATCTGCAATGATTGCAATGAAGATCTTTGCAATGCTGAGTATGGGACATGCTCCGACTCAGAGGACAGGTGTGAATGCAAGGAGGGAAGGTTTGGACTCAATTGTGAGTTCAATGGAACTACCTGTGAAGGGATTTCCCTTGATAGGAGAACAGCTGCTGGCCTCTCGACAATTCCATCAGCTTCCTACTTCCTCGACTTTACCGAATACGCACCTATATCAAGAACAAACATCACTTTGTATGACCGTTTCATTTACGCTCCGACAAATGCCCTCTATGATTACTCTATTGGCATTGACACAACACAAGTCTCCAGCTACATAATCTTCACAGGAAGACGATTTGTGCTCTATGGAGTACCAGGTAAGGGCGCAGAAACTGGGAGCGGAGAATCTGTGTTGTTTGCTGCCATCCTCAGCCCTTTTGCTGCCGTTCCCAGAGACGAGCTATGCGAAGGGGATTAGATCTAACTGGACGATTGGTGATTTTTACAAGTGGTTCATTGAACAAGATTCGACAAACAGACCATTTGACATGCTCAAGAACCTGACAATTGAATCTCCAAACTACCCACCTCTGCTTTTTAGCTCTCCAGTGAACTATGGTGGGGACTCCTACACTTTTGAACCCACCGGATTGACATGGGTTCTGGCGACGGAAGAGGGAGTTCAGAACGATGTCATCCCTCTTAGTCCTGACGACGACAAATCAACTGGTGCACAGTTGCTGTGCTCCTATTGCGTACGTAAACTTCTTATACCTTCCTCTCTCCCTTTGATCTTGCTGATCAGTTTCTTCGTATCATATTTCCAGCACAATGAGACCAGCCCATGCCATAATGGAGCTACTTGCAGTGGCCAGTATTGCGTATGCCAGGACTATTTCGAGGGACATTTGTGCGAACAAGCCCTCAACTGTGGCGATGTTGGGGGCTTTTGCTATAATGGTGGAACTTGCAACATGTTGTCTGGCTTGTGTAACGACTGCGGTGAAGGTGAGGTTGGGAAACTTGTGTTTTTGTTACTTTCGATTCCGAGGACACGATCGTTCTAAACGCAGACATTGGCTGCCAAACTATCGATTGTACTGTAGGGACTTACGGACGGCTCTGTCAGTATGGTGACAACACAACAGACCCATACTTCTGCCAAAGGTGCTTTTACCAGGGACAGACGAGATCTTGTAACCTTGAGGATCAGATATGTGAGTGCTACGAAGGATATGAAGGGAAACTTTGCGACCTGCCAACCAACAGTACGCCCACAAACAGTACGCCGTGATATTTGGCTGGCAAGGTTCCTTGTTGCCCAACTTGCTGTCATCATCATTTATTTGTCTACGAATTAGCTAATCCACGAAGTACATGTAAATCTACTTGTGACATGTAGAAGGTATCGTCACTGCTGGGTACAACGTAGCAAACCTTTGATCATAATTTCCTTCGCCCACCCTGAATGCTGATTACGTACACTGAAGCAATCTTTTCGAACGGATCCGTAAAGGGAAGTGTGTCTGGCCAGGATGCTGGTCAATACCCAACGGCAGCCACGGAATTTTTGTGGTCGTGCAGACAACAATTTGGAGTGCTGTTCGCAAGAGCTACAGCCAACCATATCAGATTCTTTCGCCAAGATTGGATATAGTCGTACCCACATGTTTCGTGTTAATGAGCACACAAAACGTATTTCTTGCAAGAAAAGATGAAAGGACCAACAATTCTTCCACGCCTTGGGGTGTATTGGGCGTTGCTTTCCCAGCTCTGCCATGGACGCAGCCTCAATACAGACTGTTCGATCGACGATGCCGCCCTTCAGAACGACTTATTAGAGGATCAGGAAGCTTCAGTATCCAAAGTTTGCTTCCCTGTACGCGGAGCAGAGCGATGTTTCTTCCTTCTCCTTCCTGAATGTGCGAAGGAAAAGTCCAACGTTCCCTTGGTTGTGGACCTTCATGACACAGGCAGTTGCCCACTGGCGCAATCACGAATATCGGGATGGAAAGAGTACGCCCTTTCGGAATGTTTTGCTGTTTCCTGGCCACTCGGTACCACCGACCCGAATGTTGCCGATGAACCCTGCTTTACAGTCCCTGGTGGCATGGACGTTTTGAACAGTCATGGTCGAACTGTGGGGGTTGCACCAGATTGCTGCTGCAAGAAGGGTGGACAGTTGATACCAGAGACAGATACCAATGACATAGAGTTTCTCCATGATGTCATCAACAAGGCCATCGATGAAGCGTGGTATAGGAACGTTGCAATCAACGCCACCAAAGTTCAGCTCTCTGGTTACGGCAACGGCGCCACGGCAGCCATGGGGTTTACGGCAATCCACAGTGACATTGTCTCTTGCCTATCGCCCTTTGCCGGTCCCATGGTCACCGCCATTCCAGAGGACTACACTCCGGTCCCCGTTTTCTCTGTTCTGGATAGCGGCCGTTCACACCAAGACCAGGAGCTCGACTCAAGTACCGAACTCATGTTGTCTCCTGGGGACGTTGCATACATTCTCCCATCTCCATCCAGAGTCGATGAAGTCTTTTCGGAGGCGAACCATTGTGTCGGCGAAAGCACCTCTAGATCTAACACTGCCACCGACAAACTCACCCAGGTGGAGGGAGTCGTCACGAGTGGCAAGTTCGGCGACTGCAAAGCCCCAGTGAACTTTTTGAAGCCACCCTTTGCCGCCTACAAGTCAAGAATCTCGACCGACGACGATACCGATACCACAAGCACAGCTGCGAAGAATCGTGTGGTGGATACAACCATTATAGCATATATGTTTTGCAAGGACCGACACAGCGTCGACACGGACTACGTACGTGTTGAACGGCCACCAGTCAGCGCCGCTGCGACGACCAAGTCGGCTCTTGCAACATCAGTCGTCGCCGTAGTGTCGGCGACCGTGGCTCTCTGGACAGCAGCATAATGCAGATTTACTCCACAACATAATGGTTTGTCTGGATTGGAGTGAGAGTCGATTTCAATGCTTCATTCGGACGAATCGCAAGTTTGAAGGCGTCACGAAGGACGACCTTATCTATACATCATACATTATCATAAATTAGCAATTCCTTATTACCCAAGCAATGGCACACACACACATCCCGCTGAACTGCATGTACTTACTACCGTAGTGCATGTGGCTTCTTGGTTCTGCATTGCTGGATGGTGAGCCTTTGAGGCATTGGAACGGTAGCAAGTCCAGCAACTATGGGTACAACGGGCGACACGCGAATCGATTCGATGCAATGCAATTGATCGCCGCTCCACCACCAAAATCTTGCCACAGTCTTGTGTGTTACCGTAAGCCACCCCAGGAAGCTTTCTCGAGGAACGAAACAGATCAGAAACACTTTCATCGACGGAACAGACGACCGCACATGTTTCCTTCGGCACACATGCAAGTTTCAGCAATGCAACATTCGACTTGGGCTACTTACTACGGTACAAGTTCGGGTCGCATCAGACAGACCAAATGCTTGGCACAGGAGTTTCGGAGCCAACACGACACGCAAGAGAATCCAAAAAAGAGAATGAAAGCAAAGCAAGAGGAGAAGAAGCAGTGTCTGTTGTTTCGTCCCTGATTGATTGTGTTCGTTCTATAATTGTGGTTGCTTAGCAATAATAAGAGAGAGTAGTATAGTATTGTTGTTGAATGATTGTGATGATGATGATGATGAGGATGATGTAGACCTTGATTGATGGATTGATTGATACATTGATAGTATTCCTTTTCTTCTTTTTGGTTTGTTGCTGTATCCATTCTGTAGTGTAGTTCCATTGCGAAGAAGCAGAGATAGAAGACTGATGGTTCCGAGATGACATAAATCATGAATCCATTTTCATGCCCACTGATTTGATTCTTTGATTTGTTTGCTTATTAGTACTGGACGCTTGGATTGTTATGTTGTTATTATAGTGTCGGATGATGATTGAGATGATTAAGATGATGCATGGCTCCTGGCATGGCTGCTGTGGCCCCCATAGGATTGGCCGTGACATGTGGTGGTTGTTGCTGTACCGCTACAACCGGCGGAGCATGCGTGGCCGTTCGACTGACCTTTTCTGGTTTGTCCCCTCGTACGGCTTCCCGATACTTGCTCAAGTAGAGTTTGAGTGGTTCTACGTACTTGTCAAATCCCAATGTTGACATGGCCCATAACAGATCATCTCCATTGATGGTCTTTCTCTTTTCCTGCAAGCACTTGTCACTGGCTTCCGATGTGATAAAGGATATGAATTCGCTCACACATTCCTGAACCGTCTCTTTGCTGTCCTTGGCAATCTTGGCATTTTCCGGCAATGTGTTTTTCATGATCCGAGCAATGTTGGCAATCGGTAAATACCGGTCCTGCATGGTTGACAGAGAAACAAGGAACCATCCATGATGAGGCAAGAAAGAATCAAATCAAATCGAAACACAGACAACGAATGAATCGAATCAGTTCTTGCTTTGATAGAAGCTCCTCCATTCTTGCAGGACACAACCTTACCTGCTCTCGGATCTCTTCGTACTCATCACCTGGAGGCTTGCCGTCCATCATATCGGCTTCGGGTGGTCCAGACATGGCTTCGCTAGAGAGATTGTCAATGAATCGAATCGAATCGAATCGGTGTTCAGCTTTCTGGTTCAGGCGAGAACGGGCTATGGAAGGGAGGAAGGGGTGATGTGTCTAGCTAGCTAGCAATCTGCCTAGTGGTAGAACGGAATGATGAATGTCCCGTATCGTACCTGCAGTCTTACTCTCGGGTTGTCACTTGTTGTTTTGTTGTTTGAGAATAAGGCACGAAGCACGAAGGGACCTTCTTGGTTATCGCCGTTGCTTTTGTTGATGGCTTGGATCTCACTTCTCAGCGTGGCACACCTCAATTTCACCCAAAAAAGTGACTTCTCACGCTGGGAATGTTTGATGGCGGACAGACCACATGCGATCACCCGGGCGACGATCGGGAGAAAGACGACGTCTCGAGGGTGCAAGCTGCTATTTGTGCCATGGCGCGCACATGACATACTAGTAGCGGTACCAAAATAGTGGGCAGGTACCGGTAGTAGGATATGTGCTATGTATACCGGTATGTACTATGCAACTCTTCTCGATACGATTGGGAAGACGTCTATAGCTTAGAACCGAGGATGAACGCTCTGGCCTAGCAACCAGCCCCAGTAGACAACGACAGGCTAGCTGGGCTGGCCCCAGGCATCATGACTTGACTCGGAACTTACAAGGCATGACACATGGGCCAGAGGAAGGTGGCTCCAAGCTGAGACAGGCTCCGCATTGTATCAGGATGGGGTCTCTATCTTTGAACCAGGCTTGGATTGGAGGTGTCTGTGTGGAGCTGTGGCTGGTCCCCAAGATTTGAAATACTAAGTTGGAAAGGCACAGCCAGTATTCATTTAATCGCAGCTTCCTTCCGATGGCTCTACGGAGAGCCTACCGTACCGTGCCGTCAGACCTGCTGTTCAAGATGTTGGCTTCAAACAACGACAACATTAGTTCCTCATATAGAGTTGCACAACCTTCCTTGTTCCTTCCTCAGGCTGCTTTCGTGCAGAAGCCCCTCCCCCAACAACTAACTAACTGGTGCTTGAGTCTTCGCAAACAGCTCCCACTAGCTAGTAGTTTACACAGGTACGGACACACATTGCCTTTGTTCCTTCGTGCAGGCAGTTCCATGCAATGACGAGCCAATACAGATCACTGTCCGTCAACCATCCAACGATAGCTGATACTACCGCCAGCAACACGACAAAAAAGCAATATGATGTCAGTTGCATTTCCTAACTATTGATGCCACAAACAAACCAAGGAAACGACAGCCAACTTACCATTGTTGCACTTGTCTACTGGTACCTTCTTCTCTGGTTGTCGATTGTTCCTATCCTTCTCGACTGGGGGCCAAACGCACAACATCATGATGAATGTTGAACCGTTTCCGGCAGCAATACTAGTGGTTCAGTGGGTCTTCTTTCAGCCATTCCAACACCGACCAATATTGGTAGACCCATTTGTTTGAAGATACCTTTAGGGACCTTTGTGGACAATCTGATGGGGTGTGGAAGAGGCAAAAGACATGTCTTGGGGTCGTAATCGCCAATTTCGTTGCATCGAGACAGCCTCTCTCCAATACCAAAATCTTTTTCGTTCAGCTAAATTGGGCTCTGGCATGGAAGAGTCCATTGTACAAAACCAATAGATACCCTGCGGAAAGGATCCTGGGTAGCAGAAGAAGCAAGGGCCACTCCTTTCAGTCCGAATCGTCTCTTGGGTGGTATGGCGGCAGTTTCATTAGATTTCCTTGACCACCAAAATCTTGTTTTCATTCCTTTCATATGGGCTCTGGCATGGAAGAGTCCATTGTCCAAGACCAATGGATATGCTGCGGAAAGGATCCTGGGTAGTAGAAGAGGCAAGGGCCACTCCGTTCAGTCCGAATCGTCTCTTGGGTGGTATGGCGGCAGTTTCATTAGATTTCCTTGACCACCAAAATCTTGTTTTCATTCCTTTCATATGGGCTCTGGCATGGAAGAGTCCATTGTCCAAGACCAATGGATATGCTGCGGAAAGGATCCTGGGTAGTAGAAGAGGCAAGGGCCACTCCGTTCAGTCCGAATCGGCTCTTGGGTGGTATGGCGGCAGTTTCATTAGATTTCCTTGACCACCAAAATCTTGTTTTCATTCCTTCCATATGGGCTCTGGCATGGAAGAGTCCATTGTCCAAGACCAATGGATATGCTGCGGAAAGGATCCTGGGTAGTAGAAGAGGTAAGGGCCACTCCGTTCAGTCCGAATCGTCTCTTGGGTGGTATGGCGGCAGTTTCATTAGATTTCCTTGACCACCAAAATCTTGTTTTCATTCCTTTCATATGGGCTCTGGCATGGAAGAGTCCATTGTCCAAGACCAATATACTCTGGGAAAGGATCCTGGGTAGAGAAGAAGCAAGGGCCACTCCGTTCAGTCCGAATCGTCTCTTGGGTGGTATGGCGGCAGTTTCATTAGATTTCCTTGACCACCAAAATCTTGTTTTCATTCCTTTCATATGGGCTCTGGCATGGAAGAGTCCATTGTCCAAGACCAATGGATACACTGCGGAAAGGATCCTGTGTAGTAGAAGACGCAAGGGCCACTCCGTTCAGTCCGAATCGTCTCTTGGGTGGTATGGCGGCAGTTTCATTAGATTTCCTTGACCACCAAAATCTTGTTTTCATCCCCCTAAATTAGGCTCTGGCATGGAAGAGTCCATTGTCCAAGACCAATATACTCTGTGGAAAGGATCCTGGGTAGTAGAAGAAGCAAGGGCCACTCCTTCAGTCCGAATGTCTCTTGGCTGGCCCGGGGGCAGTTTCATTAGATTTCGTTTGCTCCCAAAATCTGGTTGTCATTTCATTCATATGGGCCCTGGCATGGAAGAGTCTATTGTACAAGACCAATAGATACTCTGTGGAAAGGATCCTGGGTAGTAGAAGAGGCAAGGGCCACTTCTTTCAGTCCGAAGCCTCTTGGTGGCATGCCGGCCGTTCATGATTTCCTCTACTCCAAAATCTTGTTTTCATCCCCCTAAATTGGGCTCTGGCATGGAAGAGTCCATTGTCCAAGACCAATAGATACTCTGTGGAAAGGATCCTGGGTAGTAGAAGAAGCAAGGGCCACTCCGTTCAGTCCGAATGGTCTCTTGGCTGGCCCGGCGGCAGTTTCATTAGATTTCGTTTGCTCCCAAAATCTGCTTGTCATTTCTTTCATATGTGCCCTGGCGTGGAAGAGTCTATTGTACAAGACCAATAGATACGCTGTGGAAAGGATCCTGGGGTGTAGAAGAGTCAAGGGCCACTTCTTTCAGTCCGAAGCCTCACTTGGGTGGCATGCCGGCCGCTTCATCGGATTTTCCTTTGCTACCAAAATCTTTTTCATTCCTTTCATATGGGCTCTGGCGTGAAAGAGTCCACTGCCCATCAGCAACAGAGACCTTGTGGACAAGATCCTATGTTCATATTACACAGAGAGGCGTCGCGTGGCCATGAACAGAATCGATATATCATGGTCAATCAGCACAAAACAAGAGGAAGGAACCTGAGATCCTGCGATGAGATCTTTTGGAAGGCAGTCACGAGCCCTGAGCTCACGATTGATTTCTTACCGCCGTTTACGTTTGGAAAGAAGAGACGATGATCATCACAAGCGGGTGGGAAGACGGCTCTATAGCCGTAGCTACCGGTACTAATAGCTAGCTAGAAGCAATAACACGGACCTGAACAATGCCAACAACAACAGGAATGTCAACATCGACCCTCGTCTTGTGCAAGCCGTTGCCCAAGCAGTGTCCTTTCCCATTGTCCCCGTTTACCATGACGCTCGCACAGACCGAATCAAATCAAACACGCCGTGGAGGAGCAACTGGATGTTGTTGTCGCCGACTTTGAATTGTGCTCAGTGTGCGTTGGCGTTGGATCCGGATGGATCAAATACTGCATCATCGATTGTGCATCTTGGCGGCCTCTTGAGAATGCAACAAACATACATGATACTTCTGAGTGCAACTCTATGATACCTTGACGCAGCAGCATCCGGAATTCTTCCTGGCTGTGAAGTATCAAGAAGCCGAGGGAAACTTTTGTGGTGGCGGACGATCTGGCTGCCTTTTCCCCAATGATAAAATAGAAACACGCAAACAGCGACGCATATTTATTGCGGGAGTCTACATCGTACTACGAATTCCAAGCATTCCAATAACATTTTCAGAGCACGCGAGAAGGCGCGGTAGAGTGTGAGGGAAGCACTTCCAGCAGTTTCCCAACTTCTTTCATGATCAGTTTCATTTTACGGTAGAACTGCATCAGCACTATTCGAAACGACAAACGACAAAAGGAACTCTTGTTTGCCAACACTCCATCGGCAGGATCTACTCTACGAGATCTGGAAAAGATTCTCGACAGGAACATGCAGTCGGCATCCAAACTGGGGTGCGGCATAGTACCAGGCATGGAAGGCCAACGCATTGATTCACAGTACAAAACACCATCCTAAGAACACGCATGGTGCGAATTCGAAGGTGCCAGTACAGGCTTTTCTCAAACTGCGGAATCACAATCAAACAATCTTCTTTCGGTTGCCAGCAACTGGTCGGCTGTTCCGGTATGCGCCACAGTCAATGCTAGCGCTGATGAAATGCTGGGTGGGGCTGCAACCTACCGGTAGCTGGTCATCCACAAGCGCGGATTATTTCAAAATCGCTCACCCAAAAAGCTAGCATGTATGCACGGTGTTGATCTAGGTGTATGCATCATCTAAATTTCTTATGAACGATCTCTACCAAGTACATGAAACCTTCTTGTGTATGCTGATTGATAGTGATATCAATACCATTGGATGGAGTGATTGATTCGTTGGTCCAGTTCCCAACTCTCTTCCAAGACAGGCACATGATTATGCTCCATGAAACACGGCGTCCATTCCAGTGCGGAATTTCTCTCGGGAAATGGTTGCCTCGTGGTCGTCCTCTCCACCGGCTACGAAATTGCGAAGAGTGCTGGGGGTCAGTTCGAGTTGGAAGTACTCCGCAAAGCCGGCACGAAGCTCTTCCAGTGACAAGGTTCCATTGTGGTCCGTGTCAAACTCATCATACAACTTGTCGGCATCAAAGGCATCCACTCGCAACGAGTCCTTGATTTGCGCTCGCTTAAAGGCATGGCCCGAGAAGCGCTTGACAGACTTGTAATAGTCCTTTTGCAAAATGCCAAGCTTCTCCACGTATTTTTCTTCCAAGCCCTTGCGAATGTCAAACCCATCATAATTGGCAACGATATCAATGGGTCCCTTGTTTTCGACCAGGGGATGCATAATGCTCTGAAGACCTTCGTAAAACCAGTCCACATCTTCTTCCTCGTTGAGGGTAATGCCAAACAGATCAATGAACAACGTGTGCTGATGTTCTCGGTACACGCATCGGTCTTCCAGACTCCCAAAGATCTCGGACGTGACTCCCATCTTGTCCGGATTGAAAATACGAGTATCCATGAGCTTGAGGTTGGGGCTGATGATGGGCTCAAATTCTGTGGAAATATTCATTGCAGAAACAATGTCACACATGGAAAGTAGGAGAGAACCAGGTTAGCCAGCAATCAACCCATCCACTTGAACAACATACTTGCGACGACGTACCCATCTGATCCAGAATATCCTTTTGCAGATCCATGCCCGGTGCGATTTCAATCAACTCAAGTTTTTCCGCTTTGGCGGTTCTTTGGAAGACACACCGCTCGGTGACGTACAGGACATTTTGACCTCGACGGACAGCTTCGTCTCCGCTGAATGTCTTTTCCATTACCTTCGGGACCAACTTTTTCACTTGGCCTTCTTTGGCAATCTTGAGTGTACCGTCTCCAGGAGTTTCCACCTTGAGACCCTTGGCGGTCAGGGAAGTCATGAAGCATACCGTTCGTGTCGACTGTGAAATGTCGATAAAGCCACCGGGACCTGTGAGTCTATCCTTGCTCATTCGAGACACGTTGACATCTCCTTCGGGCGATATTTGAGCAGCACCCAAGAAGCACATGTCCAAACCACCACCATCGTAGAAATCAAACATCTTTGCAACGGAAAACAGGAAAACAAAGCAGATAAAGAAGCACCCGGTTGAGAATGAGGTGTTCGTTTGTTTTGTTTGGCGCTCTCCGGTTCGTGCCATCCTTTTTACAACTAAGGCAACTTACTTGGTTCATTTCCATCAGACTGGACGCATTGAATGCTGGTCCAAAGCTGTGGCCAGAAGCAGGCAAACCTCCAAAGACTCCTGGTTCGGTAGACAGAGTGAGATAGTCGAGCATGCCTTCTTCAGATGCAACGCTTGCGACACCCTCGGGCAAACCAATGCCAAGGTTCACAATCTTGTTTGGCTTTACACAGAAGAACGCTCGGCGGGCAATGAGCTTTCGCAATCCCATTTCCATTGGCTCAACTCCTTCAGCACCCGTTTTGATTTCGCCAGTGAGTACAGGGTTGTGCTTTTCGAGGTAACTCATGGGATGCAACTCATCATGATCTTTCTCATCCACCACCACAACACAGTCAACCATTGGTCCGGGAACTCCGACACTTCGGGATGGTAGTGTTCCGCTACCGGCAACGCGTTTGACCTGAGCGATCACAATACCACCGCTATTCTTGGCCGCAGCCGCAACAATCTTTTGATCACACAAGAGGCTCTCATGTTCTAGTGTGATGTTTCCCTGAGCATCTGCTGTTGTTCCTCGGATGATGGCCACATCAATTGGCAAGGCCTTGTACATTAGATTCTCTTCCCCATCAATGTTGATTCTCGAAACAAGCTTGGAATGAAAGGGGCTTTGAGCTGCCTTTTCATTGACAGCTCCTCCCGTGATTTCTGGATCAACATAAGTCCCAAGACCCACGGTTGTGATATGACCGGGAGAATGGGTGGACTGGGCACGAATCATGCGCGAGACAGAGCCCATGGGCAAAGTCCAGGCTTCCACTTTGTTCGCCAAAGCGAGATCCGCAACTTTTGGTACTTGTCCGTAGTGACCACCAATGGTTCTGAAAAGCATGCAGGTACCATCTTCCTTCTCTCTTCCAAGATGAGACAGTCCCTTTTCTCCATAGTCCTGCAAAACGATCAGATTAGAGTAAAGAAGAATAAAATTAGTATAAGCTGTGTGCTGTTGACACGGGGAATTGTAGATTCGATTCAAGGGCTCCTTTTGCCCGACTTACACCAGGACCTGCAGAAAGAGTAAAAGCAGTAGCAGAATAAAACAAACAAGTATGAGCAGTTTGCATGGGGATTTGATAGACTACTGTTGCGTGACATACCGCCTCCAAAAAAGAGGGTCAAGTTCTTTGGCGAGCTCGTTCGTTCAAATCTCTCCCCCAAAGCCTTCAGGACGGCTTCCGGTGCACCCTGGCAAACGAAACCGGATACAGCGACAGTATCCCCATCACGGACTAGCTCGACGGCATCAGAGGCACTGACAATCTTTTGGTGGATCCTCTTGGGTACTTTGTACTTCTCTTTTTTTATTGCACTGTCAGCACCGTTGACAACGTTGGCACCATTAACTGGATTTGGTTCAGCGAACGAATCGGTATAGAGATATTTCCGACCCATAAGGTCAGCGGAGTTGAGGAATGGATTCGAAGCAAGCACTCTTACTGGCTTGATGAGTCTGCAATGGCGAGCTGCCGCCAGGCCTGCTCTGGCCATGGTTTTGGATGCGGTCAGCATCATCATGGTCGATTCTATTCTACGGTTTTTGGATCAAATGTATGTTTTGGCTTGCTTTCAGAATTGTTTTATGAGATGCTAGAATGACTGCTTACGGCGGAACGTGCGATGCGAACTACAAGAGCATACTCCGAGATATGGATGCAATCCCAGGTCGAAGGAAAGTTGTCGCTTTGTTGACGCTCTCAATGCTTTTTGGATGGATTCTTGGAGTTCGCATCAAATTGCGAACCGAAGAGCGGATCCGCAGTGAACCAACAGCGCTTCTTCCGAAGGGAACCCACGAAGAGAAGCCAGCTACAGAGCCATTACACGTGTACGGCCAGCTAAGGTGGTGGATGTACAGTCGTACGGTACAGTACCCTACAGAGCTAGCACCCATAGTTACAAAGAGCTGGTCAAAAGCAGATTATAAAATGCAGCAAAAAGTGAGAATGCTAAAATATTTTATAGATAGATCCTACAGGTGCTAGAGCTAGCTAGGGCAGTCATCCTTTAGCGCAAAGAGAATATCAAGACGAACCATGCTTCTTGATGCCAAGCTTCTATGAAATGACTGATGGTGGAGTGCCTACAGTAGATAGATGCTTGCTCTTGGTGGCTCTGGAACTAGATCGAACGACTGAAGGCACACACCCCACACGCCATTCCAACAGTCTCGGGGTGGGCATCGTATCATTACGTAACCCCAGCAAAGAAGGGTGCACATACCGGTATGGTACCAGGTACCACATACAGTCGTAACCCCACGCCATCACTACCCTTGCAAGGTGCCAAGCGAGCAAAATCTGGATGCAGCCGTGCTCTAACGGTATTTTCAGGGTACGGTACCGGTACAGTCGTACTTTCCTCTCGGCCGTACCGGTACCATCACAGTGCAACCTAGAACACCTGTGGGCATTGCACTGTGCACAGGCAGAGCTTCCAAAAGACCTCTGGTTGCGACGTCAAGTGGTCCTAACCTCCAAAGTTTTGCAAGTAACCAATGGTCGGTACCGGTACGCACCCTTTTATCTCCCATCTTGTCGATTAAACCAGCAAACTCCAGCTGCAGCCACCAACCCACGCACATCCAGCCAGTCAAAGATGGAAGATTCCGAAACCGCCACCAACCCCGGCGAAAGGAGCAGTCACTTCCTTCTGCTACGGCCTCCTCCGATTCCGGCTCGCATCTACTCGACTACTTGCTGCAATATCTGGTGATAGAACCTTGCGGTAGTACCAAAAGAATGACTGCCCTGGCTCCAGTTGCCGCAAGCGGTTGATCTTCTGTCTTGTGTACACAAAGAAGTTCAGGAAGCCTGTTGCAGCGAGGATGAAGTGGAGATTGAGAAAATGAATAACAGAAGTGATGCTCAGCCACACCGCGGTGCAAAACACGGTGGTTCATGCATGACGCGAGAGAAGACCCCACGGACACTTACCCTGCAAAGGATAGAGTATCCAGTACAAATATTGCAACGCCACAGACCTTGGTTCCACCTTCCTTTCTTGAATTTCCTCCGAACCAAGAAGCCCTCCTATGTACAAGCCTACGGAAGGCCAAACCAATGTGTTCAAATAGACCTTCAGCCACCAAAAACAAGTTGGTGGCACCAATGAGCCATGTTCCGAATGAGAAAGATCCACAACTACCGTAGCCAGCTATCTTACCAAAGAATAGAGAACTGCTTGTAGTGCCACTTGTCGCAGGCGTTCGTCCGCTGCCGAGTCCCGACCCCCTTCAAACCGGTAGCGATTGCTCCTTTTCAACGTAGTGCGCACTGTCAACCACACGAGAAACGTGCAAAGAAACCCTATAAAAGAAAAACAAAAGATGAAGGACGTCGCAAGTATCCCCAATGCGCCCACTATTACTTCTGTGGAGCGTTCACACTCAATTTCCTCATGATCATTGCACCCCCACGGCGAGGCTGAATAAACGCAGACGTTGTTGATAATTGGAGAAGGGTTGATGGATTGTGTCGCTGCAGCAGCAATTTGAATGCTGAGTGGTACAATGATTGCAAAGGAGTATGCCCCAATTTCGATTCCTCGAGTGAAATCTCGTTCTTTCCAATTTCGTCGGACGACCAGAAAGTAGTATATGCTCAAGTAAGCGTTACAGCTTGACCCAATCATAACTCCCAGGGCGAAGATAAACCCAATTGCTGCGCAAGATGCATGAGTGCCTATCGCACCTGGAAATCCAATATACGAAGGGATCAGAAATGGCATTACTAGACTGGTCGAGGAGGACACCATATCTGCAAGGCTTAACGCAAAAACTAAGCGTTGCATGCACCTTTCAAGTTGTCGCCTAGACATGTAGATAACACAGCTAGAACCAATCATGGAGAGAGAGGCGGAGAGGGAGCCCAGTACCAAGAGAGGAATGCACACAGAGTCATCCAATATTTTATAGGATATGGAGGATGGGGAAGCGGTAGCATTGAAGGAAAGATCAAAGTCATCCATTCCAGCATAGGATGGGGAATAAGTGGCATTCAACCAGGGAGCAACATTCGACATTGCTTGACTTTGTCGAGCTGCCCATGGTCGGTTGCTTTGTTGCTGTCTGTCTCACTTCGACCAACAACCAACCCGGTAACAAATGCATATTTTAGCTACGTATACATCCGTGACTAGTGCATTGACAGGAACGACCATACCACGATGACAGCACCGCTTCCCGTCTGCTCAGCGAAGTTAAGCATCGTCGGGCCAGGTTAGTACTACGGTGGGGGACCACGTTGGAATCCCTGGTGTTGTTCTTTTGTTGCCGCAGTTGTCTTGGTTTTGCTCGAGCTGGCCAGTGGTGGTTTGTGTTGCTCATTCAACAAAATACGGCAGACTAGCTAGACTAGCTAGGTCAGAAAATAGATCTCAGTATTCCAGATTGAATCATTCGACTTGCTAACAAGTCCGTCAAACGTAGACTAACTTAGAAGCAGCGGTCTGGCACAGTTGCACCTGCATCAACCCAAAGGTCTCTCCAGTTCGTTGTGGTGTCCTTATACGGTACTAGTATACTACTTTTGAGAGTTCCTCAGCTGTACCTGGTACTTGATAGGTTTCGCTTCCTGTTTTGTTTGAGGCGACCCACAAGCTACCTGCCAGACAAAAGTACTAGTATGTTCAATACAGTGGTGTTACGGTCTCATAATGTATCAAAAGATTTGCTATTATAGACAAGGTTTGTGTTTCTACAATTCTGTGCATCGGTCTTATAGGCAAGGAGGGATCTGCATGGAGGCTGATGGAGTCTGGAGTTGGAGCCCGGATCGTGAGATCTAAGCGGCAGGGCTTCTGCTGGGTATTGCCTTGAGAGATTCTTGCATAGCCACGTTCTTGAAGGATTCGTTGGTGCCCTCATAGTAGATCTTGTTGGCTTCTCGCTCGTCCTCCAGTGCACGATCTCTTGCTCTCTTGAGTGCAGCTACAACGTGCTTTTGCACATACTTTTCAAGTGTAGCTTTGATTCCTTCTGCCTTGCCTGTTGCTGGTGGGTTAACCTCCATTTGGTGAAGCTCCACAATGCTGCGGATCATGTTTCGCCGTCTCTTGGGATTGGTAGCCTTGTTGGGGATAATCTTCTCCAGACCTCGCAGAGTATTTCCATTCAATCTCTCGAATTCTCCGAGAAGAACAGCTGTCTTGGCCAAACCGTACGCTTGACCTCTCATTTCCACGAATTGCTGATTGGAGTACCAGCTCGCCCGCCTCTCGTCTTCAGTTCTTGTGGTATTGTAGTTGAATTCTTTGCTGTCCCCAAAACTTACTCGCTTGGTGGGAGCAGAAGAGCGAAGTTCAGAGTGTTGTCTCATGGTTGTGTCGGATTGTCTTGCTTCGTAGCTATACTCAAAAGATCAATTGCTCAGCTCAAGTGCTTGCCAATATTGTGAGATCGTTGAGCGCATTGCCGATAGAGCAGTCATCCCAGCACCAACATCTCTCCTACTACATTAGTACAGGCTGCAGCAGCTCCACTTCAGCCTTCCCACTGGTTCTCTTGGCGACTCTCTTTGGTTCATGGATACCGGTCAAAACTTGCGTGGCAGGTCATATTCGTGCATGGCGTTCCTTGCTGCATCAAAGGTAAACCACGTCAGACTCAGATTGTCAGCAGCATCCAAAGTGAGTTAGAGAAAACGTGAAAACGTTTTCGATCAAATTGAGATTTAAGATCGGAATTAACAAGGTTTACATCGAGTGGCACATGCGGAGTTCGTAGAATCCTGGACAGAGCTTTTACAATCAGTCTCGCACTGTCTCATGGAGTACAATATGTCTACGATACCCCACTCTGTTCTAGTGGGCGTTCTTTGAACAGTTCGGGAAGGGGCCTAAGTAAAGAACTAAGGATGCATCTGTAGCTATCTTTACATAATGAGCTGTACATGTAAGAACGTGACTGTGCCTGGGATAAGAATTTACGGGCTGGATGCAGGTTGTGGCAAAATACAATGTCATGTATGTAAGCAAAACAGAGCTAAACAGCGACCTGCGACCTGCATTAGTCTACCTGCATTAAACAGCAAAAAGCGAGAATGCTAAAATATTTTACAAAGACAAGCCTCCGGTCACAGGGTTCCTGTGTTCAAGTTCTGAGTTTTAGCTACTGGTAGCTGGCAGCGGATTTGCCTTGAGCCTTGAACCTGAACCAGTGAGTTCACGTCAGAACGAACCATCATCTTGTGGTACCAGGTACTCAGTAGAGCTTCAGCAAGTAAATAATCAGAGTGTTGCTCAGATGCTCAGATCAAATAATCAGTACAATGATCCTTTTATCAGAGGTAACAACACAGGCACAATGCGTCGTCAATTTGTTCCCGGTATTGCCAAAGTTGGCTCAAAGGCGCCAGAGAGAGGGATGGCTTCTCCAGTGTATTCCTTGACAGCTGCATTGATCTCCGGCGTCCTCCTCTATACAGTAGATTGTGTGCCAGGTTCCAAGCACAATGAGTCAGCATGCAAATCCAGCCAGCACATACTTTCACGTCCGGGTGAAGCATTAGAGTAGCCCTTTAAGCATTCACGTCTGTTGGACGAACCTGCTCGATGATTTCGCGAGGTTCGCGGGTCAACACTACTAGCTAGAAACTATCATCTGCAGTAAGAAGGGCCTGACTGCCGGAGAAAAGTGTTGCGGCGTGCTGAAGGGTCAGACTCAAATAGGGTTTTTTGCATAGCTAGGGTTGGAGATTTGTTTTCGCGTACAGAGCTGGAAATTTTGCTTGCTCTCGTCTACACGGATGAATGATTATGCAGTCTACAAACAATGATACCGTAGCTACGGTAGTTCGGATTGTCACTATTTGAATCAGGGCAACACAAGCTACAACGTGGGTTTTGCATTTCTACATGTAGTTCTACACAACAAAGTCAAGTCATCTGAGCAATAGTACGGGCTATAACTTGCAAAGTCTGCATTTCAGTTTCACATAGTATCCATTGAGCATCAGCCACATTGAGAGGAGCAAAGCAGAAACTTCTTCAGGGCCCCACCACCACACTGCTTTTTGGGTGTTACATGCCAAGAGTGCCATTTTCTTGAAGAGACGCACAACAGTCGCACCCACACAGCAAGCTGTTGTCATCACAATCAAACAGCAAACCAATATCGACTGGGCAAGGATTCAAGGCGTTTGGAATACAAGTGGCATTGATACCACAAAGACCATTGGGAATGGTCCCAGACAGCCTTGGATTGCCCTGCATATTCAGTGCATACAGAGAGTGTTGCAAAGCAGCAAGCTCTGTAGGGACCGTTCCTGAAAATGAGTTTTGTCCAAGCCGAATTTCACCAATAGTTCTAAGCAAGCCAATCTCTGTGGGGATTGGTCCTGTGAAACCACAGTTTTGAAGTGACAAGTCATAAAGCCCAGTCAACAGCCCAAGCTCTGTGGGGACAGTGGAAGATAGTGGGTTGTCACCAACATCAAGAACCATGGAAATGCTGGTCAGAAGGCCAAATTCACTTGGCAGGGTTCCCGACAATTGGTTTCCCCTGACTTCCAGCATGGTGGTTGATGTCATTCCGCCCATGTGCTTGGGCAGTGTACCCTGCAGTTCATTTGCACCCAAGGAAAGGCGAAGGAGCTCGCCAAGCTCACTGGAAATGGACCCTGATATGCGATTTCCAAACAAGATCAACCATTCCAAAGACTCCATTTGGCCAATCTCTGCAAAGATGCATTGCATGAAGAGTGTGAGTAATATGCAGCATAGAGTCGACAGGAAGGTTTCCCTGCACTTACCTGTAGGAATGGTGCCTTGTCATAGAAAATGAAAGATGTGATGTATAGTATGGGGATTAGCCTTACAACAAGTAGCGCCAAAAGGACAGCAACATTGGATCTTACCTGAAAGATCACTGTCAAAGAAGTACAGCCGCCTCATCTTTGAAAACCGACCAATCACATAGGGAATTGAACCTTTCAGATTGGGATTTTAAGACTAAAATTGATTGTGTCAAGGTCAGTGAGCTGCCAGATTTCAGCTGGTACTGTGGAGGAATGATTGTTCAGAAGCCCAATTGTTACAAGATCTGAAGGATCAAGAAGCAACATGAATGAAGTTAAGGATACTAGCACACAAAGGAAAAACAAACCAGCCCCATGCATTCGAGCTCTTACCTGTCAGTAATCCAATTTCACTGGGAATGACACCAGTGATGACCTGGCCAAAGAAGAGAAGTGACTGCAATGAAGTCAGCTGCCCTATGCGGCTTGAAATGGTCCCAAACAGCGGGTTCAAGCCCAAGGATACAGCCTTAAGATTCGTCAACTTGTAAAATTCTTCTGGAATGGTTCCCAGAAGATGGTTCGTGTCCAACCAAAGGTTTTGGTATTGTCCCGCCTCGTCACAGTTGCCTTCAGGAGGCCGGTACGATCCGAGGCAACCTGGATAAACGAACGACAAGGTGTCGTTCATGGCAAAATGGATGTTGTCACGCCAGTCGCATTCATCCACACTATAGTTGAGCCATTTTTCATTGTTCCGCCACGTTTCTCCCCCAGTTGAGTAGTAAAAGCAGGCCAAAGCATATTTTTGTAGCAAGCGCGACTCTTCTTGAAATGGATTCTGGTTGGTGTCTTCAATCAACCATTCAAAAGCTTTGGACTGAGATGATTCTGGGTCTTCCATTGCCATGATTGTGTGTTCTGGCAGCAAGGACATCAAGTAGGTTTCATAAGACGTAGGTGCCTCAGTAGGGCCCAGACTTGGCGCTTGGGATGGCGTTGGCTCGTCACTGTCCTTTCCTGGTGCAACAACCGCAAATACTGCAAAAAGAACGACGACAAGCAAGAAGATCGCCCCCAGGACCAGTGCGGTTGTCGTTTGTTTTGTTTGTTGGCCAGCCTTTTGTTGCTTGGCATCTGAGCCAACGATTTCTTTGGCCTGGGGAAGGTCTGCTCGAGATGTGTCAGTTTGATCCACTGGGGAAGCGACTGCCAAGCCACCGGGGTTGTCTTCTGGAATGGTTTCAAAAAGTTCCACAGATTCGCCATTTGCAGAGAAGAATTCCAAGTCGGCCCCCGAAGGAAAGGCTCCTGGTCCTCTTGGACGTTGCTGTATTGCTCGGCCTCGCTGGCGATGGGGATGGAAGAGCGAAACGCTGCCTTTTATTAATGACGTGTCGACCGACCCGGTGATGTCCCATGGTGCAGCAGGGGCATGCGCATGAAAAACAACAATGTGGCCCGCTTCCTCGTTGCGCTCCTCAAAGTCATCGACATCAACAGTTTCAATTGGGTAGGCACCCGGTCCAAATCCGTACTCTGAAGGCCTCCCGTCTGACGATTGTCGGAAAGCAGCATTATCTTGGGGCATCCGTGTCTCTTCACCAGTTTCCCTATTCTGGATTGACAGACTTTCCAGCTCATTGGAATTACCAGAATTGATCTGTCTAATTAACCCAAGCTTGCGCTCTTGGTTGGACCCCCCACTCGGCTGGACATGACTGATAGCACCCAGCTTGTGCTGACGCACGGAGACATCGGTACTTATTTGGCTGATCGATCCAACCTTGCGCTGTTTGGCATTGGTCGACGCCATCAACCTAACATAGAGCCAGTCACTGGGGCTAGCTAGCAGCTACCGTAGCTATGGTAAGTGACAACAGTAGAAATCGAATTTATGATGATGTAGCAAGCATGCATTTATTTCGTCTATTGATTAAAATTTATATTTTAAAATTTAAAAGAAGTCACTGTCAAAAGGACTATCCTCCTCCGTGGCCATCAGGACGTCACCGGTCCCAACGTCCATGGCTAGCGGGATGTTGGCGAAACAGGGTTCTGATGATGCATTGGTGCTGCTGCTGTTTTCGTCAACCGCATCGTGATCCCATGTGCCAAACCGAGCCCTCTTGGGGCTTGCTTGGTAGTCCAACGGTAGTGGCTGCAATGGATCCTCCACCTCGTCATCATCATTTTCGTCGCAGAGATCCAGGCCAAATTCCCAGGCATCACCATCCTCTTCGACCACCGAGTGATGATGCGAATGAGCGGATACCGATGGCAGCGACATGGCATCGTCTTCCTCTTCCTTTCGAGGGGCCATCGGGACGAATGTATTGTTGTTGGGTGCGCTCAGACGAGACCTTGGTCGTCGCATGTCCACAGCGAAAAGGAGAGGCTCTGATCGATTCTCCTCGATCCTTGCTTCCCTCAGTACTTCGAGCAGTGGCTCGACTGCCGCCAAGAGAAGCTTGCCGGTGGGCCTCTCCGTTTGCTCCGCGGCGATTGTTGCAGGTTTGTGTTCCTGCTTGTCCTTGTTGCTGCTGTTCAGCGTAGGAAGTTCTAGAGCATCTTCGGCACCCTGAGCTGCTGTGGTGGGAGGTCGATTGGCTTCCGGTGTGATGACGTTGGTGCTACTGGTACTACTGCTTTCTTGTTGTTGTTCGTCCTCCATTGGCACGGGAGTTCCGGATCGTGGCGTGCTGGACTGGCTGCTGGGAGCGCTATCGGTTTCATCCGCCGTGGAACTGCCGCTGGTAGATCCATCGTTGAATGGACGAAATCCCTTGAAGGTGACGGCATCTCGCAGACATTGGGAAGCTTTCTCTCGTGCGTACTCTTCATCGACAACTTCCCAACCATTGGATGTATTGTTGCGTTTGAGGAACCTGCCTGGAGGGGTCATGGCTTGTACTCTCTTGACGAGGTCTCTGGACATTTGACTCTTATCCTTCTTGGAAGATTTGATGTACGCTTGTCGCAAGTCTCGCGCCATTTTCCGGAGCCGTCCGTTGCCTTTGTGCAGATTGTTCTTGCCACCACGTCCCATGAGAATATCATTATCATGAGGAATAATGGGCTCGGGCGCCTTTACGGGAACCGTAGTTTGAGGCGCTGCGCGAGGAGCAGCTGTGTTGGGTGCCCAAAAGGGTCTGTAGTGCATAGGAACTGCCCCAGCAGGAAGAGGAGGATAAGGAAATGGAGGATGCTGGTAGCCCACCGGAATTGGAAAGGCCGGATGTCCGCATTGTTGCGGTTGTTGTGGCTGGAAGGCACCTGGACCTGCTGGATGGTATCCAACAATGACGAACTTTCCGCCTTGGGGTGGTTTGCAGTGGAGCATCTATCATCATGACAACAGAATAGATAACAGCAACAGGGAATCAACGGATGCAATAGATCCAAGGTAGGACAAGGTAAAGATACAAAAGATATTAGTTTTAGGATCCATTCCACCATCGCAGTACCGCTTTGGTCTTGGTGTCGGTTGCTTACCTTATTATTTTCGATCTTGCAGAGTCTTGGCTGGAGGAGAGTTGAGTCTCTTGGATGAGATGGGATCTGGGATTGTGTGAGCTTTATCGCAGTACCGGTTTTCCGTGTCCACCTCTCCGTAGATATTAGCACCAAGCGAGTTTGTACGGTGCAAGTAAACACGGCAAAGCCAAAATTTGATTTTTAAGCCCCCTTTTCCGGGTGCACTAATCTTACTCGATATTTAACACCTGTAAAACCTATTTGCGTCGCCAAGCACATTCTCCCTTAAAAGATTTGCCAGGTCTGCAGAGGGCTTAATCCAACACGGATGCAAAGGTTCTGAAGAATCACAATAATCCTGCGAGCCAGCCAGACACAAACAACTTACCAAAGCTGGTTCTTTGCTACACTGTCTACACTAGTATGGCATAAGCCGACGAACACTTTGTTGCGTGTTGCTCAATTAGTTTTAGGCTGATTGATTGATTGATTGATTGATTGAATCATTCGATCCTGTTCTGATTCCGATTCGAATGATTCAATCATCGGACTTGACCTCTAACTAAAGTACAAGTAGCGTACTTCTTGACTAGTCACTCTTCTTGATGAAGCCTCCGCATCGAGACATGAATCGAATCTCCACACCACACATGATTCCAGTGTCTTCTCTTGACACAGGAATTTGGGAGTCGTCATGACATTCCAATCCATATTCTCGTGTGGACAGGCGGTATTCTGTTCCGTGCGTGTTCATTTATTCAATGTCGCATCGCATTGGAAATTTGTTCAATGAATTTGTATTCTGCAGTGGGGAGGGTGGCTGCGAACAGTAGCTTGGCGAACTCTTAGGATGGGTTCAGCACACTATTGTCGTTTTCTTAAAAACGGGACACGGTGGATACCCCACTGGCTAAGCCTCTTTTAAGAACCAACTTGATTGATTGACTGACGTGTACTTATTTTTGCGGCGCTGCTTTCCTCTTTGATGGTGGTGGCGAATCTTTTGTACGGTAGCTGACGAAGGCTCCTTGGCTTTCATGGCAACTGACGGTGCTTCTTAGTTGGTTGTGCAACATTCTGGTCTGGTTGCGGCTTCTGGCTGGTGATGCCTTGTGGATTGCATGAATCCCTGGGTGGTGCGTGAACATAGTGGTTACTTCCACCACTAGTGCATGCTCCCCCCGGGGCTGTGCAAAATTTGCCATTCCTGGTGCAAAGTTGGCATTGTCTCCCTTCCTTGCGATTGCATTCACTATCCCAGTAGTTTCCATCCTGCCAAAGGCCCAAAAACATCCCCATCACACATCCTTTGTAAATTGGTGTCGTTATTACTGAAGATCCTTGCATTTCTCTTTGATAAAACTGGACTTGCAATGTTTCCAACAAGATGCGGGCAATCCAATTTGGTCTTGTAGTATTCTTCCAGTATCAGGACTTTCCAGCTCGACTTCGACATAGGTCATTTGTCCACGTCGCTGCCGCGCAAACTCGCGGACTCTATCTGTGTAGTTCTGATAAAACTCCACCCACACGTCCATGTCGAGTTCGTTTGGCATTTGGGGGCATGACTTGGCCCACTTGGCAATAAAGAATGCCCGTTGCGAATTGGCCGAATGAAACCATTCCGTGGCATTGCGCCTCACCAATAAAAGTGTGGCATGGGGGTAGGCGTCCCATATTTGATCAAGTGCATCCAAATTGGGATGGTAACAGCCACTTTCTCCCCCCATATACGCCGTATCGGTCCATACCACTGTCTGTGTAAGATTGTTGTTGCCATTGGTACCACAGCCAGCAAAGGGTGGTCTTTGGTTGTGAATGTTTTGTTCCATACAGCGTCCAATGAGTTCGGGTGCTCCTCCCTTGGCAGCACTGGTAGTCCAGCGATGGGCGACATATTCCGGGCCCAAGTAGCACTCAAAGGCATAGTACGCACTGGTAGTGCCGCTTTTTGAAAACGAGGCCACAAAGATCGGATAGCTGACCTTTAGAGCCTTTGTAGCTGATATGGTGGGTCCCCGCGAGATGTTCTCATATGATGCTTCATCCCGTCTGGAGAAAGCACCAGAGTTCAGAACTTTGTTGCGCCTTTCTCCATCCTTGCTCGTTCCTTCGTTTGTTTCCGCGGAAAACCTCGGATGCCCAAAACACACCAGCAAAAGGAACAAGACTGCTACCGGCAGAAACACATTGGTTCCCTTGTGGGTCAACAAAGCCGTCCAAGAGAAATACGCCTTCTTTTCCTCGCCGTTGAAGTGAGGATCCTTGGAAGAAGAGTAGTTGACATGCTGGTCGTTGCTACGATTCTGACGAAATGGCGCTCTGGGTTTGACAGAGGACTTGTCCATTGTCTCTCCAATGGTCCAATGGTGGTCGGTCTTGACTGGCGGCTGATCGATCATCGCTGCAGCTCCCGGTCCAATCGCATCGTACGTTTCATTGGACTTGACTCGTCACCCGACTGTGATGTGACTCGAGTGACTAAAGTTGCGGACTTTCGGAAAATTTTTGAAATAAATTTGAGATGGACAGACATTCTCGATTGAGGAAAAGAGCACTTCAATTGCCTCATCAGGAACTCAGGAAGATTGAAGAGAGCACTCCCGACTGCCATTGGTACTTCAGCACTTTATTTAGCTAGCACAGCTGCTAGCTAGCACTACATGTATGTAGTCCCGCCGTACTAACTCCTGTTTTGGATACCATCGATATCGCAACCAGTTCCGCAGCCGTACTTTTTTACTACAGCGTACTCGAGTACTACTTTATAAAAGTAAAAGTAACTTTTATACTGTAGCAAAATAGGCCTAAGAAACCCGACACTTACCTAGGTACCTTGTATTAGTAGCTGTATTTGTCAGGTTACAAGACTTAATTGTTAGCTTGTTAGTCTTCCCCGTAAAGAGCACTCGCGATCTAGCAATTGCCATTGTGGTTCGTGGTTCGCGGCAGCACAACTTCCACAAAGTTATTCCAGTACCGGTCTAGCTAGTACTTTGATTCCAGTACTTTGGATACTTTGGACACTGGTACCACCCATTTCCGCGGCTCTGTCACTGTATTACACATTGCACAGCTATTGCATGCACCTAGCTTATAGCTCTTGTATTCATGTACTCCAGTAGTCGGGTCTACCGGCAGGAGTGTCTAAAAATTTATGTTCAATAATTGTACAGAGGGAGGAGGCCAGCAGAAAAATCTTAGGCGGAGATAGCTACCAAAGATTGCTTCTTGAAGAGAGGTGCGGGGCCGCGGTGAAGACTGGAATAGTCGGAGGTTTGTTTTCTGGTCTGAACAGGGAACATTTCATTGTAGATATCTGTGGCTGCAAGGAAGTCTTCGTGGGCACGGCTGTCTGACCTCTTTGTTGCCAGCTTGTTGTGCTTGCGAACGTAGGTACCAAGGGTGTTCTTGATATGCATGGACTTTGCGTCAGAGGCATCTGTGAGACGCTGCAGCTCAATTGTCGAAAGGAGAATGTTGCGTTTGCGCTTGATCATCTTTTCTCGGTCAACGGCAACGAGGAGCCTCTCTAGGCCACGAACACTCTCGTTCTTCCCCGCTGGCTTGCCAAAATCCAAGTGAGATCTAGCGACGCGGTGGGCATTAGTCTTGATAATGCTGAGTTCACAGGCGGTGTACCATAGCCCAAATTTCTCCCTATCCGTAATATCACAATCGATTGAACGGATAGAGCATTTTCCGAAGTGTACCTTGCGAGCGATGGTAGACATGATGATGAGTTGGTTCGTTGGATTGTGAGAACTGTTGAAAGTGAGTGTTTTTTTACTCTTGGAGCTTGGAAGGATTGGAAATTATGAGGGGAAGGAAGATGTCAAGATGTCTGAGAAGCCGAACTGGCAGATAAAACAAGAAAACAAGGTCGCTCGGTCGTTTGCTTTCTTGCTTTCTGAGTTTTGTGACGTTGCTACGTTGCTACCGGTTGCTCGATGTCTTGGATGACCAATCGTCGCTGGATAAAGCAAGGATGCAGGATGCAGTCTTCAACTTGGCTGGATAAAAGAGTGTTTAAAACCGTGGTCCCCCTTTAGATTGGGGAAGCATTCTGTTTCTGAGTTTATCTGCCACATCATCGAGTTGCTTTCTCTGAGCAGTTTTACCGTTCCTTTCCCTCGCTTGCTCATAAAGATGTCACTGTGTCAATCTACGCTGTACGCTAGCAGAGCGACTTCGAGTACTCGATAGGTAGTGCATCCAAGATAAGCTTTCACGTGAGAATGGTCGTAAAAGGAGATACCATTATAGTTGATACTAGTAGTTGTACAGTGGAGACCCAGTCGCTATTGCTTCTTTAATTATTTCAGGCGACTGAGTTTCGGAGAATTCTGAGCGAACACTCCTTTTCACTACCGTTGCTTCTTCAAGGTCACTGCTACGTACATGTATGTAGTACCGTACTCAGCACGCGGTAAGGCATGGCACCCATCACCCACTTTGGTACCATTGGCCAAGCACAAATAAATGTTGCCAGCCAGCTACTGGTACCAGGTGGCTACTAGCTAGTAGCCCTGGCTTGAGCTGCTGGCTGCTCTTGCTCAACTAGCTAGTAGCTAGATCTAGCTGGTAAGTAGAAGAGACGAAGAGACCACATCACCACAGCAGTACCGCTGTACAAGTTTATCGTCTCACTGTAGTCCGCAGATAATCGACTACTGCAGAAGTTGTCTGATCTTCTTTTTCAAAATCTGCCCTCTGCCAAAGCAAGCTAAGAAGCTATCTACAGCGAGCAGCATTGGTGCGGGGAAGGTTAGGAGAAGGCTTCTTTCGTGGGTGCGGTTTTGAAGGGTGAAATGCCAAGTTTCTAGGTTCTTTCAAGCGATGTGTGAGGAGCGTTGATTATTGCAACTTTGCATAGCCTCCCCTACTGCCAGTGGAAGCTCGAACAGGCTGACCCGACCATCAATTTGTGCTCGCGTCGTTGAAGAAGAACCACTGTTTTGGCAAAACATAAAAGTTCCGCGTCTTGCTTTTAGTTTCAGGTAGTGCGGTAGAACTATAACTCTGATTTGAATCTTTGTATAGTCCTAGCTAGCTAGCTACCGTACCAGCTAGAAAAACAATAAGTTTACTCTATTGACCCCAGTCTAGAGTAGAGCTACCGTATCATCCTGATCCTGTTTTCCAGCCTTTTCCAGTAACACGTCCGGTAACATTGCCAGCACATTGCCGTTGAAACGTACTGGCGACTACTGTAGCTAGATCTGCTTCCACGGCGCGTTCTAACGAAGCCTGCTACTGGCAGGAGCATGGTACGGACCTGTACCGGTGAAGAACCAGAACTACAGGAGCGGCTGATAATCCGCGAATCGTGGCACGATCCGCGGATTTAACGGTTTTCCACGAATCCGCGATCCACGAAACGATCCGCCGATCCGCGAATAACCGCGAGAATCCGCGAGATTTAAGAACCAACTCCTCTATATCTTTTAAAAGTGGCATCCTAAATCTCGCGGATTTTCGCGGTTATTCGCGGCCGCGCTCGCGGATTCGCGCCGCGGCCGCGCGCGAGTCGCGGATTCGCGGAAGAGGTGCTCGCGAGTCCCGTTTTCAGGCGCTCCAGCAGCAATCGGCATTGATTCTGCCAAGAAGCGGTGCTGTACTTGCCAGTACCGGTATCAGCAAGGCTGGCGGGATCTCGACGATACCAGTAGACTAGAGTCTACCGATATCGTGGTTCATGTAGCTGAAAGCAATCACCCTAGAAAGTGCTACTGTAGAGCGCGGCAGCATCTTTCTCTACGACGTGCCGGTAAGCAGGTGCAATTTGGTTACGATGTAGCCTAACAATAACAATTCTCATCTCATCAACATGAAAACTGATGTTTCTAAAATAAAATATATAACAGATAGTATGACGACGACAGGGCCACCAACAACTGGACTTAACCTGGCCGCTTCGTTTGCGGTGAGACTCCAGGAGGGTCCATCTGCCCGGCTTGTCGAGGCCGGTTCTGGGAAATGTAAGCTGCCAAGGACGCAGTAGAGCTGACTTGCGTCGGTGCAGCTGGCGCCCTCGCTTGCTGCATATTGCCCATAAGGGCACCGTAGTTAGCCGCAAAAGCTTGCTGCATATTGCCTCTCGATATACTTGAGGCGAGGTTTGGTTGCGCCAACGCATAATACAATGATGGGTTCTGCTGTCGAATTAGATTCTCCAAGGCCAACCGTTGCCGAATACTGTAGTCTGTAGGCTGAGAACTTGATACCCCGCCCTGAGCTTGAGAGGAGGTACCAGCACCATTGGTGCCACTTTGGACCTGGTTCTGGGTCAAGTTCGATCTGTTTCTCATGGCCCAAGCATTCTGCTGCATCGCCATCGATCCCGTCGTTGCGTATGCTTGACGAGATTGCGACACTCCCTGCGCCGCTGCCACGGATTGCTGAATTGCAGTAGGCACCGGAGCCGCTTGTGAAGCGATTGTTGGGTTCGTAGCCCCTGAACCAGCGTTCTCTGGCAACTTAGCACCGAGTTTGCTTGTTTCACTTGGCTTGGTGTTGGCGGTTGTCGATGGTGCCGTTGCCTTCACAGACTCTGACCTAGTTTGTGCTGCCGGAGGTACAGGAGTCGAGGCGTTCTTGTCAGCAGGCATTTCAGCTTTGCCTTTTCCTTTACCGATAGGCAGAGGAGCAACCTGCTTTTTTCGGTCCGGTGGGCGGCTCAGAAGTACCGACACAATCGATCTTTTGCCTTGAACCTCGTTTGCAGTGGTAGGAGCACCAGCTAGAACCGAAGAAATCGTGCGTTTCCCCTCAGATTCCATTGAAGAACTAGGAACACCAGCTAGCAATGATGAAATTGTTGGCTTCCCTTGGGTCATGCCCGGATTCGGCTTACCCGCCAGCACTGAGTAAATCGTCCGCTTAGCCTGAGCTGCATTTCCAGGCTTTGCAGCAGCACCTCCTGACGGTTGTGTGGCTTTGCTCTTGTCTGCCACAAGCGCAACTTTGCTCGTCCCGGGGGCTTCATTTGCATGGCTAGACGCTGCCGCGCTGACATCGGAATTTCCTTTAACTGGAAGGGCAGAAATTGCTTTGTTCTTGGCAGTCTCTGATTTCGCTTTTTTGCGCTTAGCGTCTCCTTCCAAAAGTTTCCTTTTCTTCGGGGCCGTCGAAGGGCTAGTTGGAGTAGAATGACTTTTCACGAGCTTCCTCTTCTTGCTCGCGGCTTCAGATTCTTTGACGGGAAATCCACTGGAAGTCTTAATATTAGGGCCTGCCTTACCCTCCGAAGTTGACCTTCCTTTAGAAGGTCGGGTGACCTTTGGCACACTGGGTGCGCCAGATTTCACTTTCTCGAATAACGCAGCTGTTTGGTTGGATGTCAAGGCAGGTTGTTGGGTCTTAACTGTCGACACAAGTGGTGCGACGGTCGCCTTTGGTTCTTTTGATAATTTTGACATTGTTTGGGCCCCTTTTTGCGCCTCTAGCGTAGTTGCTCCCTGGTTAACTTTTACAGGCAGAGCGGACGCATTCACTGGCTTCGTTGAAGATAGAAAGGACGGAGATGGTCGGTCACTCTTGCCGGAAACCGCATGTACTCCCACGTTAACCTTTCCAGGAAGACCAGATTCATTCACTGACTTCGTTGAATATGGAAGGGAGGACGTTGGGTAACTCTTGCCGGCAATACCCGCATGTTGATCACTCTTGCCGGAAACACCTGCTGTACTCTCTGCATTAACCTTTCCAGGAAGAGTGGATTCATTCACTGACTTTGTTGAAGATGGAAGGGACGAAGATGGTTGGACAATCTTGTCAGAAACGCCTGCGTGTACTCCCGAAGTCCCCTTTCCAGGAAGACTGGGCGCATTCACTGACTTCGTTGAAGATGGAAGGGAGGAAGACAGCTGGTGACTCTTGCCGGAAACAACTGCATGTACTCCTGCGTTATCCTTTCCAGGAGGAGCGGAGGCATTCACTGACTTCGTTGAAGATGGCAGGGACGAAGACGGCCGGTCACTCTTGCCGGAAACACCTGCATGTACTACTGCTGCGATAACCTTTCCAGGAAGAGGGGATTCCTTCACTGACTTCATTGAAGCTGGAAGGGATGAAGTGGGGGGGTTACTCTTGCCGGAAACACCTGCCTGCACAGTCGCGGAAGCCATGCCCGGCCGTTTAGCAGTGGCTTTAATTTGAAGTGAGCTCTTCCCAGTCCCAGCACTTCGTTCCAATTCCGAATTATTGGCCCCAACGTGCGGCGCTGCCCCAGCTGCGCGTGTATCCGCCTGTTCTCTTTCAGGACCCGAGCCCACTTTCTGTTCTTTCTTCGTGTCTTTGCCATCCACACCCGCAGACGAATCTGCAACGTTCGGCAGCGCCTTTCTTGTGCTTCCAGCATCTGCAACCGCTTTCACGTTAGACGCTTGCTGTGTTTCCGAAAGTTTGCTGCCAGCGTCAGGAATAGCTTTGGACTTCCCTTCCTTAGAAGCACCGGCGTCTGTTTTTGTTTCCGTTTTAGAAGACACTCTAACTGCCAATGACTTCTCCGTGGCTGGTGTCGCAGCTGACTTCATTGTCTGGACATGTTTGATTTCTTTCTTCTCGTGCGGTTGGGTGCTACTATCCCGGTTTGAAGTTGATTTGTTCTCCGCTGCAGCCTTATCGACCTTTACATCCTTGTTGCCATTGCTTTTTTCAGGTTGAGGAAGATTGTCCTGCTTCGCACCAGAGACTGCTTTCGCTTTGGGTTTTGTTGGTGATAGGACATTGGCCAGCTTCTCTGGGGCGTCCGTTTTTTGGGTGTCTGCTTTGTTGTCGGCCTTCACTGGCTCGGGAAGCACGGTAGAATCTTTTTCGCCCTTTTTCGTGGCAGCTGGTTCAGGCTGGGTGGGGGCGTCAGCACTCTTGGAATCATCTGTTGTCGTTTTGGTTGCAGCAGTAAGCGCAGATTGACCGGGTTCTTTTCCAGAAGTATCCTTTTTCTTGCACGATTCGCCCGCAGCGTCAGCCAAAGATGTCGATTTCGCGGGGGGCAACACAACGCCGGCATTCTGTTGAAGCCGAGATGCAACGGTACGAATTTGAGCAGTTGCGTCCATTGGCGAGAAAGCCCTACTAGTAGCTTTTCCCGCCTCTTCAACGTTGCTTGGAGTTTTGATCGCCAAAGGTTTGGATTCATCCACCTCAGTTTTCTTCTTTCCTGCGACAGAGTCGTTTTTGTCAGCTGATGCAACATCACTCTCGGACTTCTTTCTACTCGCCGCTGCATCGTTATCCCCAAGTTTTGATTCTGCAGATGGAGCGTCAGGTTTAGCTTCAGGCGGATCCGTACTGGTTGTTGTTGTAGTTTCAGGCTTGGTCTTTGTTGGCGACGGTGATTTCTTGTGCTCCACTCCGAAAATGTCCTTGTGCGCCAACGCCGGAGACGCGCTGGGGTCTCGCTTCTTGTTTTTCTTGACTTCAGCGGCGGTGCTTTCCCCGGGTGTTTGTATCTTGTCGCGTGCTGCAGAGCCCGGAGAATCCAACTTTGCTCCCGGAGCTGAAGCGGCACTTGCTACCGGTTGCTTGTTGTTTTTCAACTTGATAATTTGGTCCAATTCCGAGAGCCCCAAAATCTGAAAGCACGGTGGATTTTTGTACTCGATCTTATAGAGAGAATTGTCGATTGAAACCACCCTTCCCGAATAACTTTCGCCATCTGTGAATTCCTTTTTGACTTTTGACCCCACGGGATGCTTACTAGTGTCCGCGTCGTATATCATCTTTGCCATATCTTTCTTCTCTAGCTGATCGACTTTACCAGTGCACGTCCACCTGACATAACAAATAGAACCATTCACTGCCGTGACAATGCCCGAGATCCAACCCCTTTTCTTGGTTCTCTGTTAGGAATCAAAAAATAAATGCACCGGTAACGAAACAAATGAGCCATGAATGGTCAAGCAATCACTGAGCAAAACTGACACCTCTATCGGCAACCTTACCTTTGCAACGGGAGCTCCAGTCATAATTGAATCCGTGTTGACAGGGTAGTCTTTTGTGTTTCTATTCGGCGTCCTGACTGGCTCTGGTGGCGGAGCGGCAGCTTTGTTCGCCTCCAAAGGAGCCGCTTTCACAGGAGTTTGAATTGCCTCGTCAGCAGGCGGATCCGCAGGTTTGGCTGCCTCCTCTTGAATTGTTACGCGCGGACGCTTGGATTTCCTCATGGCAGCATCCTCTGTTTTCACTTGTTCCTTCTCTTCAAGGCGGATCTCCTCGGCAGGTTTCTCCTCTTCTTCCTCTTCACGCCTCCTCTTTTTCTTTTTCTTCTTCTTGAAAGACCTGTCGCTTGATAGTAGACTACTATCATCTAGATCCGGAGCCTCTTTCTTTTTGGAAGCCACTTCTTTCTTGTTTCGCTCCTTCCTATTTCCCTTGGTGGAGCGCTTTCTTGGTACTCTTGTTGACGATGCGCCATCCTCTTCGTCGTCATCTTGCGGAGCAGCGTCGTTGTCCCACTCAAACTCTTCTTCGTCTTCTTCCTCCGCTGTTTGACTCTTATAATCTACCTTTTGGGATGCTCGAGAACCACCCCGTTTGGGCCGCGACGGCTCGGTGCTGTTGGCACTTGTAGGGGTGGTGGAGCTTGTGTTGTAGTTCACATTCCCTCGGCGACGGCTAGCCCTCCCTTCTACCTGTGATTCCACAGTGCTCGATTCGACCCATTCGTTGGCCAAGTTGGAAGCCCAACGAACGTACTTGTGGTCGCCAGCATCCTTCAAGAGGTACGCCATGTGCTGCGCCTTGCCCTGTTTCACCCAAACAATCTGCCAACCAGAAACGACGAATAACATGAGACAACACTCCACAAAACAAACTAGCATCACACACCTACTACCCTGGTATAGGACTTACCGGAGCTCCCTGACTCGGGTCATAGCATCGCTTCTGGCGTTTACTGCTCATGGTGGAGATTTTCTGAACGCTTCCTCTTTCGCTTTCGTCTTCGTCCAGAGAGGTCGCAAAAATCTTACTACAGTAGAGGGTCAACTGCTGCTCCGCTCCTTCTCACTGCGATTGCTTCCTTCCTGATCAACTCAAAATCAAATCCGCTGCCAAACTCCAATGAAGGTTATTGTTTTATTATAAGGTATTGGTGCTGCTAAGCTGCTCTTTATTCCGGCTCTAACACCGGTTTAGCAAGGTCGCTTGATGGGACTTGTGATGGTGGTGCTTTACCACTTGACCATGGTCAGTCAGTCCCAATTTGCAAAGCTTCGTTATCTTTCAAAGCACCTACGACCTAGTAGCGCGCGTACGTTTACTACAAGGATGTATCTTCAACCGGTTCCCTGGTCATTTCAGCGGAGGCATCAATTCACGGACAGTAGAAGAACTGTACAGAACTTACGTTGGTCGAGCAGGCATCGCCGGAACATCATCTAAATGTTGCGATCCGTTGATAAGGGGCCAATGAAACAGCTTTGATGTTTGATGACGCACCTTTTAATATTTCCTTTGAACTGGCTATTGCGAAGCTCACGATGCATAGCCGGTTGAAGGCTTGAAACCTCTGGATATTATGCATACGGAACGGCAGCAGCTGGCTAGCAACTCTAGAGTGGCTAGAGTAGTAGTTGTCTATGTACTTGTCACCATTAGCTACCAAGGGCAAAGCCTTGTGAATTCATTCCTAGCTAGAGCGTCGACTGGGCTCTCTTCGGACAGATGTTTGTGTTGTTTTCAATCGTCCAAGAAACATCCATGGTATTCGCAGGAAGCCTCAAATCAGGGGTTCTGCATTACAGCAGAGCAATATCTTCCAAAGTTCTGAATACATAACACTAAAAGTTCTGAATAGATAACACTGCCATTGATTGGCTCTGTGCTATCCTCCCAGAAACATCCATGGTATTTGCAGCAAGCCTCAACTCTGGTACTTTGCATTGCAATCACTTCTACAACCGCAACATCCGGATCTTATGAATAGATTCCACTGTCATTGATTGGCTCTTTGGCAGTTTCACTCATGCATTCATCAAGTAGTCCAAGTTGTTGCCACGGAAAGGAAATATCCTGCTCTGCGTCGTTAAGATACCAAACAAAACTTGGGGAAGGAGCAAATCTAGTAGACACTACACCTTGCCCAATGACAGTGACAACTTCGGCTGCAAAACTCATCGATGTGCACTGTAATGAGAGTGCTGGAGGAATTCGTTGTATGCGGAAGGCTTGATGAACCAAGATGATTCGATTCCATTCGGGTGCAGGAGCACGTTTTGCACTGTATTTCTCCACTGGACCATGGGCATATCGCGAGAAAGGCCCCGAGTAACCTCAAACTTTGTCTCAAAGGCATACTCCAGAATGTGCTCCTCTAGGTAAGCCAAGAGCAGCAGTGACGACCGTCGGAGTTCAGCACTCGACACAGTGTTCCCCGAGCAGTTCTTACACGTGTGGTCTCGCAGGAAGTAGTCAGAACTCCATTGAATAAAGCCACGAGCAATACCCAACCGCCGCACAAACACATCACGGAGCCTCTGCATGTCCTTCAGACTATCATCAACGTAGTAGCTGCAACAGACGGCGTGGCGCAATGCAAGTTTAACGTAGGAGGTTGGAGTAAGCACTTTGTTGTTGCTTGGCTGTCCATTCGACCCTGTAGCAGCTGAAGTTGGAAGTCTCAATCCAAGCGTTGCCTCAAGCACATTCCATACAGGAACAGCCTTGTGGTGTTGGTCGGTATGTGCCTTGATTGCATCGATTGTAGCCGCGTGAGTGGGATATTGCAAGGGCCTCGACCAATCTACTGGAGTTTTGTCGAGTTCTTTGATGTGCTCGTGGCACACTGGGCAGCATGTTTCTTCAGGGAAAACTCGCACAGGTTTTGGCGGGGGTGGGGGTGGTCTTTGTATACTTTCAGCTGCCTGTGGTGGCGGTTTCCAAGTTGGCTTTGTGGTGCTCATGGTGACCATGGCTTCCGCAAGCAGAAGCAGGTCTTCGCACGTACTGCTACTGCTACTGCCCGGTTCGGAATCTCTTGTTGCAGCCACGGCTTCTTTAGGCTGGGAGCGCGTTTTTGACGACTTGAAATCGGCCAACGTCGTGCCCGAGGCTCCTTCCTCCGTCAAGTCAAGGAAGACGACCTTCTTCACAGGCTTCTCCTGAGATGATTCATCCTCGCTCTGCTCGTCTTCGTCCGCTCCAACTTCTACTTCCGCGCTCGGTTTTGGATTTGCCACTGCGGATTCATTGACCGGTTTCTCGTCGTCGGGAATATCGAAAGTGACAGTTGGTTTAGGTTTTTCGTCCTTCGGGGGTGCGGGTGCTTCTTTGGCCTTCGTGGGTATTTTTACTTTTGGTGACGTCTTGGGGTGCACCCATTCGCTGTCCTCTTCGTCTTTTCCTTTCATGTCCTCCTTTCTCCTAGCGATCCGACGCGATTTTCGAACTGGCTCATCCGGATACTTTTGTGTGGCTGCCGTAGGAGGTCGCTTCTTTGCTGGTGCTTTGGCCTTGACTTCAATTGGTTTTGGCGGTGGTTTCTTGTCTGCTCCATTCGTTTTCTTTCGCTTTGCTGCTTTTTCATCCAAAACGATCGATCCAGAGGGCGGCGCACGTTTTGAGCCCGAAGTCAAATCAATATTCTCGACTGGTGCAGAGGAATCGGGGTGGGTCGCTGTGGTCGTTGATTGGCTACTGGACTGTTGCAAGGCCTTCGCCTCTTCAATGTTGTCAGAAACAACCGATGCCACATCGGAGTCGCTTTGCCTTTTCTCGTCCTCCCCAATGGTCTCCTTGTTCTCTTCAGTTTCAGTTGGCTCTTGATATGCATCTGGATCACTGTACATGGATGATGTCAAGTCGATTTCGATGGCCACCGAATCATCCCCATCGTCTTCGTTGTCGTTGATATCCGGATTTCCGTATGCATTTATTCTAATCTCTTCTACATCATCATCGGCGACGCTTTCATGGTAGTCACCTGCGATTGCTGGTGTCGCTTCCTCACTAGTCAAATCTCTCACGTCGACGCAAGTCTCTACATTGATTGCGTCGGGCCGCGCTGTGATGCAATCCTCAGCGTCCTCTGCTAGACTCGCATCCTCCTTCGATTCCTCTGGTTTCGGCGTCGCTTCGCGTATAGATATTTCGAGTTGCGGCGGTTGTTCGTCACATTTCTGAATTTCGGCTGGGCTCTCTTCTGGTGCTTCTACCGCGACGTCAATCTGAGGCTCTTCTGGTAATTCTACCGCGACGTCAATCTGAGGCTCTTCTGGTGCTTCTACCGCGACTTCAATTTGAGGCTCTTCTGGTGCTTCTGGTGCTTCTGCGCAACCGCCAGTCTTTGGCCCTTCCGGTGCCTCTGCGGGGCCAATCTTTGGCTCTGAGTTCGCCAAATCGACCGTTTGAACCTCAGCGGCGTCGCTTGCTGGCTTCTTTTCCGTCGCATTTGTCTCGTTTGTTGCATCCTCTGACCTGGTTGTGCCTTGCTCAACTTTGGTGTAACTTGTTTGCTGCTTCTCTGTTTCATTTGCCTTATTTGTCTCATTTGCCAGCTTTGTTGTATCTTCCGACCTGGTCGGGCCTTGCTCAACTTTGGTATCACTTGTTTGCTGCGTCTCTGTTTCATTTGTCTCATTTGCCAGCTTTGCTGCATCTTCTGACCTGGTCGGACCTTGCTCAACTTTTGTGTCACTTGTTTGCTGCTTCTCTGTTTCGTTTGTCTTACTTGTCGCATTTGCCGGCTTTGTTGTATCTTCAGACCTGTGGGACCTTGGTTAACTTTTGTGTCACTTGTTTGCTGCGTCTCCGTTTCATTTGCCTCCTTTGTTACATCCTCTGACCGTTTGGGACCTTGCTCAACTTTTGTGTCACTTGTTTGCTTCTTCTCTGTTTCATTTGCTTCACTTGTCTCCATTGTTGTGTCCTCTGACCTGGTGGGACCTTGGTCAACTTTTGGGTTGCTAGTTGGCTTTTTGTTGTTGTCACCTGTCTCCTTTGCCACATGCTCTGACATGGGAGGAGTTTGGTCAACCATGGGACCCTGGTCAACATTTGGGTCACTCGTTCGCTTTTTCTCCGTTCTGTCTGTCTCTTTCGCTGCATCCTCTGGCTTGGTTGGCGGTTGGACCGCTTCAGGGTCACTTGTTGGCTTCTTTTCCGTCTCATTTTTATTTGTCTCCTTTGTCCTATCCTCTGTCTTGCTTGGAGCTTGGTCAACTACGGGGTCACTTCTTTGAGTTTTCTTCGTCTCATCATTGGTCACAATCACCATAACCTCTGACACGGTCGAAGCTTGGTCAACTCTTGGGCTTTCGTTTTCTGTCAGTTGACCAAGTGCTGATGATTTCAAGGTCAACGACTTGTTCTCCCCTGCGGATAGCTGTCCCGCCACCACCATTCGACAAACAGTATGCGTCTGTTGTTGCCCCTCAGTCCCTCCAGTGATCTGATTTGCATCCCCAGCCAAGACTTGCTTTTCTGCGCGGATTGTAGTTCTATCAGGATCCAGGCCCAGCTTCAGGTGTCTTCGGGCGGTTGCTGGGTCGCTGTGTTTTGAGCCGACGACGATGAGTTTGTCCCCTTGTATCGCGGCGTCATCGTGTGTTTCCATCACGTTATCGGGACTCTTTCGTATTATGGATGGTTCCTTGTTCATGTGCGGCTTTCCTTTCTTCGTCGGTGCAGAGCACTGTAGCAGAGGCGGCGCCAAAGCCGATACTTGCACATGTTGCGATCTGGGGAGAGGCAGGCCGTTTGCCACTTTTTCCGGGCGTGGCTGCGGTTGTCTGACGCTGAGTTTTATGTCTGCCATTGATTGCGAGGCTGTCACTTTGGCCTGTTTGTCCTCCTTTGCTCTAGTCGTTGAGATTGTCGGTTGTTGACGATCCTGTGGAGCTGAAGATTTGTGTTCGTCAACTCCAGGCTTCTTTCGATTTTGAGACTTGTCATTCTTCGCTTTTCCTCCAATTATTATTGGCGTCGTAGGAACCGATGTGTGGGGTTTGTCTTCTCTAGCGACTTTGGCGGGGCCGAACGCATTCTTGAGAGGAAGAGCCGAGGCGGACGGCATTGTTTTCTTGGATTTCTCGATCATCGTTGTGTTGGGTGATGCCTTTGGTTCTCTTTGTGTAACTTTAGTCTCTTTCGAGCTAGGGTTGGAGTATGATGCCTTTGGATGAATTCCTTCGCTGATTGTTTCGGTTTTGGTGTTTACGCGGGTTGCTTTGCTACATGTTTTAGCCTGGTTACGCTTCTCAGGTTCTTCATTTGCAGTCCCAGAGAGCTTACTTTCGGTAACCTGTTTTGGCGCATTGCTCCTTGGCAACTCGTATACTTCTTTCGTCTGCTGTACCTTTGTGGCAGTGACCTTCTTTTGACAGTTTTCGGCTGGAACATTCCGCTCGAGGTTTGCAATGCTGCCGTCTTGACGAGAGGCTTTGGGTTTTACATCGATGGAAGAGGGTTTCATTTTCTCAGGTGTCGGTGCTGCCAGAGCAGGTGCGGCCCCTTCGTTTTTCGTACTGCCAGTCTCCTCTCCAGTGTGGATTGTGTCTTTGGAATCCTTGACCATTTCCGAACCTAATGTGGGTCCACTCTTTCCAGGCAACATTCCTTCACCAGTAGAATTACCGACGGAATCTGTCTCTTTTGAAAATGCTTGCACTGCCGGAACAGGATTTTGTTTCGTTAACGAAATCGTTTTGCGTGCCTTGGCGTGTTCATCGTTTTCAGCAGCAGTCACGTTGCTTGCATTGATATGCTTGGTTGTTGGTGGGTTCTGTTGACCACCGCTTGATTGGGCCGGTGCTTCTTTAATAATTGTTGTCGCGACTGCCGCTGGCGGTACTGTTGTTGTCGTTGTTGGTATTGTTGGATGCACCTCCTTCATTGGTGTGTCCTCGCTTGTTTTTGGTTTCAAATTGGATAGAATTGGAGGGCGAGAACGTAGCTCGGCTTTTTGTTGCCGAAGCAAAGCTTGCTGTTCCACATTGCTACGAGCAAGGATAGATGACTGATTTGGATCAGATTTGGACTCTGTCCCTGGCGCCGCCTCATCTAGCTTGAGAGCTTGCATCTGAGCTGCGACGTCAGAGTGCATTGATGACAAGTCTTGCGCCAATAACGACTTCAGTTTGGGCTCTCGCTGTTCTGGCTGTTGTGCGGCGGATTGGGATCCTCCCTCTGTCGTACTTTCCAAAGTCTCTTCCATGAAAGATTCCACAGCGACTTTTCCACCCAAAGCTGGCCCCTGCACAGAAAAAGCAAGAAGATTTCCTGGAACGGACGAGGTCGCTTCTCCTGCAGATTGTTGCGGTCCCATTAGCACATCCTGACCTTCTTGTCCGTGATCGTCCGAGTTATCCAATGGTAAGAAAAGCAGATCATCTGGAGCTACGGCGATGCCATCCAAATCTTGTTCCATCAGATTTTCGCTGTCATCGTCTTCGTAGGTGACTTTGTAGATGTGCCCGTCGAAAGAAACAACTTTCCCGGTGAACCACCCAAAGGGAGGGAACTCCTGAATCGAACCAAAAAGGTCAGAACGGCAGTGAACTTTTTACTTCACAAATCAAGTCACGGTGGATTCCTACCTTGTATACCTTTGTGCCCAATGGATATTTTGCTCTTGGTATTGAATCAACGGATTCTTCTACTATCACGGCTTCGCTGCTTGGTTCCTGTTGGCTGACAGGGAACAAGACCACGCTGTCGTGGCCGTGAAAAGGGTGTGCTGTAGCTACGTTGGAGTCGGGGCGATGCGTCTGCTCTTTTTCTTGCAGCTCAAGTTCCGTTGTAATGCCATCATGATCATTGCCACCCGCTTGTTCAGAGGTCGTAGAGTCGGTTTTGCCCTCGAGTAAGATCGCGGATTCCTCGTGAAATGGGGAAACTTGGATCCCCGTTTCAAATGCTTCAGAATGAAGGATGACCTTGGTCTCCCCGAGGGTGGTTTGGCCTTGCAATTCCGTAGAAAATGGATTGTTTTCGCTTTCACTCGTTGTCGGATCTTGGGTGGCTTGTGTGGCAACCTCAGTTGCGCTTGCAACTTGGCTTTGTACATCTTGAATCCCATCATGGATGCTTCCTGCTGCCTGAAATGGATATCCCTGAGGCTGTTTGCTTATCTTGATGACTGGCATCTTCTTCTTGGCTATCTTGTCCTTCTTTTTGACCGTTTTATCTGCTGGCTTTCTGAAGGATTTCTCTGGTTGTAGCTTAATGATATCCACGGCGGGGTCTTCTTCAAACACAAAGTCATGATCCTGATTGCCTCGACGTCCTCGCCGTCGTTTGGGCAACTCGCTTTGGACCTTTGCATCAGCAGCGACCCACTGTGTCATGCCACTGGCAATCCACTTGACGAATTTGCGACCATCATCGGCCTGTCGCAAAATATAAGCAGCGTGATCAGTGATCCCTTGAGTGACCCAAACCATGGGCAACTTTGGGGCGTCAGCTGGTTCCGTCGAAGGTGCTGGTTTCTTGCGCGGCTTTCCATTGGCCGTGGCAGACTTGGCAGCGGTAGTAGCCATCGTGTCGTCCAACGTTAAGGGAAGGGGGAATCCGGCAGGTAAAAAGGCAAAACAGTAGAAATGACGAAAACAACACAAGCTTTGCTGTCCACTACACTGTTGTGTTCTGATCTCGGTCAAAACAAACCTGAATTTCTTTGGACCAGGCTATTTCGACAGGTTGATTGTCTGTAGACCTAGAGGCAAACCAATGACGACCAATGGAAGTTCAGTCAACCACAGACAATGCCACAAAGGTCCAACACAAAGGAAACAATGCTTTCAAAGATTTGCTTCGCTCTTGTGTTTGCTGTGGCTTGCTTTTTGGGTTTTCTTCTGTGTCTGGACGGTTGGAGGACGGACGGACGAAGAAGGCTACTTGATTGAGTCGAGTGACAGTCACGAAAGTGCAGGACTTGTTGTCTCACGAAGAATACGGGACTTGTGGCTACGCTGACTCGACTCGACTCAAGGCAGTGCTTTAACAAATCCAGCTGGCGTCCCCAAAGTCGGACTTTTCTTCGGGGGTGGACGCACTGGGGGAGAAGAGCGGGGTGAGCAGAGAAGGCCAATTTTTGGATCAAATCCTTTCTGCCAATGATGACCGGTCAAAAACATTATGTTGGGACAGCCCCAGGTTGCCGTGTTATTCAATGAACATGAACCCACTTGGAAGTGTGGAAGGAACCTTTCGCCGCTGAACAGGCGATCAACATTGGAAGTAGATCCCTTGCTCGGGTGTTTCGTTCTTGAATTTGCTTCTTTCCTTTCTTTCGAGCTAGATCTAGCTAGTTACTTGTGCGATTCATTAGAAACCACGGTCTTCTCGAGAAAGGAGCTTCACGGCACACAACAGAAGATTGAGAGGAAAAGTTGGACGCCACGACCCTTGAAATGATTACTAGGTTAGTTGGAAGGGGGCCTTCAACGGCTTCTCGGATGGTGGTAATTGCGGCCGTAGCTTTGGCTGTTGTCCTCTTTACCATAATCAGCCTTTCCGTTCTGTCCAATGACGACATCACCAGCCACAACAGAGATGTCTCTGTTAGCCACAACATTCGCCACCTCGAGGCCGAAAGGAGCGATACCAGTGATGGGCACTTTATGTGGCGAGAGTTATTCCACTCCGAACGGAATTGCAGCGGCGAAAAGAACGCTGACTTTGCCATCCAAATGCGACGTCTGGCTGTACCTGTCGAGGGCGTACCATTGCATGTCGTTTGGGAGCATCAGAGCAGTCTCGAGCAAATCTTCAAAATACTGTTCAACACTCTCAGCGAAACCTGTGATGGACCCAAAAAGCGCATGGTGCACAACGTATCGTTAGAGGAGGCCTTTCGGGACAACAGCGCAAACTCGTCCAACCTTGTGGATACTACGTGGGGCTTCTTGATGACTTGCGCGGGGTGCTCCATGGACGAGCCGATCTTACCTCTTGCAAGTGATGACAATGATCGTGGTCGACGATTGAACATGATGCAGGATTTCCTGGACATGTTGATGGAAACTTTGCGAGGATTCATGCCAGCGCCAGTGGCCGCAGCAAACAGTACCTTGATTCCCACGTATGCTCCTATGACGCCGGTTAATGCCTCATCGCTTGGTATTCCTACAAAGGCTCCTACGAATGCTCCGGGCATCAAAGGTATTGGTTTTGCAACCTCTGATCAACCAAGTAATGGTACTCACTACAATGGCACACTATTGCCATGGGCTAGCGAGGAAACATTGTTTCAAACCTCTGCTCCAAGTGTCATGCCTTCAATGCTTCCCAGTGGCACAAGCCCAACACCCTCTGTTCTTCAAAATGTGTCTCATGGCGGAAAACCATCAGTTCTTGCCACTGGGAAAGTACCAAGGGCAGGTGTTCCAACAGGTGCACTAGATTCAACTGCGCCAAGCATTCTTCCCTCAACTAGCAGAACAAGGATGCCATCAGTTCATGCAATTGGGAATGCATCAAGATCAGTTGGACCCAGTCTTCTATCAATACTGGTACCAGGTATAATGCCTTCATCCAATCTTGCAGGGGGCACTTTTGGGAACAGTGCATCCAACAACAGCGACCCTGGTGGCACATGTGTTTCTAATCGCAAAGACTACCAAGTCATGGTTGACCTTCAGATCCGGTTCCATCACCATGAGTATGTGGCCTGCAACGGAACTGAACAAGAAATGGCCATCAGCACAGCAATTGTAGACACTCTCAACAATGCATTTCCCATTACAGTTCCAGACTGGGATGGTGATGTAACCTTTGGGTCATTCATGTTTGATCTTGACCAAGAAGTCAAGAAAGTTCATCCAACTCCTCATGTGAGGCAGCGTGGCCTTGCTGACACGAAGTCCGTTCCTCAAGAACAGTGGCTGCAAGGGGGTAATTGCTCTTCAAGAGAAGGGATAGAATGCCCTGTAGATTTGTGTAGGTGGGGCTGTGTGACAGCCTCTGCCACTGACTGTGGAACCTCTGCTGTGACAAATTGGGTCAATCTTGCTGGTAATATCAAGGATCATTTAGTTGCCTTGGAGTTTAACTGCTTGGGCAAAAAACATAAGTTTGAAGTGGTGGTTGTGGTTGATGTCCCCACGGTGGCTGACAGGAGCTGGGCATCATGGAGACCCTCACACAAAAAGAAAATGCCACCTCCAAATTCAAACGAGAAGCCACCACCATCCAAAAAAGACAAATCTCCCATTTCAGTAGCCCAAACTACTTCTCCCACAATAGCCATGGATCCTACTACCAATATTCCCTCAAGTGTAACTTCCAATGTAACAATTGGTGGTCTTTCATTGACCCCAGGCACCGCAAGCCCAACTACTATAATGGTGGATGCTCCTATTGCAGTGGACAACACTGCAAGCCCTGGAACTCCCAGTGCCAGTCCCACTATCCATCCCACATCTGCACCATTCACAGTTGCCCCTGCAACCCAGTATGTGACCTCAGTCACTACAAGCCCAACGATTGGACTGCCCCCGCCATCTGCTACCCCATCAATTCCTCCTGGATTTCTGAATGCCAATCCCCCTATCGGTGCCTCCACCAGTTTCCACCCTTCTTCAACTCTTGAATTTCCCAGTGCCACCCCCACTACTGCATTTGCCAGCCCCCAGAGTATGGCATCATCTGCTCCCAGGGCCAGCCCGACTATTCATCCCACCTCTACGCCATCCACAGTTTCCCCTGGAACCCAATCTGTGACCTCAGTCGCTACAAGCCCAACGATTGGATTGCCCCCACCAACTGCTAGTCCATCTGTTGCTTCTGGATTTCTGAATGCCAATCCCACTATAGGTGCCTCCACCACATTCACACCCTCTTCAACTCTTAAATTTCCCAGTGCCATCCCCACTGCTGCATCTGCCAGCCCCCAAAGCATGGCATCATCTGCGCCCAGTGCCCTTCTTTCAGTTGTTCCCAGTGCAATGGATTCATCAATGCCCAGTGCTACCTCCTCAGCTGCAAACAATGTTGGCTTTTCAGCCAACCCAAGCATTGTGGGAGTCTCCGAGACATCTGTCCAAACTACCAGTCCATCCATCACTGTCATCGAAGTATCAGGGGGGGCTTCCAGTGCTCTTGTGGCAACTGCTGCTGCAGATACTGAGTCACCTACTGTGCCTGAGATTGAACTTGCCAGAACAGAAGGCCCTTCCCATGACCATACCCCCTTTGATGGTATAGAGACTGAGTTTCCCACTGAGTCTAATCAAATTGGCTATGATGAAAGAGGAACCCATGGTCCTTCAAATGACTATGCTATGCTTGGTGCTACCTCCACTGATTCTCCCAGTTTTGGTGCATTTAGAGTAAATGCAACTGGGTCTATTGTGAGGGTTATTGCCAATGCAACTGGATCTTCTGACAGGGAAACCGAAGGGCCTTCTATCAACTCCGCTGCACCTACAGACTCTGATGCAGAAACTGTGCTTCCCAATGATCAAGCAACAGGGGTCCCTTCCAGCTTCACTGACCTTCCCAGTTATCAAGCAACCGGGGTTCCTTCCAGCAGCTTCACTGACATCCTGTCAACAGAATCACCATCAGGTGGTGCTGTAATGTTGGATGGCAACATAACTGGATCTACAAATGGCACAAGAAGCCACAAAAAACTCCCAATGAAGCCTTCTAGCAGCCCTACCACTATTGGGACGACTTCCTCATCAGCAATCCAAACATTGACTCTGACAAGAAAACCATCAGAATCTCCAACAATACCATCACTTCATACCACACTTCTACCGACGACTGGGCCAACAACTGTGCTCACAACTTGGCCAACAGCTATTCCCACGTCTGGTCCAACAACAACACCCACATCTCAACCATCCAGGCAACCCACATTTGAACCTACCGAAGCTACACTGGGGCCAACAATTGCACCAACAGTTTCACCTACAATTGGGCCAACAGCAGCTCCAACACCACGACCATCACTTCTACCGAGTGTGGTTCCTACCAAAGCTACACTTGGGCCAACAATAGCACCTTCAATTCCACCTACAATTGGGCCAACAGCAGCACCAACATCAGAACCGTCCCTGTTACCTACAGGTAGTGTGGTTCCTACCAAAGCTACGCTTGGTCCAACAACTGGGCCAACAGTTTCACCTACAACTGGGCCAACAGAAGCACCGACTTCAGTTCCATCAAGCCTGCCCACTGATACACCAACCAAAGCAACACCAGTGCCAACACTATTGCCAACTGCATCTCCAAGTCATGCACCATCAATAACTACAAGCCCGTCTTGCCCTCCAAGCAGTATGCCATCAACTACTCCAGAGCCCCGTGCCGTGAAAACGACTCTGGTTCCAACGGAGAACAAGACAGCCGTTCCAACAGTCTCGACATTGGTTCCAACCAATGAGGATTCATCGCGTTCTACAGTAGGAGCCTCGGCAGAGCCCTCTATCGTGGATTTTGTTGGAACCATGCAGTCGACAAGTGGATCTGAGAGTCCAAGTCCTACGCTTGCCGTCGCACTATTACAAGAACAGGATTCAAACAGTCCAACAGGTGTGTTAACCGAAGCTCCGTCGTTGGGATTACCATCCATGGCTACGACCTTTGGTTCAACACTTGTGCCAAGCGAGTCGATGAGTCAAGGAACTGAAACTCTATCGAACGCCCCAAGAATAGAAGGAAGTGAAATGCCAACATCCGGTGAAGCAGTCGCCCCAAGCCTTGTATCAAGCCGGCCGACCACCGAAGCAGCTACGGGTTCACCTTCAATCATGGTGACGACCATCCCTGGAGAAGCCAGTATGTTCCCAACGGGGGGCTCAACAACATCACTGGAAGAGTCGCACACTCCAACCTCAAACGGAGAATCCGAAATTCCAGCCACAACGCTTCCAACAGTCACCATGTTTCCGACATCGACCCAAACGACGTCAGAAAGGCACACCTTGGAGCCGTCGACGAGTTCAAGCATCGAGGAATCAAATATTGCTACCGCGGGTTCCACCATTGAGGAATCGGACTTTAACGAAGTGTTGTCTATTCTCCCATCAAGCACTGCCATCCCCAGTAATGGTGAAACTCAGAGTACGATGGACGCTTCGATTGCAGATCCCACCATGTCGCTGTCGCCAAGTGTCGCCGTGAGCGCTTTGATCAGTGGTCCACCCTCGTCTGTGTCTCCATCAACGCGTACTCCGGCCCTAGCAGTTTCAACACCAGCCGTCCCAAAGGTAACAGAGAAACCCGCTGGGATAGCCACCATTCGCCCTAGACAGGGCATTGATGCATTCAAACCACCGACTGCGTCTCCAACAACCTCACAGCCCTCAGGTCCACCAACTCCCCACCCTTCGAAGACTCCAACACCGGCCCCAACTGGCCAGCCGTCTAGCTTGCCCAGTATGTCTCAGTTTCCAAGTGAGCAACCGTCCATCCATCCATCATTGTTCCCTTCCCGGGAGCCATCCACCAGACCGACAGCTTCTCCAACCGAACAGCCATCAATTCCGCCGTCTCTTTCTCCTTCAGTCGTTCCGACACTGTCCCCCACTGCCCATCCAACATCAGCGCCAACCATGTCACCAACAGATGCACCATCCATCGATCCCTCTGCCTTGCCAACAAATTCTCCCACTGCAGTTTCAAACAATACCATCACAAACACAACCGAGGTGGCACCAGACAAAACCACCTCCAACACCATCGTCACTAACACAACTGAAAAAGGAAAGAACAGCACCAGCACCAAAGGAGCTCCCTCTTAGCGGTGGGCCAATTCAACGTTAAAGGACAACTAGACAGCTAATCTCATACGAATCTAGCAAAGAGCGACTGGGCTAATCTTTCATCTACTCTATTGTCGTACTTGTGCAACTTTGGGTTGCGTTGGCAGGGAACGTCATACGATTCTAGCAATAAGTAAACGTAAAGTCCCTTATCAATTGTCTCGTCAACTACGTTCCTCAAGGTGCTTCCTGGTGAAATCATTTAATTTGGTTTCGTAGCTTCGCTGTCATCGGACACTGCAGTGCAGAGTTCGGACGATGCATGTAGAGGTCAAAGAAGTATTGGCGGCTTTTACGAATCGATTCGATTCGATTCAATCGTTTCCAGCGGCAAAGAGTGACTTGAAGAGTGGCCACAAATATAGCTACCGTAGTACTAGTAGTAGTGGGAAAGGATTGGGCTTTCTCTCGCCACAAAGGCATTGCCAGTCACCCTTCAAACCCATTTAAATAGAACATATCTCGCTAAGACGATGTTTCTACTTGATCCAACTTTCGTTTCTTGCTCTCGTTGGCATCCGTATCCTCTTCTTGCTTTACCAGCGTTGTTGCTTTCTCCTCGAGTTGTTGTTGGAATTTGTCCATTTCAATCTTTTCCAACCGAAGCCATTCTTGGCAAATGTTTCGTTTTTCTTGTGCCAATCTCATTTCGACACGCGCTTGATACATACTAATTTTGGGTGTGGACGATTTCTTCTTGCCACTAGTGCTGCTACCGGAGGACAATGGTTTGTAGCTTTGAATCCAATGCGAATGAGGAGCACACAATGAGTGCAGTTCTTGTAAAATTTTGGTGTACCGTTCGTGAGGTGGTGGAGTGTTGAGTAATCCTGCTTCGTCACTGTCGACATCACTGTCATCATCGTCGTCATCATCCTCCTCGTCTTCGGAAGATTCTTCCGATTCCTCTTCCTCCTCCTCCTCATCATCCGATCCATCTTCCATTTGTTGTTTTCGCTGTAGTCTTCGTTCTTCTCGTTTTTGTTCTTTGCGTTGTGCCTTTTCCATTCGTTTTTGTTTCTTGGCAGCTTTTCGTTTCATTTTCCACTGTTTTTGCGACAATTGCAGGGCGGCCGGATCAAAGAGTCCATGGCCAGCGACTTCTTGCAGCAATCGACCAATGCACCCTTCGGCTTTCGCTAAATCGTTCCACACGGCTTGTCGTTCCTGCTCCAAGCGACGACGTCGTTCTTGAATTTGGGTGTCTTGACTGGGATGCCGGATGCTCAACTCAGCCGTTGTCACGGCACCAGCGGAAGAATCCTCGGCCGTGGGATTTTGGGCCATGGCCGCAAATTTGCTGTTGCGAGATGCTTGGGCTGCAAATTTGTCACGACGAGCAGCGGGTGGTGCAGAAGCGGCTTGTTGTTGGGCCGCTGCTTGAGCGGCAAACTTGTCTCGACGGGGAGCTGCGGCAGCTTGTTGTCGGGCTGCCTGGGCGGCAAACTTATCTCTTCGTGGTTGGGCTACAGAAGCAGCAGTTGACGGAGCAGGCGGAGTAGCCGAAGCAGCGGCAGGAGTCGCCGCAGCAGCCGCTTGTTGCTGTCGAGCCGCTTGTGCGGCAAACTTGTCTCGCCGAGGCTGAGCTGCAGGAACGACAGGAGCTGGCTGCGCGACAGAAGTCGGCTGCTCTCCTTGTTGCTGTTGTTGTTGCATTCGAGCTTGGGCTGCTGCAAACTTGTCGGCTCTCGCAGATGCGGCGGGTTGTTGAGGGGGAGGTTGACCCTCGGCAGCCGGAGCTGGAACCGGCGACAAGGACCGGGCCTTCATGGCGTTCACATCCTTGCCTGGCATGGTCTTTCCTGTATCTGCTGTACAAAAGTAAGTTAGAAGCAAAAGGCTACAGTCGTACTGTATCGCTCTCGATCGTGATGAATGAAACGGGTTGTGCTGTTGTGTGTGTTTGGCTTGGATCTTGCGGGTGCGACGTTGCTGTTGATGTTAGATATAAGCCCGCAGCGCTGAGATACATCGGCACGAGTGGTTACATGTCTCGACTTGCTCACTGACTCAGTGATGGGGATCTGTCATCTCGATCTGCAATCAACACACAGCAGCACTGGATCCATTTGCTCTATTGTTCAGACTCTAGCTAGCACCATGAGAGGAGTCAACCGGTTGGTGCTCACTGCCTTTGCAGCTTCTCGGAGAGCCATCCAACCAACAGCAGGTGTCAGAATACAAGGAAGTCTTATGGCTCGTGCCTTTTCCAGCAGTGAGCAGCACTACACCATTGGATTGACTGGATCGGGTGGCTTGGTGGGAAAAGCCGTCTTGAATGAGATTCGTCAACGGGAAACCCTTCAGGGTAAACCCATTCGAGTGATTTGTCTTGTCCGCGGTGACAAGGCAGAAGCACCTACGGGAGGTGACACTTTGGTTTGGAATCCCACCGGCGCAGCGGCAGACGATGTCTTGCACCCACAAGCCGTGGCCGAAATGGATGCCATTGTACACTTGTCGGGCGAAAATGTCAGTACGGGCCTCGGTCCACTGGGATTTTTAGGCATTCGGCCGTGGACGGACCAGAAAAAGGCCGAGATTGTGAACTCCCGAGTGGAAACGACTACGGCACTCTCCAAAGCGGTGGCAGCAGCAGCTGACAACAAGAACAAACCCAAGACGTTCCTGGTAGCTTCGGGGGTTGGCGTATATGGTGACAAGTTTATTGGTGATAGCTTGGAAGCGGCAGACGAATCCGCCAATGTCGATGGAGTGGATGGTTTCTTGGCGCACGTGTCTCGTGAATGGGAAGGAGCCACGGAGGAAGCTGTGAAATCTGGAAAGCATCGTGTTGTGAATATGAGGTTTGGTGTGGTCATGTCGAAGAAAGGAGGAGCACTGCAGAAGCTCTATCCAGTCTTTTTGTTGGGCGGCGGCGGCCGCATCGGTGGTGGTCAACAATACTTTTCCTTCATTAGCGCCCGCGACATTGCCCGGGCAATTCTCCACACACTGGAAACTCCATCGTTGGAAGGGCCGGTCAACTTTTGCGCCCCCCATCCCTGCACCAATTTGGAATTCACCAAAGCTTTGGGATCGGTTCTGAGGCGACCCACAATCCTCCCGTTTCCAGGATTCGCTGTGAATCTTTTGTTTGGTGAAATGGGGGAAGAAATGCTCCTCGGTGGAGTTAGAGTGGTGCCCAGTAAACTGTTGGACAGTGGTTTTGAGTTTCTCCATCCGACAATCAACAGTGCATTACAGAGTGCCATGGACGAGGATATCTAAAACTAGATACGAGTTGTAGTAGCAATGTCGCGCTCACATTGGCATTGGAAGATTTGGATGTGCGCGATGCACACACTGCTGTACTTTAGATCTGATCCAAAAAGGCTATGGGCGCCGTACATTTGTGCAGGTGTATATCATTGTTCCCAGGATTTCTAGCTAGCTGGACAGCTCAGCTACCACAAAAACGCAAACTACTAGGATAGATTGCTGGATCGCTTCGAGTGCCTCACTTGGAGTCCACCCACCAACTGGCCACGAGATAGTATCTGTAAACAGCAACGGTTATGTACATTAGTCTTATCGTGCTGCTGCTTTGCTTAATTCTTTCTCGTATCCTCGCATCTATTAGGACAGAATCCATGCGCGCCTTTTGGACCTGCTCTGCGTGCATCTTCTTCTATGTACATTCATTGTTTGTCAAAAGATAGGTAGCATGCTATTCAGGGTCCGCCATAGCGTTCGGAATCACCTGGCATTCCAAACTTTGAGCCGTCCAAGACCTCCATGGCGCCCAAAAAGTCACTCCATGGTGGTTGCCTGAATATCAAAGAGAGATCAATGTCAGCACTGCGAAACATACACGGAACACGAATCGAGCAATGGAGACGGGATGCCAAACCAATGCTGCAACTTACCCAGTGGCGCGTCGCAGGATGCGACCATTTTTCTTGACGGTAATGGTGAACCCCTTTTCCAGGACATCAAAGCCTTGTCCGCTGGCTGTTTCAATCTCCGACTCCAAATAGTCGGTCCAAGCATTGTTTCCTCGTGGAAAGGCCACAACCGAATCCGCACGTGTGATATCAAAATTGCGATCAACCTCGTCACCACGACTTTCCACATCCAACCAGTATTCGCGAGTGTTATCCACCGCAATTTTTTTGTCATTGCCTTGCTGCTTGAGCAAGACTGGGATTACAATGACTTCAGAGTTTTCCAGCTGCGCGGCAATGGTATTGGGATCGGCTCGTTGATCGGCATTTAACGATCGTGCCAATTCGGAAATGTAGTCGGCTCCTCCGGCAGCAATCAATACTCGAGCCGCACGTCGATAATCCGAAAGGACTTGTCGTTTCTGACCCACTGGTTCCACAACCAATCTCGCCAATTGGCCGCCCTTGGCAATGCGTTGCAAATTGGCTTGACCCACATTGTACTCTCGTAGAGCCAAAAAGCCGCATACAATGGCACCTGTCAGATTGATGGCATCTGACTGTAATGCTTGTTCCAACGGTGGGGCGTCCGAATATCCTCCCACCAGAGCCTTGACGGTGCTCATGCCAGAAAAGTAGAGAGCCGTCAAGGCGGATCCCACGGTGGACAGGAAGAAGACAAATCGAACCTTGCGAAAGGGAGATTCCACTTCTTCTCGAAGCCGTTGTTTCACAGTGAAACCGCCAAACCTTTCACCCAATCCATCATCTTTATTGGGAGACGATGACAATGACGACGTCTGTGTCCTCGAACGAACCTCAATTCGAGCAGCACTCGTTCGACTAGTAGCCGGGGAAAATGCACTCGCTGAGGCGCCCCAAAGCACAGCAACTAAAAGACGCTTCAATATCATTGTGCTAAATTGTCTTCTTTTGAGATAAGCTGGTTCCTTTGCCGTGTATTAGTATGTTGAGCATCCAGCGCTGGAGGATGAGTCAAGGGGAGCTGTGGCACACTGGCAGCTGTCATCGTTGTGGTTGTGTTGGGGTCCTGAGGAATGATTCAATCGGATCTTTCTCGAAATCTTTCATCGATGACGTCACTCTAATATTTCTGGATTGCAAACCACGGTCATATCTGTGTTTGGCAGCCTTGCCGTCTTGGATACTTTGGGCTCCACGATCTGAGTGCGTCTTCAATTGGGTCATTCTGACTTGGAGCAGCACCAGCTGGAAATTAAAGGGCGGTACCGATAGCAGTCACAAGTCACAGGTCACAGGTCACAGGCGGTCCATCTGTTCCAACGTTCCAACACAACACTATGCATACTCGTAGACACCTCCTCTAAATCCCTCCCCTAAATCAGTGGAGGAGTGAATGCAGGGTTCCGACGTTCCGACATTCCAACCAGGACTGGGGTGCTACAGGAGCAGCATGAATGGTTATGGCCACCTTGCTTTCTTCAATTGGGTCGAAGCTTCTTGCGAACTGGGCTAATATTGCTTGGAACTTTGATCGGAAACCTTCATCGGAAAAATGACTTGAGACATGGGGGATGTTCTGTCTAGTAGTACTGTTGCTGTTGCTTATGATACTAGCTAGCTAGTAGCTAGTAGCTCTTCATTCTCCAATGAAGGGCATGGGGCATGGTGTATGGTACTCAATCAACCGCCCCAGAATTGATGGCTACCGGTTTGGTACATTTGCCTTGGCACTCGCGAAGGTTGGCAAATTGGACCGCAAATCGCCACCCTGCTCAGTTTTATTTTTCTGGACTTTGCTCAGCACAAAACACACCCCTACTGTAAGTTAAAGCAAGAGACATGAAGATGACGCCTCTACGAGATGAAGCCAGAGAGCAAGCTATTTTGGAGGATGGATCTGACGTTTCGGACCATGATGATCTGGAAGCCCCCGCTAATAACAAAGAGGAGATGATGGTCCTTGCCAAGAACGAAGACAAAGCGGTGGGGTACTTGCGGTTGTTGGTAGCACTGCTTCTCGGGATTGTGGCTCTTGTCGTTTGTTTGTCCATCTACTTTGTGACCAAGAGCAGTGAACAAACCGACTTTGAAGATGACTTCAAAGATACCAGTTTGAAAGTTGTCGAGACATTTGGATCTACTCTCAAGCAGCGCATGAACATTGCAGAGAACTTTGTCATCGACATTACGTCGCGGGTTGCCAATGAACCAGACCTCGAGTGGCCATTGGTCGCGTTTCCGGACTTTGGGATTCGGGCTGGCAAGACTGCTCAAATTGGGACCTTCCTGGACATCAGTGTGCTCCCCATTGTCCAGCCAGAGCAACTCGAGCGATATAACAACTACACCATGGCCAATGGGGAATGGCTTGCCGAGTCACTGGCCTTTCAGGAAGGCATTCCCGTGGAAGAAGTGGATGCTGTTCCCATTGGACCAGTCCAAGTGGTGACAGACGAAGGCCCCATCTTGAGAACACCCAACATGCCCGGCCCTTTCACACCAATATGGCAGACATTCCCTGCCATTAATCTGCCACTCCAAAACGCTGACCTAAACAAGGGGGTCTTTGCCGACCCAATCCAGGCTGTCATTGAGCACGGAATACCCGTGTTTACAACATCTGTTGACACCCTTGATGTAACGGGGTTTCGCCGAGACAGTCTTTCCAAGATGGTCGAAGCTGTTGGCCAAGAGTATCAATACGACGCCCTGGCGCCCATCTTCTACCCCATCTTTGACAGCTTACAGCGGGACCATGGAAATCAATCCGTCGTGGCACTTTTGCGTGCTGGGATCTACTGGAGAACTTTCTTTCTCAACATTCTACCCGCTAGCTCCAAGGGTGTTGTCGTGGTCCTGGAAAACGACTGTGGCAATCAATACACTTATGAAATTGATGGTTCCGATGCACGGTGTCTTGGTCGTGGAGACCTGCACAATGCCAAATATGACTACTTGGAAGCAGCTGTCACGGTTCAATCTCTGCTGGACGTGGAATCCTCAGACGAACAAGAGTCCACCAAGGGCCAATGTCATTATGGTATCCGCGTGTACCCCTCTCAAGAACTGGAAGACACATACATGACCAACAAGCCCCTCATCTTTGCCTTGACCTTGGCAGCTGTGTTTGTCTTGACCTGCGCTACCTTCCTACTCTATGACTACTGCGTGCAAAGACGACAAAAGATCGTCTATCAATCCGCGAAACAGTCTGGCAAACTTGTTCAGTCCCTCTTTCCAGAACAAGTCCGTGATAGACTCTATGAAGAGCAAGAGGCCAATGAGAAGAAAGCTTCGGGCAACGAATGGTTGGACAAACGTAATCAAACGAACATGGACGCAAGTGTGGGAGATACGAAACCCAACGCCATTGCGAATATGTACCCCGACTGCACCGTGGTAAGTGAATTGCTGTGCTGCGAGCTAGCTGCATCAAGATGTAATCCTTCACCGTTGTAGCTCACAACATGATTCTTGCTTACCGTACCCTTATTGTACAAACAGATGTTTGCCGACATTGCTGGCTTTACCAAATGGGCCTCTTCCAGGACCCCCACTGAAGTTTTCGAGCTCTTAGAGGCCATTTACGGAGAGTTTGATCGGCTTGCAAAGAAGCGAGGGGTCTTCAAGATTGAAACGGTGAGCCATTTCCAATCTCCTGCTGAAGATGCCATGTTGTTCCCACTTGTCTCACTTTGTGCTTTGTTTCTTGACCCAGATTGGTAAGCCAAAGTGGATACAGAAAGCTGGCTCTACAAGGCGATGCATCAGTTCTTTTGACTTTTGACTTTTAACTGTATGTCGGCTTTCTTTGTCGCCTCTCACAACCAGTTCTTTTGAACTATAGGCGATTGTTATGTTGCTTGCACCGGATTGCCTTTGGCCCAGCCCGACCATGCCCTCATCATGGCAAAGTACTGTATGGATTGCTTGAAGAAGCTACACTTACTGCTCCATGAAGACTTGATAGACCGGCTCGGAAAAGACACGGGCGACTTGGCCATGAGGTTTGGGCTCAGTACGTATCTCTTTTGTTGTGCACAGCATCCCATTTCTCCTATTACTCACAAGGCCCTGTTCCTTCCTCAAAACAGACTCTGGTCCTGTCACAGCCGGGGTACTTCGAGGGGAAAAGGTAAGTGGTTCGGTTCGTTGGCTGCTCTTTCTCCGCATCATGATGATCAGCGACTAACAGTGTTTTCTATCTTTATTGTAGGCTCGTTTCCAAATTTTTGGGGATACAGTCAATGTCGCTGCTCGCATGGAGAGCAATGGACTGCGTGAAAAGATCCAAGTGTCTCAGGCCACGGCAGATTTGATTGCTGCAGCTGGAAAGGGATCGTGGCTAACCAAACGCGATGAACTGGTCACAGCCAAAGGCAAAGGAGATATGCAGACATTCTGGGTGAATGTTGCTCCCACCGGACGATCGATTGCTGCTACATCCACCTGCCAATCCGTTGAGTCCTTTGGGGACGAAAGCGATGACGCCGACAATGTTGATCGCAGCTTCGCCACCGTTGACGTGTAGTAGATCACATGAGAAAACAATCACCTCCGGAAACTACGACCGTGCACTTCTATAAAAATTTCCAATCAAATCCACAAGACAAAAACGGAAACACACTAACATCATGGCATCCGACTCTAACTAAAAGCAAGAACGGCCGGACCTCTCAAAGCCGATCAGCACGAAGCCAGCCTTTCGCATGGAATGAAATTTCGCGGGAGTGGGACCAACAAAGAGACTGCTGTAACATAGCTTCTATTTCATGTACTACCGTATGTCATATCCGATATGCTGAAGCATCAATCTGATGGAGTGAAATAGTACCACTTGCCGCTCACTACATGTACGGTACCGGTAGCTTGCATGGCTGCACAAAGATCGCAGCATCGAGAGCCAAAGATTCATAAGGGGGTTTTAGAGTACCGGTACTGTACTCGCGAGCTAGTAGGGAAATTATCTACAGTACGGAAGCCAGCCAGACCCAAAGATTTTGTGTCGTTCAGATCGTTTTAGTCGCGTGAAAAGGTCGCGTCAGCCTTTAGATTGAAGATGCGGCCGAAGCAGCAATTGGATAAGCGGGCCAAGCTAGGAATGGCCCAACAGGGATAATTTCTCCCTGATGACGTCACAGTACTGGAACCAACAACCGTACCACATTTTGGTCAAAGCGCCCAGTTGATGATGAAATTGTGATGAAAGCACTGCACGATGGCTACAGGATGAACTCAACCAATATGGCACCTACACAAGCAAACTGACTACCTAGAGTTGTCTACATTCTTTGCTTGTCGCAGCCATGTGCTGGTCGTATTGGACGCTGCCACGTAGCAGGCATTATCTTATGCCAAACTAGATGCTTCATTTTTCTTCCCAGAATTCGCAAGTTCTCAGCTCCACCATCATTTCGGACTGCGTTGCCCTTTTGCTATCAACCCAATCATACCTATTGATCTAATGTGACCATTAGGGAGGATGATATCATTGAAAGTGAGTAGGATTAACGAGTTTTAATAGAAATAGTGGCAGCACCAGACCACAAATCCAGAATGAGCCACTGGAAATTCCAGCATCTATTGTAGAGGTTCGTCTTATAGTATCAATGGCTTTGGCCATTCAGTCTTGTTGGTTTGTCTATCTGATGGAATGGGCCCAACAGATGGGTCCAATGGGGCTAGCAGTGGGACAGAGATGGTCCGTCCTATCCGTGACAATAAATTTTGAAAGAAAATGGCTGCCCTACTTTGCTGGTCATTCATCAGTCCCACAGCCAGAAGATAAACAAGCCACTACCACCACTGCGACCGTCACATCCAAATTATGTATCCATCAACTCAAAGTACTGTCAGGTTGACTCTATTGGTGAAACTGCCAGGGGTATATCTGTCAGATCATAGCGATGCTTGAGAATGAAATTCTTCTGTGGAGGGAGTTCTGTCCTGGAGCTGAGGGTAATTTGCCATGATTTACCCCATTGTCCTAAATCATTCTCCCTGTTGGGCCATTCTCCCTGTTGGGCTGTTCCTAGCAAGCGTTCTAAAACCATTTCCCCCCTTCAGTACATGTACAGATCTTCTCCTGCAAACAGCTACGCACCGGCACGGCTGCTGTCTGAGTAACAACCAACAACCCAACAAACAAGATGCCAGCATGCCAAGAATGTCATCGTGTAAAGGTCCGTTGCGACAGGGATCAAAGTGAAGGAAGGAGTTGTTCTCGATGCCTTCGTCTGGAAGTGGATTGCATCGCTCGCGTCTCGCGTCAAGGGCAAGGACCCAAGAGGAGGAGAAAGCTTTCTATCTCAACAACAGCTTCGGAAGAGCAAGATCATGCCATGGCCATTGATAGTCAACCGCAACAACAACAACATGGTTCGGAAGATGGCCAAGTTTTAGACGCCATCATGATGTCCACGCCGTCCGAAGAAACTAGTTCGCTCAAGTTCCACTACGGCATGCGGTACTTGATTCACTCATGGACGTCCTTTGCGTTGGCACGGCGATCGTTTCCCCTGCTGAGCCGTGCCAGTCGTCTAGCTGCCAAATGCGAAGTACCCATGGATGACATCTTTTGCGCTTCACGGCAAGACATTATTGATCCCATCTTGTACGGTGGTACCGGTAGTACTACACAGTCAGTAGCAGCAGCACCCTTTCAACAGAACTCGACATTGCAGTGGAACGACCTACCCACAGCGCTCTTGCAAGTCTGTGGGGCTTCCAGTGACAGGGATCGACAAAACCGATATATGATGGTACGGGAAGCCAAGAATGGACACTCACGCTTTCTCGTGTCAGACTGTTTCCAGCAAGAAATTGCCTCTCTATGGTTGATGGAACAAACTTGGAAAGCCAATGACAAGCCCGTCGTGACGCTGTTCTTGCAAGGACCCACAGACTTTGACAAGTTTACCAAAGCCATACATTATACCTTGTCTCGCTACAACTATCCAGAAAAAAAGCCCGAATGCGTCCGAGTCAATGGAGTTTATGTCAAGTTTCAAAAAATGCCCAACACGTGTGGTGACAACAATGTCCTCATCCAAAAGATGGACCTGGTGTATGCCCTTGAGATTGTGACATTGGAACATTCCTTCTACATTTGCGAGTTGGTACATCCCAAAAAGGGGGATGGACACATTATTGTGGGTGCCGCACAGGACAATAATCATGGTGCCAGCATGGAACAGGACCGGGGCCATGTTGAGCCTGTATCCACATGTAGTCATCAGCAGCAAGCCAACCAAGAGCCAGTGTTAATGTCAGATTCCGATTCGGATCCACTGCATTTGTTCGACAATCTCGTGCCTTTGGAGCAAATGGATCCAGATTTTGAATCCTTCTTGGCAGTGCTGAAGGAATGACGACGTAAGCACTTCAAACTTGAAAAAGAGGGAATGTGGCAGCAAGAGGTGAAAAAATGCGCATCTCCCACCGGGTAAATACCCGCGTTGAAAAAACGGCCTCGCTTTTGCTCTTCACCAATCCTGGAATGAATCAAGCACCTCCACTGGAGCAGCTTGCAAAATTGAACCGTGTGCGGCCAATCTATCGAATACGAAATCACTAATTCGACAACAACCTTCGCTTGATTCGTAACCTCCAGGCAAGTTTTATACAATCGTACGGACGCGAGCTACCGGTATGGTGGGAACAAGATTGCACAAAACGATCACTTCGCACTGGGTGCAGTTGCTGTGGGCTTTCATCCCCAAAACTGCTTCATCCGTATGGTCTTGCACGACGGCAATAACTTCTACATTTCTAGTAGCGGCAGAGATAGAGATCGGGCCTACAACAAGCGACTGCCGGTGCCAGTACGGGACACTAAAGTGGCAAGAGTGCACTACAAGGACAATCAATTTGTGCTAAACTTTGCAGATGGAAAGAGCACTGATACTGGAAGCGTGAGTGGCGGGGAAAGCACGAACATTAGCTCTGCGAGGCACTTGGCAGGAATGATAATTGGGGATGACTCGAAGCCTCATTTTGTTTCTTCGGGGAGGTGATCGAGAACGAGATACACTTGCTTGGGCAAGGCGACGCTGGGCTTGGACACGGCTTTCTCAGGCACTGTGTTAAACGGTTATGTCTTTGTCACCACGATCGTGACATTACTGAAGAATCTCACGAAAGCTCTGTCTACGCGACATCCGTCGTCATTCACATCAGCTGTTTCTGTCACCGAGTGAGTCAAATTCGTGCTCAATTCGCCTCTCCCATCGACTAGAGGTCCCGGGTCCCAGACTTCCTTCGGTACAAGGACTACGATTACAACGAGTCCAGGGAGAGACTCTTCTGTTGTCACTGGCTCCACATTCATCGAGTTCGACAGTGGCATGGACGCTGCTGCTACCCGAACCTACTCATTCAATGCTTCGAACTACATTGACAGCAGCGAGACGGTTATCAGTGGCATACTTTACATCGAACAGAGTTCCCCAGTGCTGTCTACCGGTATATTCAGCGGACGATGTGAGAACTATACGGATTTCGTTTGTCCGGGCCCCAAGTCGACATTGAGCTCGATCTCTACCTCGTCGGTAACGGTTACTGTTGCGTCTCATGCCGATAGTACCGGGCAAAGAGCCTGCTGAACAGTTTGATGGTGATAACGTGTCCAACCTCGTCCAACCTCAAGGGTAAACTCCTTGAGTATTGCTCTAGTGTGTCACTGCCTTTGTTGTATGAGGAAAAACTGGGATGCGACGAAGCTCCGTTGCAAAACAACGTTGGCGGAACCTGTATCGGTGTGACAATGATTGCTGACTTGGAAGATGGCCGATTCTTCGCCCGCAACTGCCATATTCCATTTGCGACCTTACCGGTACTTATTGGCCCATCCCGAGTTTTCCTCCACTGCTGGAATCTGGGACGTCGAGATTCCCTTGACAGCGTTCGCTGGTAAATACAGAGTCAAGAACAACTTCAACCAGTGCTTGAATGAAAACTGCTCGAGCGTCACCTTCAATGCGGCCGGGGCTTTGTGCGGGAGTCACGAGACCTTCATCATTGACCATTTGGGCAATGCGTTCTCTACATGTATCGAAACAACCGATGGAAGGTACCTTGATAAAGATCCAAACCCATCGTATGGGGCATTGCCTGTGGGCAAATACATGATTGATCAACCCGGCGGATGCTTCAACGGCGTGTTACGGGTGAGTTTCAACGCCAAGGGGTTATTGCGGCAGTGAGGAGTCGTTTAAATTTGGGGGCTTACTGAGCTACGACAAGGCCGATACAGGATCAGAAACAAGGTCAACAAATGCCTGAAGCAAGGTCCTCCTTCACTCGCCCCCCCTCCTGGTTTCTGAATGAATCACTGAGACAGACCACCGTGGTGGCGATGAGACATTTGACGTAATCTGTTCTCAAGGATCGTCTCGCATCAAGAGCAGGTCTGGAAACTACAGATTGTACCTTAGCAGTAGTCCACAGTCCTGTTTTTGTCCCTTGGAAGCCCTCGACATCACAAAGGACTCTTCCGGGAACTCCAAGATCAGTTCAAGTGACGGATGATGTCTCAACGGCGTGAGCCGCGTGAGCTTCAATGACAGGCGCCTATTGTGGCAGTGAAGAAGCGTCTCCTTTGAATTCGTTGAGCACTTCTGAGCCCTGACCCCCCGGCGGCTGTGAATGAAACCCAGCGGTGTGGTCATGAAACAACTAACTTGTGCTATTCCGGATCGTCTTTTAAAGGATACACGCGTTGCAATGGCGTCCTCGGTTCGTTGGAACGAATTCACTGTAATACTACTAGTAGTCAACAGCCCAGCATCCTTGTATCAACAAAGGCTCTCTAAACATCTAACTACATTGTTTAATTGACGCCGACACTGGGGATAGGAGAGGCTTCTCTAGAGAAGCTTTTTGTACTCGTCTTTGTCCAACCATTCCTGGAAGGAAACCAGGCCGCCAATCTCTTTGCCAATACCATGCTTCCGGGTTTCAGTTTCAGGGCCGTAGTAACCATAGTCTTCGAACCATTTGACCATTTGGGCTAGTTCATGAGCACCGTCAAAGAATGTTGCGAATTTCTTCGGGTCTTCAAAATGGACGCGGCCAGGTTTGCCCAGCTTTTCCGAAATCTGAGATACGACGTCTTCCACAGAGATCTTCTCTCCTTCCAACAGGATGTTACTGTTGTTGTACTTGCTTGGATCCTTTGCAGCGGCCAACACCGATGGACCCACTCCGGTATTCACATCGAATTGGCTAAAGGCGTTGCCTTCCTTTCCTGGCCAAGTCCACACCAGAGTACCCTTGTCGTCTTCGACCGGCTTGAAAAACGAGAACCAGTTGGAATAATAGGCGGCGGGCTCAACAGCAGTAACAGCATCAAAGCCCATTGTCTGGAGATATTCCCATGCTTCTGCTTTGAGCGTGAAATGAGGCACGGTGATTTCTCCTCCGGAGACCTTCCCCACGTTCGCCAAGGAAGAAAAGATCACATGCTTGACCCCCGCCTTTTTGGCCTCGTGGAAGATTTCGTTTGTCAGCTTGCCTTCCTTTGTTCCGATGTCAGGATCCCAGAAGTTGACCACGACAAAAGCAATGTCAGCCCCTGTAAAGGCTTGAGACAGAGAAGCAGGCTCTTTCACGTTACCAGGGACCATCTCAACTCCTCTTCCTTGTAGCTCCTTGGAGGCTGGCGAGTTAACACTTCGAGTCACTCCTCGCACTTTGAATGAACCGTCCTCGAGGAAGGTGTTTACGACAGAGCCGCCCTGGCCTCCAAGGGCTCCGAGAACTGCGATGGTCTTTGCATTCAGGATCATGATATGGCCTTGAAAATTTAGTTAGTTGTTTACTTGATAGTTTTTGGTTATGGTTTTGTTGTTCGATTTGTGAGCCCAAAGGCAAGCCTTCCTTTCTCTTGGCAACTCCCTCCAAGACGGAGCCCCGGCCGTGTTTGCTCGGCACCACGACTCCGTCGGAAAAGTTTGTCGGTGAAGTCATTCTTGCACGCACACCAGTCACAGAAAGTACGAGTATGTCTCTGATTTGTATCACGTGTCGTTGTGCCTCACGCTCAGCAGCGAAAGGGCCATGATGCATAGCATGGGACCAACATCCACTGCGCACTCTCTTCTCTTCATTGCACAAACAAAAGCAAGGTAGATCATGTACAGAAGATGTGTTTCATGATCAAGGTAGTAGGCTTTCTCTTGCTACTCTCATTAGTTTTGAGCGTTTCCATTGTTGAATTTCAAGGAGGGGACGAGGGAAAGATGGCGTGGTGGCGTGGTGATCTTGTTCGTCATCTGAAATTGATCGGTCTATATCTTGATACAATGGTTCATTGTTGGGCCATCCCTCTATATCCAGATATCCAGGACCGAGTCTTTGAGGAGTATGGCAGCTGTAGCACTGCTATCAGTCATGACGGAAACGCATGCTTCAAGTGCTACATGTACTAGTTAGATCTTAATGAACTTAGAATATGTACCCTTTATTATCAAACGCTTCCCTTCATTGTGCAAGTTGACAGGCATGCAGCTCTTCTCTCTCAGTTGCCCGACCTTGGTATGGAGGTTACCAACTTGAGAGGGTTAGCGTTGAGTACCCCAGGAGGAGCACTCCTCGGCATCGGACGCTCCCAGCATCTGGGCGCAAAAAGCTGAGGACTGCGAGGCGCTGGTGGAGATTTCCCTTAGTTGCTCTGGGTTTTGAACTCCCATCATCTTGTGAATCTGCTGGAGAAGTAAGACGCCTCGAACTGTGTTGCCGACCCATTCTTTTCGGACGGATCGAACTTGCGGCGACATGACCGTCTCCAATCCTCGAGGAGTGAAGTCGTTGTTTTCTTGTTCCAGCAATTGAGTCAAAGGAGATGGCGGGACTCCGTTCGATGCGGAACGACCGGATTCGAGCAAGATAAACTTTTTTGCTTCCATTTTGATGTCTTGGTAGTCTTCACGAGTATGCCAGGTGCGCTTTCGCACATCCAATGGAATATGACACACATTGACTTTGTTGAGGTGCGTCGAAAAACGCACCGCTTTCTTGATTCGGTTTGCTTTCTTGATAGGGGCTGCCTTGGACCGACCAAGACAAGGACAGGCGAATACCTTCGTTCTCGTGCTTAGCGATGGAGCTTGCATGCTTTTACGGTTCATCAAACAGCGGCACATGGTTTGTGGACGGTAAAGAAAAAGGAAGAGGAAAGCTTGGTCTATTTCTACTGCAGTAGGTTTATCTTTTGAGTTTCAACTTCTCGGTTTGTGAGAGGTGAAAAACAAGCCGCCCAAGCCAGTGAAGTTCATCGTAGCCAGTAGCTCCTTGTGAAAAGCGAAGGGAAGAACAAGCAATGACTGCTGGAGTTCGGTTGATGAAGTGGTTGCTTAAGGGAAGGCATTGTGAAATGCCATAACCTTTCTATGGGTTCCTTCAGATTTAAAGTCAGCTTTCCTTTCGTTAATCGGAGAAAAATTCAGCTTCTGCCCTGTCGCAGTTGAATCAAGAACCGATTAGACAGCAGAGCCCCCAAGAAAGTGAAGCCAGTACCACTTTTCTACCTTGATCCTTTTATTAGTCTAGCTACAGGGGAGCGCCTCAAACCAACTCATTGTTTCTTTTCCACACTCCCATCAAACTAAAGGGATCCGCTGCCTCGTGTTAATAAGCTCGATAGAGCCTGCAGGCCGTACTCTAGTAATTTGTATAGCTAAATATTTCTAGCCAGTAACGGATAAGCCTCAACTCTAATGAAGGTATCCTGTCAGCGTGGAGCCACTCACTCCACAAACTTTTGAATCGATCGAAAAGAGAAAAGAGGCACAATGGCGCTTTTCCTCCTCTTTCGGCCACTAGCCAGCCTCTCTCCGTTACCTCATGTGTATCCTCTCATTGACAATCCTATGGCGCCGCTTTGGTGGTGAAATATTGAGGGCTTTCAGGAGAAGAAGAGAAGATAAGAAGAGGTCGATTCATTGCTCCGGATCTCACTCTACGGATCACTCTCCACTCTCCGGCTCTCCACTCTCCGGCTCTCCACTCTCCGGCTCTCCACTCTCCGACTCTCCATCTCCAGCCTTTCACTGACTCAAGATGGATATCACAAGGACCGGCGACAGCCACTTGTTTGCTTTCTACCAACTTGACTTGAGTACCAGTATTGATGAGGAGACCAAGCCAAAGCCTTCCCCTGCCACAACCAGAGCCATTGCTTCATTGCTGTCGAACCTGGATATGCTAGTGGAAGTGTGGGATGAAGACTGCACTTTCCTCTGGAGATTCAAGAAGAACCAGTATCTGACTGTTGAGCAGGGCAGGAAGGTTGGTACTCATCTGTCAGAGAAGGTGGCTGACAAGGATTCAGACTTGTCAGCTTTGGATTCTCACCCCTTTCAGGAAGAGAGCTTGTTATGAAAACTGACAGAGGCATTGAGATTGTGTTCATTTTGCTGCTGGCCAGGGCCGCTTTGTTGAGCAACAGGCCCAGGAGCAGATCCAGGCAGAGGTGGTTGTGGTGGCTGAACCTTGTCTTACTCCGGTTGAGGTGGCTCCAGTGAAGCCTCCTGCTGCCTTGAAGAAGCCTCCACCTATGTCTATTGCAGTCAAGCCTGTCCCTGCTGCTGTTGTTCCTGTCAAGAAGAAGAAACCACACAACAACAAACGACGAGAAAGCAGTGGCACCTTGGAACCTTGGGATGAAAGGAAGGAAGATGCTGATTTGGTGGAGTTGGTGGATTTGATTGGAAATCAGCAGATCAGCACTCGGTCCACTGATACTGAGTACACCTATGAGACTGTGGAGATGAAGATTGAATATGCAATCCACAACAACAAAATCATTGTATGACAGTGACAGCTACTGTGTCTACTAGATTTTGCTAGCTCTTGACTAGGAAGTAGAACCAGTAGCTGTCACAGTCATACCATGAGGGCAAGTCAATACACACACACACAATGGCTAGCTAGCTAGACGAGGAGGGAGTCAAGTCAAGTCAAGTCAAGTCAATAGATAAGAAGAGTGCTATTATTTTGGATACCTACACTGCTACTGCTGTTGGTGGGAGCATACTCCCATTATGATTGTTGCCATTTGCCTTGTTTGTTGTCACCGATAGG